TGGCTGGTGGGGCTGTGTCTTGGATGTCGAGATGTCAGACAATTGTAACAGCAGAAGCTAAGTATGTGGCAGCATGTGAGGCAGCGATGGAAGCTAAGGCCAAGAGTAACATTTTGCAGGAGATCCTGAGATCAAAAGCTGTGAAGCTGAAGATTGGGATCGACAACCAAGCCGCTCATGTACTAGCAACAAACCCTACATATAGTCGGCGAGCTAGGCACATCGAATTGCGCTGGCACTATGTACGAGAGCAAGTATCTTAGGGTGTGATCGAGTTGATCAAGGTGGACGGGAGCGTGAATCCTGCAGACATGTTCACCAAGCCTTTGGACAAGCAACGACTGCAGAAACTACTGCAACCCATGGGTATCGGAAATGCACAGTAAGGAACTGACACGCAAGAAGTGCATCAGAGAGGTGGGGAGCTTGCGCTTCGAGGAAGGCGTGTTAGGATGCACATTGCGACCAGACAACCAAGGAGGTTGAAGGTCAAGTTGGGACCCGCACATCGTGAGACCAAGATGGATTGAGAAGAAGGGAGCTGCGGGCCTTTGCATGTTAACGGGCAGGTGCCCAAGTTTAGTTGCAGAGAGAGAGAGAGAGAACGAAAGCAAGCTTAACAAATTTAATCAGGTTTCCTTTTCTCATTTGGTGCACACGTTAGCTAGTTGAGCTGATCCATACTCCAATAACTTCTGGCCGGAGACGGGTGCAGAGCGACGCAGCCGTACACCGCGTGTATCACACGCGCCTTCTTCCATTTTTATGCCGGTTAATTGGTGGAAGGGGGATTATTTAGGAAATAAAACGGGCTAGCTCATTTGAAATGTAAGCTACCTCCTGGGGTGGCTTACTTTGAAAGTGAGCAGGTCGCTGTCAAAAATGTGAGCGTAATCCGAAGGAAATTTTGAGCACGTTTTTGCAATGTTCGACTCCCCCTAATAAAATGATTCTGAAAGGTTTGTATTACTTTTAAAAGGCCATTAAAACGGTGAAAATAGTACTAGTAATAAAGCTTGCGAAGTAAAAGTATTAGCTATCGAAATTTAAATTCAGCATTACTTTTCAACAAGTAACTTTATTTTTAGCAAAAGTACTAAAGTGAGTATTTGATCCGCAATATGCGCTCCCACGTCCTAAAAAATATGGAAGTGGATAAAGTTACACAATAATTGTCGGTAAGAAAAAAAATTCCTGACGGATAAAATCCCATCAAAGGTAGAAAAACACCCCCTCCCCCCCTTTCACCCCTCCCAACTTATTCTGGACCTTTCATTTCAAAAGAGGCGCGAAAAGCAGGACAAGCAGCATGGCGAGCGTCGCGTCGGCATCCGAGCCCGACGCCGAGACCACTGAAGCTAAATCCCCGGAGGTCCACGTCCCCACATCTGCCGTTGTTGTCGCCCGAGCCCCACGTATGGATGAGGAGACGTTCGGGAGTTGGGGTGCGTTTTTCGAGTATTTTTACGCATATCAGCACAAAACCCACCAGATATTCAAGAAGAGGACCTCTACAAGCGCCACGGCGAGGAACGCGGATCTCCGAGACCGTGGTAAGGACACCACGCAGACCATTATACCAGACGCTTTCGACAAGTACTACCGAAAGTTGGTGTGCACGCATAGTTGGTCAAGGCCCAGCCGTTCGAGGGGCAAGAGGCATAACTACTTCGTGAAGTCTACCGGATGTGAAGCGCAGATGACGGTCGTCGTAATTTGGGATGCGGCTCAGGGTTTTCAAGTGAAGGTTACGCACCAGGAGACAGCGCACAACCACTCACTAAGCTCAGGATCTTATGGAAATCACCCCTCAAATCGACGCGTTGCAGACGAAGACGTGATTGACTTCGTGGATGAGCTTCAAGCTGCTGGGGCGAAGAAAAAGCTGATTCTGCAGTTTCTGTGGAAGAAAACTGGTACGCTACATGATTGTATCCTTGTTATTATGCTTGTTTTAGTTCTAATGCCTAGTTAATAGGCAAGCATGTTACCCTGCGTGATGTGCACAATATTGTGGCGAAGCTGAAAGAGGCGCGGCGTGGAGCTACAACCGTCGAGGCAAGACTGGAGTCTGGTTTGCGCGATTTCTGCTCTCGAAAGGGTAATACGGCGACCATTTATGTGGATGACGAGAAGCTAGCGCAGACGATCACTTTTCAAACCCACCAGATGCGAAGATTCTTTGAGGCGTTCCCACAGGTATTGATGGTGGACGCCACTCACAACACCAACGATGCTCGATACAAGCTCTTCAGTTTCATGATTCACGATGTTTTCGGCCATGTAAGTACTCTCTTGGTGGCTGTGTCAATTGTGTGACTCTAATTGTACCTCTGTGTTGGTTTGTGTGACTCTACTGTGCCCGTGTGTCCCGCTACATTTGTGTGCCTCTATGTGACTTTACTGTGGTTGTGTGCCATTGCTACAATTGTATACCTCTTTGTGGTTGCTTGTGTACAGGGGCGATACGTGCAGCATGCACTCATGGAGAACGAAAGTGCTGATTGTTTGGGGGTTGCAGTGAAATCGCTCAAATCGTTTAACTCAACCTGGGACCAAGTTCGAGTGATTACCGTTGACAAAGACTTTGAAGAAATTGCGCTTCTGCAGGAGGCTTTTCCTGTCGCGGTGGGCCTATGGTGGCTCAATCACGAAGTCACTCACGTGATGTGTCGCCTTGTTCAAGTCACACCGGTCACACGATAGAGGTGACGGATAGCAACAGTCACTCTGGAGGCGCCAGTCACTCCGACGAAGTGACGAGTGATGCGCAAGGTTTCCCCGATCAATCTGAGATGCGGGACGAGCGGAGTATTGAGGGGCTATCACATTCGAGCTATGACGAGACAAAACAAGTAGCACCTCCAGCAAAGAGAGCGCTTTCAGATGGAAGACATCCCAGTTCCAGTTCAAGTGAGGAATGCTCATTCTTCGTCTCGAAAAGCACCAAAAGCCGCGGTCGGCCCAAGATACGAAAGAACCAGAAACAACAAGTGAAGAAGCAACGGTTGGTGAACTCTCTGAAGGAGGCCAAACAGCTCATGCAAGGGACGTTGACGCCGGTTATCACGCTAAGCAATGTGGCCACAGTGTTGAAGTCGACATACAGTTACGAATCCGCGTACGAGTTCCTCTCCAAATTATCAATAAAGACGCTGGGCCCCAGGAAACAAGTAATAGCGAAGATGGTAGCCCTCAGTGAGGCCCTGAGCAGCATCAAGTACGTGTTCACCAAGCAATTCACGCATAAATGCAGAAAATTTTGGAAACGTACAGAGAGGCACTACCAGATCCGAAGTCACCCGTAGGTGTTCGTCTCGCTAAGATCGGGGTCATCAGCGAGGACCAAGTGCAAGTAATGGTGGAGTACCATCACACGATGAAGTCTTTGGAGGCAGTGTCTGATACAATTGAGTGGATGGAAGCTCCGTCGCTAAACAGACTGGATATTCCAGAAGGTCTCAATGAGTATGTTGAACTAAATAAGACCAAGGCTACCACAGCGCTGCAGCAGATTGTCTTGCCAATCTCACGCTTGACACCGTTCGGAATGGTCTCGAATGAATCCTTTCTACTGCTAAGAGAAGACCTATGGCTGAACGACGACTGCATGATGCACGTAATGACGACGATCCAAGAAGAGCATGCACACGTTGGTATTATTTCGCCAGGCGTTACCGGTACGGATGACCCTGAAACGCAGAAGAAGGTCATCAGCGGCTCCGATCCATTCCAAGAGCACAACACGCATGTGTTGCTGCCAATTCATATCAACAGAAACCACTGGTGCGGTGCAGTCTTTGACTTCAAGTCCACACCAAACCGGATCACAGTATTTGACCCCCGATAGAAGCCAAAGCAACTTGAAACGTGTGAAGACATTGTCAAGAAAATCTTTCCAGAGATAGTAGCCAAAATGGATTGGAAACGAGAAGTGTGGCTGAAGCAGACAGATGGACACAATTGCGGACCTCTTGTTCTCCTGTTTTTTGAGAGCATTGTGCGTGACGTCGTTCTCCTGAAGTCGCCATCGAAGGCACTCCTTCGGTACTACAGGATGAGATATCTACTGAAGTCACTGCATGTTTAGGAGAGGCGTTGGCACACTGCAAAAGTTGCGTAATTCATTCAGTTCATGCATCAACCGGGTTTCTTTACGATGTTCAACACTTTCTGGTACATGAAGCTATAGATCAGAATGTCATTAGGGCCTCCGTTGATCTCATTACTTCCACATCGGACTCACGGACTCACGTTGATTTCCTTACTTCCACATCGGACTCACGGACTCACTTGCGAAAAAATGCAAAGTCATGTGTACAATCTGGCAACACGCAGACTTCATCGTATTCCTTCGACACTCGCACGACATTTGACGATTGCGCAACCACGTCCACACACTCAATATCTACAAACGATGAAATTTTGGGAATATATTCGGTATTTTATTCTCTTTGTGTGGCTTTGTGCCTTTGTCGTAGGTACACAGCCGAATATGGTGACATTTATACGCACTTAGGTACGAAGTCACATAACCATTGTGTGACTCTAACATCGATCAAAAAATATTTACAGGTTTTAGTACAATAGCGTTCATGTGTGCACCTCAGCGCAGCCTACCAATGCTAACTGCCGCGCACACAGGCAGCGATCTTTGCGTGGGGAAGTGCTCCGTGGCCTCCTTTTTGAAAATGAATCCTACAATATCGCTAAATATTGACTGAACTGCGACAAAAAAACCTAACGACCCTCAAAGCGGTGCATCAAGCGATTAGACAACAACAACAATATAGCCGTGTGCGCTATGTCTGGGGCTCTATTATTGTGTGCTTTGTGTCCGCCGCTGGGCTCTGGTTGCAGAGCTAGCGGTCAAAAAATGAAATCGTAATTTTGGAGTGGGCCAGAGAAGTACTGGATACGCTTCAAGGACGTTCACGGAATTTGTCGGGTATCTCAAAAACTCGTTCCTCTGTAGTACCCTACTACTTTTAGTTAGACTATCATCTCCGTTGGCCATCACGGAATTGCTCGAAAAATGTCAACATCCGATCGTCGATCTGCGGTGTCACCACCGACAACGCACGCACAAAGTGCCGCTTTCCAACATTAACAGCCACCCGGTCTTCCTCCACTGCGTGGAGAGCAGCTTCACGACAAAGAGCTTGAAGCTCTGCTCCTGAGAACCGAGCGGTGGCAATGGCCAATTCCGTCAAGCTGACGTCCGACGCCAGCGGTGTTTTCCGTGTGTGGATCCTCAAGATCTGCTCGCGCGCAGGGACGTCAGGCGGGGACACGTACAGCGCACGGTCGATACGACCGGGCCTCATCAAAGCTGGGTCTAGCAGATCAGGGCGGTTCGTAGCGGCCACCACTAAGACGCGCTTCAGAGGTTCTAATCCATCCAACTCGGTCAATAGTTGACTCAGCACACGGTCTGATGCGCTACTGCTACCTCCAGCTCCACGTGTACTCGCAAGCGCGTCAATCTCATCGAAAAAGACCACAGTTGGGGACGCAGCACGCGCCTTGCGGAACACTTCTCGCACCTGCTGTTCGGATTCACCAACCCATTTGCTAAACAGCTCGGGGCCTTTGATAGCAATAAAATTCATGCCACTTTCAGTGGCCAGAGCCTTGGCTGCCAGCGTTTTACTACATCCTGGAGGACCATACAACAGAACACCTTTTGGTGGTCGAATTCCCATTCGTGTAAAGGCTTCAGGGTGTTGCAGGGGCCATTCCACCGCCTCCCGTAAAGCTTGTTTAAGTGCATCTTGTCCACCGATGTCACTCCACAAGACACGAGGCACATCCACCGAAATCTCACGCAAAGCACTCGGTCGAATCCCTCGCATAGCAAGCTTCAGGTCACTCAGAGTCACTTCAAACGGCGGGAGTGAAGCAGTGTTGGCCAAAATGGCTCCAGTGGCCTGATCATTGCTCGCAAATGCGCGATGCAGTGCCAGTAGCGCAGCCTCTTTACAAAGTGCACTGAGGTCAGCTCCAACGTAACCATGGGCACTTGAACTCAGCTCTTGCAACTCCGACTGGGTGAGTTTGTGCGGCAATCGTCTCAAAGCCACACGTAGAATAGCAAGTCGATCATTAGCCCTGGGAATACCAATCTCAACTTCTCTATCGAACCGTCCAGGTCTTCTCACAGCAGGGTCAAGCGCGTTGGGTCTGTTTGTAGCAGCTAGCACGACAACCTGGCGAGACCCGCTTAGTCCATCCATTAGTGTAAGCAACGTCGCCACCAGACGTCGCTCCATATCGCCCACACGGGAGTCACGTTTCGGACAAATAGCATCCAACTCATCAATAAGCACAAGTGACGGCGCCTCTCGTGCGGCCTGTGCAAACACAGCTCTCAAGTTGGCTTCACTCTCTCCGACAAACTTGCTCACAACTTCCGGTCCGTTGATCGTGAACACTCGAGCATTCAACTCCCTCGCCAAGGCTCTAGCAATCAATGTCTTTCCCGTTCCAGGCGGCCCAAACAGCAGCACACCTTTAGGAGCAGGGAGACCGAATCTCTCGAACGTTTCGGGGTTTGTCAACGGCTGCTCCACCACTTCTCGAATCGCCTTCAGCTCCTCCTGCAGACCACCGATCGTCGCGAATCCATCTTGCTTCAGTGTTGTCGTAGGACGTATATTTTCAGTGGAATTACTAACTTTCTGCGCCTCAACTTCCTCTTCTTTCTCGTCCCACGCCACCGTCAGCGCCGTTTTAGCAGCACTGATCGTTACGATCCCGTGATCATTCTTCTCTCCGTCAACCTTCGGCAGCCGAAATACGGTATTCACACCGTGCAATGGGAGGGAAATAAGTGCGTCTTGATGGACCAAAGCACCGTCAATCATCGCCCGAATGCATCGTGTTAGTAGCGTGCGTTCCTTCTCCGAGAGCTTCTGCTTGTGACTGGACGCTCGGGACACCACTTGCAGCGCCACACTCTTGGCCACAGGGCAAGGATTTTGTAGTAGCTTCACTGTAGCTTTGTCGATTTGTTGCTCTGCTACTTCCGCCTCCCACATGGAGCTTAGGCCGACTCCTCGACGCTTGATCTTGTCCATGGGCCACGCCAAACCGCAAAGCAGGAGCTTGCGTGAGCCGGTGGGCCTCGGGGATAGTGTTGAGCACCACGTAGGAGCCCGATTCGAGGCCAAAGTGGCTCATATCATTTGGGTTTAGGTACACCTTCGACACAGTGCGGGCCGAGCGAGCACCCGCGCGCACAAAGTGCACGCGCGCCTCCAGCAGCTCCATTTTTGAGTGGCTTGTGCTGCTAATCCTCGGATTAGTGACCGAGGTGTAGCCTTGTCACTGTTTGTCAAGAGTGTGGTGTATCCCCTGCACAAAACGATATAGCTACACGACGTTGAAGTTACTTGCGTCATAGGAGGAAGTACAAGACGCTGGTCTGCAGGTAGAGTTCATGGGTGATAGCCGGCCAGTCGATGTAGAAGCTGATGCGAGCTCGTAGTGAAGGCCAGAAGCGTCTCTTGACTGTTGCTGGTGAGGAATCTCGTCGAAAATTATCGCAGCTGCAGCTTCCAACGGCTGCAATGCTGCAGAGAGAGAGGGACCAACTCGGGCAACGTACGTCGAGGTCTTGATCGCTTAGCCTTGAATCCGGCTGAAAGTCGGCTTTATGCAGTACGAAGAAGTCGCTGGGCGTATGGCAACGGCGTTGGAGGTCATGACCAAGATGGGCATTGTTTTCATCCTCGATTACTCTTTGTCGGAGAGTTGCGTTGAATCTTGAAGTGCCGTTGCTGCTACTGTTCATCGTTGACGCGAGGCTGGAGCACTCAAAGTCTACTCGTGGCTGCTCAGCTGTGATCGTGTAGTCGCAGCTAGCAAGGGGCCTTCGTCCTGACTCCAGCGCCGCTCTCACGAGACTCGTCCATTGTCGATACGTGGGGGCGTCAGGTGCTCGTAGACGGACTTGCTTGGTGTACCATCCGTACTCGAGCCCAAACTCCAGCTTTGATGCCATCCTCTTGGTCATAGGCAGGAGACGCACGGGGTGGATGCACGGATCAAGAGGGACGCGAAACTCACCGCCGAGAATGCCGGGACGTCGGACCAGCAGCACAGGCAGTGCATGACGATAATCCTGGCGGTGGTATGTCAACTGCACGGGTGTCTTCGTCCTACAAGGAGCAATGTGTGTTAGAGGGCGTCATAAATTGAGAAGGAAGGGCATTCTACGCACCAGAAGAGGTGGCACGCGTGGACTTTCAATGTGCCCGAGAAGACGGGAAGTTGCGTGTCCATGTTGGCAAGAATATGCAAATGTTCAGGACAGGGCTTGTTTCCGTGTGAAAGCCTTCAACACTGAAGTTACAGGGACTTTGCAATGGCTACACGAGTTTCGAGAATCATGTGTTTCTGTTTTCAGAAGGGAAAGATCGATGCATGTCATGCAAGGCAACTTTTGCAGGGAGTGCTACGTAGTGCATGTACACGGTCAAAGCCAGGGTGCACAATGCTGGTTTGCAGACTACTAGCGACTTACTACTGTAGTAGCAAGTCGAAGACTTAGCTCTTGACAGCAATAATTTGTAACCTGAGAGCTCCAGATTGGAATTTTTCGCCTGGCAACAAACGCTATGCTGCCTATCCGCAAAGGCTTCTACAGTCACTGCCAGTGACTTGAAGAAGGCCCAGTATTAATAACGCCTGGGCAACGTTGCACTCATCTCGAGGCCTCATCACGCGTTGCCGTGCATTTTGCCGACTCCATCTGACTGCAACCTGGATTGTCGGTCCAAATACAATCCACGTTGAAGGGAAAGAAAAAGATAGACCAAAGCAGTCCCGTAGCTTTATAGCTTTCGCCAGCGTCGCCAACGTATATGCAAGCGCTGTAAGGTGTTGACACTCAAGCTATTGCTTTTAAGTTAAGTTTATCTCTACGGCAATGACCACCTACAGCACCACCACCCGGTCTGTGTGGCCCACTCCGTGAAGACTCGACTTCGGATGTCGCCATGTTGCACCCACCACAAACGAATTCATTCGCGTGTGGCATTATCGAATCTGCCCCCTAGATGGCGCACCAACAAAGATCCAGCATAAGCCGCTCTCGAGCTTCGCAGCGTTCCATGCGCCGTCTCCCAGTGCCGGCGCTCTCCATGTCGCTCCGCAGTCGCCGGGCGGAGCACCCGACAATTACTCTAGGGCTTGCCCAACTGGACCGGTATCACGACCGAGCTGAGAAGGCTTTGAGGGACACCATCGCTGCTTATGGCACATCCAAGCAAGATAGCGACCCGACACAATGGAAATGTCTTCGATCACGACGCGGGGTTCGGCTATTCCGTGGTCGTTTGTCTACACCTTCAGGACAGACTCCTGTACTGTGTGTTGGAGCACTACGCGGTAGCTTCGACGACATCATGGAGGGGATCTACTGCCAGAACACAGAGGAGATGCTGCTTATGAACGCCATCAAGTGTCCGAGGCTAGCAGAGAGCGCGGTTCTCTTTACGGTTCAGCGACAAACAGTGTGTGAGCCATACGCCTTCACGGGCGTCAAGTGGACAACTCTCAAGCTGTCGGTAGCAAGCAACCGAGACTTGTGCTACTTCGACAAGATGGGGCTGGTGCGCCAGACCTCAGGGAAGCGGATGGCTTACCATGTCATGCAGTCGGTGGATCTACCTGAATATCCGCATAAGTCCACGCACAAGCGTGTGCAGGCGTCGCTCTGCTACGTGTTTGAAGAGCTGGAGGACGATCTGGTGGGCGTCTACATGCAAGGTGAGATGGACCCCGCAGCGTTGTCGTATTTCTCCACTCCGGCAGTATCAGATCTGCTACTGGCAGTCGCCAACGCGATGGAGTGCACTCGAGCCAAGAAACTCGCCGAAATTATGGCCGTTGCACCACCTGGACGCTGGGGACGACGGTCTCCTCGAAGATGCTGCGACGTGTGTCGAGGCAGCACGTCGTTCTTTGAGAGTCTGCAGGAATGTGCAGGTTGCAGCTTCAAATACGTCTGCAGAAAGTGTCGACTGAAGGAGAATGTCCTCGCACGTGACACAGCATCGAGCTCGCATCTGATGCGAGCGGAGTTCTGCCGTGTCTGTATCTCCAAGATGGACTCGACTTCCATTGACAAACTGCGGGCGGAAGCTAGTGGCTTCACTATCACTGGAGGACGTACAGCAAACATGAACGCCGCGTTCTGCGAAGTCGAGGAGGAGCCTGAAGACGTGGATATTCCAGGAAGCGACCGTTCTTTAACCGCCTTCACACTCAAGATCACAGCGCAGTTGCAGGACCTCAGCAGCCGCAGCGACATCCGCGCCTCCTCCAACTTGTCGTCCATGGAGAAGGTGTCGATTTCAGAGGACGAAGACGATGACGCGCTGCTGGGTGAATATCGAGACGTGCTCAACTCGATTGGAAAGAAGAGCAATCAACTCGTGCCGCTCGACAAGGACGCGATGGACACGTCGCGTCGTAGTTCCCGCTCGACGACTTCGACGGCATCGTCCTCGCTCTATCAAGATGACGGCGACGCGGAACAGTACCGGACGTCGCTATTCGCGCGGCTGATACAGGTATCGAACCAGGCGGAGGAAACGTTCCACCTCACGCAAGAGCAGTCGCTCATTGCGAACTCCGTCTTCCAGCGCAACCGCCGGTGCACGCAGGCGTCCGACAGATCCGTCTACAGTCAGTAAGTAGTGCAGCCATTTTATGACATCCTGGTTTTTTTCTGGTAAAGTCGTTTTAGCTGATAATAATTGTCCAATCTTTTTTTTACCAATCCAGTGATCATGTCACTGTTCCTCTTCTCCCATTGGTCAACTTCAAATCTAACCGAACAATCCCCCTTTATCTTGTTCTTTGTATCACCGCGGTGCTTCAGCCTCAAAGGCCTTTACACTTTGATCGTCTTCCCTGTCCGCGTCGAGAGACCCTCGAACGCCGCAGTAGCCAGCCAAGAGACCGGAGAACCCCCGCCTGCGACTTTGTGTCCGTCGGGATCAAGGGGTGCGCTTTTATTTGACCACGAAGGTGCGAAGAGACTGTAGAAGTTGATGGCCGTGGGAAGTTCTGATGCTAATGCCGTCACGCAGACGCCAGCGGAGACGAGGAAAGCCACTGGCGGGCGAGACGTCCCTGAGTTTATCCCCGCGCCACCAGCTAAGAAAAGGAAGCGACGCGACGACATGCCGCGGATCTGGCTCCGTCTGGAGCTGTTCGAGCTCGGTCTCTTGCCGCTGCCGTCCAAATACGCAGCCTCACTTACTCTTAGCAACGTTAAGAAGGCACTAGATGCGCTACACAATAAGAACCAAGCAGCCAATGGAGAAGCCTTAGATGCAGCAGCTGGCGACGACGCTGTCATGCTGGACACGGAGGGATCTTTCACGGAGAGCGACAATTTGAGTTCCGTCACGTTTGCGGTCTGGAAGGACGCAGTGGGGAGCATTTTCCAGTGGAGAGAACAGGACTATAAGGCCTTCTGGCTGCTGCTGGTGCAGTTTCATCGCATGATTCCCGTTAAGAATGAGACAGTGGATACTATAGCCCCGCTGGATGGAGCCCAGTGTCTGGAGAGAGAGGAGGTGCCTGTATTTAAGATGGCCATTTTCCTGTTCATTCAGACAGTCAAACCGCACTCGTGGAGATCGAAATACTCGTTGGACTCGTACAATGCAGTGTGGTATCGCGAACATGCCGAGAGTTTGGCTGCTGCTGCCGCACTGGAGACTGCGGGGGCTGTGGCTGCTGCGACGGCGCCGAAATCGCCGATTCTGGGTGCTGTTGGGTCCCCGCTCATGAGGGGCAGCGCCAGTCCGCCTCCCCCTCAATCTCCGCATACAGTGGGTATGGCAGACCGCTCGACAGCGGATTCGTATTACTTGTCATTCGTGCGCGAAAAGCTGGAGGATCTATTTGGTTTACTGTATCCGTCGGTGGATCTGAAGGACGAATCTCCGACGGTCGTGAGCGCAGATCAGATTGATTTGTTGGGTTTCTTGCTGTGTTTGGGAGATGTCAGTCTCGTAGACAAGAACTTAAGACTGAGCTCTTGCTATCCTACGTGGGAACAGACTGACAATCCGGATACAATGACAGAGACTGATGCTGCTCAAGATTTCACGCCTCACGTAGAAAATGGAGCCAAGGTTTGCCGGTTTTACAAGACTCACCTGTCACTGAATGAGAAAATGTATCCGCCTGTGGGTTTTTCTGTGGCTCCTCCCTCCACGACAGCTCAAAACAATCTCTCAGCTATTTCACCACCTGCTTTTTCCCTCAATGGTTTGTTGCTCTGCCTTGCAGGGAGGCTTGACCCAGTGCTGACGATAATGTTATTTTTTTCTGCTACCGGTAGATGACTTTTCCTTGGATGGCAGTGCAGACATGGCTGGGGCTCAAGAAGAAGCAACAGGCCGGCCTACCATTCTAGCACAGGTCGTGAAGACTACCGTGATCAAGCGCGCAGACGAGCTTAAAGTGTCCGAAGACAGTGGCCAACGCCCGGACGTCCTCATTTTCTCGTGCCAAGACTCGTACATCTACCTCCTGGGACCTGTTCGATATCCTTTCAACCCTATTGTTTCATTGTGTGGGCTCTATGCCCTGCTCCGTATTCGATGACGCTAATGATCCTCGCCAAAGTTATCCTTAACCTTTTTTCGTTTTGGCTAACACAAATGTGACGATTTCAGCGTGCAAGAACTGCCGTATTATTACGGCACCAAACACGGGAATTTTGTCTATGGAACGGTGTGAAAATGTGCAGCTCACTTCGCTCTCTGGTCTCATCCGCGTCAGGTACGAAAGAGCTTTTTGCTTGGACTTCCCACAGGACAGCGATCTTCTAACGAGCTGTTTATTGAATTGCAGCAACTGCCTGGACACTCGCCTCAACGTGTACACTTTGTCTCCGGTTATTGTTAGTGGAGAAAACGTCGGTGTGATTCTGGGACCCTACAACGCCAAGTTTTCTGGTTTGAAGCAGCAGCTGTCCACTGTACCATTCCTGTATAACACGGAGTCACAAGGCAGCTGGAACAAGTTCCTAGACCTGGACAGCGAGAAAGGTATGACTGCATGAGTTGTAAAATCTTTCTGCAACGTGCTAGTCGCTCACAGTCGTGTTATTTGGCTCTTTGTTTCGCAGACACTATGAGCGACACAGAGAAGCCTCCAGTTTCTCTTCAGGTCCCCGAGACTTTCCGCGATGTGTGTATTCCAGTGAAGCCTGCAGCAGGAGCGGGTCCTGCCGAGCGGCCATTCCCTATCCCGCCCGAGTACGTCGCAGCAGTGAGGAAGCAGTACGAGACGGTGGACTCTCTGCGTCAACTAGTGACCAGCGATGAGTTTGACCTCACGAAGAAGCGTACGATGGAGGTGGTGATCCAGCTCAAGTTCAAGGAGTGGCTGTCGTCCACGAGCAACGTTAGGCAGATCCTCGACCTGGTCCATCTCGATCGCGTGAACGGAGGCTGCGATCCGGCCAGCAAGGAGTCGTAGACAGCAAAGTGACCGAGAAAGCACGCATGTATCCGTCACACCGACGACTGTACTAGATAGAGATCCTAGCCCGTTTGCCGCATTCATACAGACACCTTGAGGAAACGAATTGGTGAAATTCAATGAATGTTTCAGTTGTCTCGGAGGTGCCGCTTCAGGATTTGATTTTCTTTCCGAGTTGAAGTGATATTTACTACGATTGGTCCAAATTATGATCAGCGAATCAGAGATCGTTAAGGCATGTGCGGCACGCTCCGGCGCATTGACAGTGACCGCATGCGCAACACGCAGCTCTCACGGGCTGGGCGGCTTTTGTAGCTCTATGACCCGCATCGAGGTCATCCCGCCCGGTTGCAACGATCCATTTTCCACCGCAATCTCTTTCCGTAGCCATCAATTCCTGCAACTGTAGCGGCACCAAGTGACAAGAACACTCCAAGTGCATCTCAACGCCTTCTTCATTCTTGCATTTGCTTTCTGGCGCGCACTTCTCAACGCAAGTCCGTCCCAGTTCAGTAAACCTTCTCTACACATATATCAAGATGGTCGCCGTCGACAGTGCAACGCTGGGTTTCCCCCGCATGGGCCCCAACCGTGAGCTCAAGTTCGCCCTTGAGAAGTTCTGGCGCAACAAGATTAGCGAGGAGGAGCTGTACAAGATTGCTAACTCTGTGGAGGAGGCCAACTGGAAGAAGCAGATCGACGCCGGTGTCAGCCGTGTGGGTGTTGGCCTCTTCTCGCTCTACGACCACGTGCTGGACTGGACCTACTACTTGGGTCTGGCCCCAGAGCGCTTCGCGTCGGTGCCCGCCGGTCTGTCGCAGTACTTCGCTATGGCCCGTGGCGTTGACGGCATCCCCGCTCTTGACATGACGAAGTGGTTCGACTCCAACTACCACTACGAGGTGCCTGAGCTCAACGCCAAGTCCACGCCCAAGGCTAACTTCGGCTCGTATGTGGCCAGCATCAAGCGCGCTTTGGCTGTTGTGGGCCCCAACAAGACGGTCCCGATCATTCTCGGCCCTCTGACTTACCTGGCCCTGAGCAAGTACGACGGCGCCACCCTTGACGAGTTGCTGGTCAAGGTCCTGCCCCTCTACACTGCTCTGCTGAACGAGCTCGCCGGTCTAGGTGTGCAGGAGGTGCAGGTGCACGAGCCTTCCCTCGTTGGCACTCAGGCCGATCAGTTGGCCAAGCACCTTGCCACCGTCTACGGATCCAAGGACCAGAAGGGTGCCATTCAGCACGAGAAGCTCGCCATTAACCTGGCTACATACTTTGAGGAGATCAACCACGACGTGTACCAGTGGTTTGCCACGTCGCCTGTGTCGGCCATCTCGCTTGACTTTACCCGCGGTGACAACCTGTCGGTGCTACAGAAGTTCGGCTTCCCTGCCGGCAAGCGTCTCGGTGCCGGTCTGATCGACGGCCGCAGCGTGTGGAAGTTCAACCCCGACACGATCCTGTCCCAGGTTGCCGAGATCAAGAAGGTGCTCGCCGCCTCGGAGAACTCGCAACTGACCATCCAGACCAGCTCTTCGCTGCAACACGTCCCGTACACGACCGAGTGTGAGTCGGCTCTGAACGCCGGTGAGACCGACGGTCTTCTGGGCGTTCTCAGCTTTGCGTACGAGAAGCTTGACGAACTTGAGGCTGTCAAGAAGATTGCCGAGATTGGCGAGGAGGCCGCTAAGGCTGAGATCGACGCTGCTAAAAAGAACTGGACTATCTACTATGAGAAGAACCCGGCCAAGGCCGCTGTGCAGTCGCGTCTGTCCGCCGTGACGGAGGCAGACTTCAAGCGCCCTTCGCCGTTTGCTGAACGTCGCCCTTCGCAGCTTAAGGGTTTGCCGGTGCTGCCTACCACCACCATCGGCTCGTTCCCCCAGACCGCTCAAATCCGCGCTCTGCGTCGCAAGCTCAAGGCCGGCGACATCTCGTTGGAGCACTACCGTGGCAAGATCGACGAACAGATCGCCTACAACATCGGCATTCAGGAAGCTCTGGGCCTGGACATCTTGGTCCACGGCGAGCCAGAGCGTACCGACATGGTTGAGTACTTCGCTGAGAAGCTCAACGGCTTCGCCTTCACGCAGAACGGATGGGTCCAGAGTTACGGCTCGCGTTGCGTGCGTCCTCCGATCATCTTCGCCGACCTGGAGCGTCCGGCCGACATGACCGTGCGTGAGTTCGTCGTTGCCCAATCGTTCACTACCAAGCCGGTTAAGGGTATGCTCACGGGTCCCGTGACCATCCTGAACTGGTCGTTCCCCCGTAAGGACATCAGCCGCAAGGACCAGGCCTTCCAGCTCGCTCTGTGTCTGCGTGACGAGGTTGCTGACCTCGAGACCGCTAAGTGCGTCGTGATCCAGGTGGATGAGCCTGCTCTTCGTGAAGGTATGCCGCTTAAACCTGCCAAGAAGGACGAGTACCTCAACTGGGCCGTGGACGCCTTCCGTCTGTCAACTGCTGTGGCCAAGAACGAGACCTCAATCCACACCCACATGTGCTACTGCGAGTTCTCGGACTGCATGCACGCTATTGACGCCATTGATGCCGATGTGAACTCGATTGAGAACGCGCGCTCGGACGATGAGACTATTCGCTCGTTCAAGTCCATCGGTTACAAGCGTGACCTGGGCCCGGGCACGTACGACATCCACTCCCCTGTGGTGCCGCCCAAGGAGGAGATTGTCAAGAAGCTTAAGAGCTTCCTGAACCTTCTTCCGGCCGAGCAGGTTGTTGTCAACCCTGACTGCGGTCTCAAGACGCGCAAGTGGCCTGAGACGATTGCTGCTCTGCGCAACATGGTGGACGCCACCCTTGAGGTCCGTGCTTCTTTGTAAGCATTGCACACCTCCGATTTCTCATTGAGAAGACGGAGAAACCCTCTCTTCCATTCTACTGATGAATTTGTGCGCCAAGGCGTTTGAGGTAAAACTCATCGTCTTCGCTCACTCGACATGTCCCGAGCACCAAGTGCAGGCATGGCCAAGTTGCCGAGACCATAGTTAGCAGGATGTCTCGCCACCTTGGATGATCTGAAAAATAAAGAGTTTGTTTTTTTCTTTAGTACTTTCACTATTGCATGCTTATTAAGAATACTTAATGGTGATAGTACAGCTGGAGAAATACTACAGTAGTGTACTGTAAATACTATGATTGCCTCTCCCTCCAAATGACGTTGTACTACAGTAGTACTACGTAGTAGTAGCTTACACTACTACTAAAGTAAACACTGTACTTAAATTATTAAAACGTACTACGTAGTAATACTTGCACTGCTGGCCGATGAACGGAATTCGGGTAGAATTGACAGCAAATTGAGGCTGCGGAACCACGTCGGACATGTGTAGGAGTAGAATTAGATGTGTCCTTGAGGCTCTGATAGATAATTGTGGAGTAAATTGATTTTAGTTAAGAGTGCAACAGAAAAGCTGTGCCCATGACTACAAACGCTACCAGCCACGAGGAAGCTTCTTTCTTAGCAGAGCTCTCCTCGCTCTGTCCATGCGTCCTTGAATCTTTGATCGAGGAGGTGGTAGACGCGGACGAAGACGAATCAGGAGATGCATAGTATGTGCCGATGACTTGCAAGTCCGTGCTTAATAGCAGTTGACCCGTAACGCTGGCCGTTGCGGTTGTATCGATGTTGTCGCCCTCGATGCTCCAGCTTAAAGTCGACGCACCGCTGGTGTCTGCGTATGTGGCCGACCCACCTCCGTCTCGGAGAGCCAAGTTGTAGGCCTTGCGAACTGCAATTGCTGCATTAACCTCAGCTTCTGTCGGTGCGTCCCCCGAGGTGTTGGCAAGCTGGAGGATGGTCTCGGCTATCGTTCGGATGTACACGTTGGCGTCCACACATTCCTGAAGCTGCACCAGCAGCACCGCTCGGAAGTAGTATCCGCACTGTTTACCGGAACTCATGGCTACCATTTGAGCATAGCTGAGCTCCCCATTGAAAGGAAACGTATACGAACTAATACCGGCCGAGTTGGTGCATTCCGACATTAGATACGGGTTGTTCTCGTTGACTTTCGTGAGCCGGGCTACTTCATCACCGCTGCAAATGTATGCCGTGTCCGCGGATGTGGTTGCTGCTGCCGCGACTGTACCTGTCGGGGTCTCGGTTACTTCTTCCACACTCGCACACGAATGGGATGTGTATGGAGCTGCCGGTGTCACGGTCGGGGTTTCTGTCGTTGATGTTGGAGCTGTCGTTGTACTGTTCGAGCTGCGAGCGCTAACCACGTGATTGATCACTAGTAGTGCGACCAGGATGCACAATAGTGACGACACAATTCGCCTGCTTCCCATGTTCATCTTTCTGTAATTAACAGCGACCAGCTTGCGTTGGAATTTCTAGAACAACTGATATCGACGGTGAGGCAAAATCGAAAATGGCTCGAGTGCTACACTGAGCGCCCCACCCGTGACTCACGACGAACAAGTGAACGAAACAGCATGGTCTGTAGAAGTAAGGCCATCGATCGGACCCGGACAACAACAGGGCGGACGGTGACAGCGTGAGATAGAGTACTCCAATGCAATGCCTCTCTTGTCAGATACCCTCTCGAAGCAATCCGTTGGCCGCATGGTGTCCCCACCTTCCATATGCGTCGAGTTGACAGGAAACATCGCAAGCTAAATTCGTTTTTCAAGTGTGGCAACCAAGTCGTCTTAACTACCTGCACAAGTACGTACGACCTACAGCAAATACCTACCGGCATCGCTCTGCGCGGGGCTTCGCAGTCCGATCCTCTGAGTCAGAGGGGCAGGCAGGGATCGTTTCACCCAGACACATGGGATTAATTGTCCAGATTTGAACGACGTCCGCTATTAATACAAATGCCCAGCATGTACATGTATTAATAGTATTAATACTGGGCAAATTATTATTTAAAAATACATGGCGTAATTAAAAATTATTATTTTAGAATACATGGCGTTTGTTTAAATAATAGTCTGTCCGACTGTGATTGTTAATCCATACCGGCTCAAACACAATTTACATCACCCGTACAGAAGCAATTTGCTTTTATAAGAGCATGTGAGCAGTTGGTTCATCAACACACACGGGAAGCACTGTAGAATGTGTGTTTGGCGAAGCCAGGATTACCCTTAGATAGGAATAAATATTGTCTTTCGGCGTTATGACTACGGAAGGGATCATCTGTATTTTGAAAAATTAAATTGTGTATTATACCGGAAATACTTTTACCGGTATTTCTAGAACTGAAGTACAGGTAATTAACAGAAGTGCTAGTACCCTAAAGCAGAATATGTAATTCGGAGAGTCTTTTAATTGGAATACATCACGTATTTTTAAAAGCTAAACAGGATGTTTTATTTAGTGGGGTCCTTTATTCGGAAGAATACGTTAGTAAGGAAATCTAGAGCACATGAATTTCTGTTTCAAATTCTGGCGCCTGCTAGCTTCTTCTACGTGGCACAAACTCAACTCGAATATGTCGCGTCTCTTCCAGTTCGTGGCAACCTTCTCGCTGCTCGCATTCCTGGTCGTGGCCCAGCCAGCGGAGCAGCAACATGGCGCGCAGGCAGACGCTGCTGTGACGCCTGCGCCCGTGGTCAACTCGGCCGTACGCTCGAATGCTTTCGAACGCGCAGACGCGGACCACAATGGCGTCGTGGATCAGCAGGAGTTTGCAGCCTTCTCCGACTCCATTAAAAACGCTCTAGGCCCGTTCTTGGGCACTTTCCCGGCTGACGCTGGTGCTGCGGCCGCTGCTGTGTGGGGAACCGGGGCCCGACCCAAGCTACGCACTGGCGGGCCGCAGAAGTTTTGGTCCGGTTTCGTAAGCGGCATCCTAACCATCTGGGCCACTGAGATTGGCGACAAGACCTTCTTCATCGCGGCCATTCTGAGCATGAAAAAAGACCGCGTCGTGGTGTTCGCCGGCGCCATCGGCGCGCTGATTGTGATGACGGTGCTGTCCGTTGTCATGGGTGTAGTGGCCACCAAGTTCCTGCCCCCGAGCCTGACACACTACCTTGGTGGCGTATTGGTGAGTGTGGTAATTGTTTTTTGAGTAGATTTGAGGGAGGGAGGAGAGCTGATGAAGGTCGTGCTGTAGTTTGTGGTGTTTGGAGTCAAGATGTTGTACGACGCCAGGGAGATGAACGCTGCGTAAGGATGTTGAAGGAGATGGAAAGTGAGTGAAAAGAATGAGTAACTGATGTCGTGTGTCGATTCTAGGGGCCCGTCGGACGAGTTGAACGAGGTGGAGGAAAAACTGATGGGCAAGAAAGACGACGAGGACACAGAGTACGGAACGGATGGGGCCGGGTGGCTTGTTATTCCACTCGACACAGAGCTGACACTGTTTTTCATTTACGCAGAAACACAGAGGAGGGCCACGCCAAGCTGGAGAACACGACGGACAATATGATCCAGGTTTTCTCGCAGACGTTCCTCATGACGTTCTTGGCCGAGTGGGGCGACCGCTCGCAGATCGCGACGGTGACGCTGTCGGCCACCAAGGACGCATTCGGCGTGACACTCGGCGCTATCCTGGGCCACTCGATGTGCACGGGCATCGCTGTCGTGGGCGGCAAGTTCCTGGCCACGCGCATCTCGGAGCGGACCGTGACGCTTGTAGGCGGCGTCCTCTTCGTGCTCTTTGCGCTGCACTCGTTCATCTCGGGTCCCAGTGTGTCTGAGTAAAGCTGCAAACTTGGCATCAAGCAACCAGCAGAATAGATTAAAAAAAAGCGACAAGCTGACTGCATTTGATTCTAGCTGTTGTTCGCTGTGCTGTTATCGTTTGCGAGGTCTCGGACTTGGATTCCCTTCCTTGGATTCTTCCTCGTCGTCCGAAATGAACTCAAAGTTAAAGATGCGTGGCGTTGCAGTGCCAAGTTTTCGCGACGACTGTGGTCTCGTCTGTTGCAGACTTTCATCAGCGTAGTTTGGTGGCATTGACATATCTGGAGAATGCTCGTTACTGTACGCGTCGTCTGAAGCTGTTGGGAGACGATACGTCAGCGACGCTGTGCGTGAGGGATTCTGTGGCGACGGAGCTGGCCCACGATGTTCTGGAGAAGCAGAAAACCAGTCTTGACCTTCATCCAGGAAGCTGAGTCTGTCTTCTTTATCTTCCACGGTACTCGACTCAATCTCAACGTTCAAGGTGCGAGGCGTGATCGAATCCAGAGTTCGCGACATGCTCGATGCAGTCGGACTGGGGTCTAGTGAGGAGGCGACCATCGATTGCTGAGCTTCGAAGTCGTCGGACACTGATTCAAAGTTGAATATGCGTGGGGTTACTGAGCCTTGTGTTCTTACTGAAGGACGACGAGATAACGCGGGTGGGGAACCACCAATCGAGACTCCGGATATGCTTGTTTGTGGTGTCGGGAACTGACTCAAAGGAGCGTGTGGCTGCATGGCAGCCAGAAATTCTGCGTGTCGATTTTCTGCTCGCCTTTGAGCTTCTTTGATCTCAATCTGCGCGTTTGCCAGCTCGTTAATTGTTGCCTCGATCCTCTCTAGATTCCCAGCCGTAGCTCGATCAAATGCTTGCACTCCAGGAACCGAGTCGAAGTAGGCAACAGAACGTGAAGCAGTCGTAACGCTACTGTTGCGTTTACTGCGTGCTCGAGCTCGTGACCGATCTGACCCACGACGCGATGACGACGGTGCTCCAGAGAGAAATGAAGGTCCTCTCGAAGGAGAAAATGGAGTGACAGGATAACGCTTAGGGCCGTAGGTTGTACTAGCAGCGTAGAAGCGGTCGTCGTCGGTAGCGGAGTCCAAGTCGTGGCTCTCTTCCAGGTCTCCACGTTTCGTGAGTGACAAAGCTCGATGCGTCGGGAAAAACGACATGTCCTTCTTGGCCATGCGCATAGCGAGGAACAGCTCCAGCCCATTGTATTCCGTGATATTCTTCTTGCGAATGTGGACGAACAGGTACAGATAATGCCACATGTTGTGGTCTCGCGAAATGTGGTCGTGGAAACCTCGCTTAGTGGCGCGGTCGAACGTGTACGCATCGATCGAGCAGATAAAACAGCGGCCCTGCATGTCCAGTATCTTCTCCTGGTCGTTTGTGCGCAAGGAGGCAAAAGTGTCAATGATGACACCGAAAATCAGATTGAGGAGCAAGACGACGAGTAGGATGTTGTACAGCACGTCAAACGCCAAGCGGCCGTAGGAATGCGCAGAGGTTCCCAAGGGGATTTGTCGAAGATAACTACCCAGTCCTCCGTCGCTTTTTAATCCCTGGTCGAGACTCACTAGAAAGCACTGAAAGAGTCGCTGGCAAGTGTAAGGTGCGCGCCCTTCTATCTGAGCATCCGAAATGTCTTCCTCCAGTGTGTAGTCTTCCCGGAAGAAAAAGAATCCCACAACAGCGAACACGTACACCACAATCAAGTAGAGCAGCGTTGTCACACCGAGTGCCTTCGCTGGACGCGAAATGGATCGCAGCACGTTATTGAGCTCCTTGTAGCGATCCACCACATCGAGTAATAGAAACGCGAAGTAAAGTTTGTTGACGTACGCGCCCAAGACCGAGACGAAGATCTGCAGAAGAGAATATATCACACGAGGGCTGCGGACAAGGAAATACAGCGAGATAGTGGTAATTTCCAGTTGGACACGAAAGTCGCCTCGAGCGCTTGCACCTCCGCTCTTCGCATCACTCACACAAGCAGGTTTTGACGATCCCATCCCTGACGCCGATGCCTTGACACGAGGCGAGGCTGGTTTCCGCTTTTTCGGAGCAGATCGCTTTCGGATGGAAGGTGGGAGAAGCAGGTAGTTGTACTCTTCTTCTCGCTCTCGCAAAGAGCGCAGTAGCTGTTCTGTATCTTGAAAAGACTCGCGCTCTTTCCCTTTGGTTGCACTGTGGTGTGCATTATGCACCGAGCGCTTAGCATGCTTGGTCTGCTCCTTGCGGTGTCGCCGTTTCCACCCCTTCTTGATTAACAACGGTGCCGAGTTGAGCATGTAGCATATCAATACCATGCTGTACAAGATAATCTGCACTGAACCGGCAAGTGAGAGCGCAACATCGATCCACAATGACGGCTTTGGAGGCTCTACTTCTTGCCCCCAGGTGTGGACAAACGTGACATCGCTCGCTGGAAAAGGTGTTGAATAAACACCAGTAGCTCGGTAAAACAACAGCACGACCAGATTGATGATGACTGCGAGAGCAAACGACGCGCGTTTGATCTCCTCGGACTTCCTTGCCACCCATGCCACCTGTAAATGGAGCTGTAAATGACTCTGATGAGTCATCTCATCTACCAGTTTATCCGAGCGTGTGTAAAAGTCGGAAAGCTTGTCGCCTCCTCTGGATACATCCCACACAAGCTTCTCCTTGGACTTAGCCGTGAGGCAAAAGCAGATCGGGTGGATCGGAAAGTAGAAGGGCATGAGTGCCCCCGTGCAGCTCCGACTAATATCATCCGAATCAGCAGATGGAGCGTTCACCACACTGCCACTATCTGCTTTTGACGCGCTTTGAATGGCGCCTCTGGGTACGACGCGGTCAACGTTGTATTGCGCTGGGGATCGGTGGTGATCCCATACAACTTCGACCTTGGCGCAATTTGCTTGGAAGAAGCGAAATGCGTCACGGAAATCCGGCGAGCTGTCTCCGTCACCAGTACACATTGAGAGGACCTTGCTTCGAGTCGGCTGCAATGGTAGCCAAGCTTGATTGCTTTGCAGCTCTTCGGACATAGGGATCCACCATGCTTGATGTGCATTCTGATCAGCTAGCTGTTGGAGTAGGATGTAGATGTTGAAACCCATTGTAAGGTAAAAGTCCTGGCTGCACTTGACGTTGCCGGCATATACCCCGTGGTTGCGAAGGAAGTACACGTAAACCTCCACTAAATTCATCTTCAGTGCTTCGAAATTAAGTTCCTGTACGAGCTGGGAATGTATCACTTGATCGCTTCGACCTTCTAGAAGACTCAGCAGCGAGATGACAATGGCAGCTCGCAACTTGTGCACTGCATCTTGAGCTCGTGTGTCGCGTTGCTCAAACGTGTGAGTCAAAAGGGCATTAACAGCACTGATAAGCTTGTAGTTGGCTACAGTCTCCTGGGCTGCCACGCAAGGGCCCTGGCAATACTCAGTAATCGTTTCAAACAATTGGGTGATAAGACTCATGTCCAAATCTGTGAGCGCCAAGTAGGTATCCAGAAGAAAAGAGGTCGTGGATTCTACCAAGTTTGCTGATACAGCAGCGTTTGGTTGTGCGATGAGAGCACGCTGAGCATTGAGGTAATGTCCTTCGCAAAGAAGCTGCAGGAAGCGGAAAATGGAGGCGATAGGCTCACCCAGCCGTTTGACCCCGCCTCTGTCCCCTGCACTAGCCTTGTCTCCCGAAAGGTTATCCAGATTGAGACCAAATATCGATTGGCGTCTGTGCGCTCTCTTGTCCCCCGCATTTCCAGCGCAATCTAATCCATCGAAAGCGCCGACGCTAGTCCGATCAACGCTGTGAATCAGTTTGCAAGCTTTTTCGATCCGACCTTGGATCCGACCGAAAAATTGTTCATTAGCTGGTTCACTCCAGTAGCTGTAGAAGCTCTCCTGCACTTCTGCATTCATTCCATCCAACAGAGCGACACCCACTTCGATACTACTCGCAAACAATGCGTCATTGTCTCGTGATGAGATCAGTTGCACTACCAATCGAGTCACGCCCAGTTGATTCAGCTTCACTTGCATATTGTGGCGTTCTTCAGCATCTTCGACGGCGTAGATCATCCGGCAAAAAACATTCAGCAGCGTCAGATTGGTCTTGAGATAACTTAAGTCTTGTAGAGCCTCCACATGCTCAACGAGCTTCGCTACCACCAGATCAAATGACAACATCACGTTTCTAACGTGAACGTGAGGATTGAATTCCTCTTTCATCGACGTCTCGATACCCAAAATCCCTTGCACCATCTGATTCAGCTCATCTCTCACTGCACCGTGAACTCGGGGATGGGCTTGCAGCCATGAGAGAAGCTGGTCGAGCTCGCTAAATTGCTGCTGCTGACGAGTTAGATACGTCGTGGATTCCGACTGGTAGACGCTACTCGGCGCGATAAATGCGTCCGATACTCGACGTTCAGCCGGAAACGAGAAAGGCGTCACAGGAGACTCCTTCTTCGGACTCAAATACGGTGATGCGCGTTTGTCTCGCAATCCTTTGTAGTAACGTCTCGGGGACAGTCGGTGGAGAAGTCTTCCTCGATTTATTACATCGACAGCCTCCGACGTGTAGTCAGCCTTGTACGTTGGTGAGGCCTCTCTGTTTTCTTGATTCGGTTGTTTAGACCCGGAATCTCCCCAAGCGACCGGCTTACTCGTGCTGAGACTGTCCAACTTGAAGCTAGCAAGTGCCCTGCCTCGGGCATCAGCGCTGTTTGGACCGTTCACATTGGAATTCCCTTCGCGAACGGCTTGGCCCAGAGGACTGATGTCTTTCGTGTCACTCGAAGAGGCCTCGGGTAAACTGGATGGCCTTGACTCGTCGGTGAACGTGTCTGACTTAGTCTCTTGATCACGCTTTTCTAACGCCCACAGCAGAATGTCGGGCAGGTCTAGCTCGCAGTTCAGCGATGCGCAGTCTAGCCGTTCTCGGTACTTCAGAGACACCGACCACGCTTGCTCTAGTGAAGTCTGGAGTGGAGCTTGGTATTGTATCATGATTGGACGAACGGACTTGTCGATCACGTAGATGAACTCCTCAATATTGCTGACGACATCCTCGGGCAGCTGCCAATTGCTCGGTGCGCATACCATCAGCAGCAATGCCACATAGCTGTTAAATTGAACAAGGTAGTACTGAGCTTCTTCACTGTTGTCCACAAAACTCGAGAACTGCTGAATGAATGAGAACAAAGTCGGAAGAATCGAAAAGAGAACCAGATACAAGGGCGCCGACTCCAACGGCTTCTGTGCAGATAACCCGACCGCGATCGATTTGTTCTTTTGAAGCGATAACGTAGCCTGGCGATTTAAATCTTTCACGTGGAAATACGACAAGAACTGAAAGACACGCTTCTCGCAGATTTGACTCAAAGCCACCATGACATGGAGGAGATCATCGACACCAGGAGTTTCAATATCATCAGCTGTCAAGAAAATCTGATCCAAGAATCGTAGTAGAGCGAACTGAAGTCCTTCAGTGCAGTCGTCATGGAGCAAAAGGTCAAGTACACTCACCAGCGGTAGGATCTGCTGGCATATTTCCTGCACTCTGGTGTTTTTACCGGAGGCACAGGCAGCAAAAAGGTTCAAAAGTCGAACGTGATACTCGAGCATCTTACCAGAATCTGCCACATTATCGGGTTGGGTTGCTCCAGGCACACGTAATCCATTCACCGTATTCGCTCCCCGTAGCTGAATATTTTTGTTCGTGTACGCCATTCTTTCTAGTAGATTAGTATGCCTACTAAGTAGTCCGCCAAGCAGCTCAACGGTCTGTGTAGCATCATCAAACATTTGCAGGACTTTCGCGTTTTCAAAGCTCTTAACCAGCTGGAAAAGCACGAGTAGCTGGTTCTCGACAATGGGTTGCTCGTCACAGAGCACAAGCGTCTCCAGAAAGAAAAGGTAGCGAGGATCCGGACCGTCGCGAATCAAGCGGCCCACGAAAGTGTTGATCAACTCCGTGGGAACCGATTTGTATAGAGGAAAGTTGTCTGCATAAATCGCCACCAAGAGTTCCTGAGCAATTGGAAGCTCACGAACGTATTCTGCAATCATGGTGGCATGTGGAGCAACCAACGCCTGATTCTCAGCGTCATCCGTGCAAAAGGCGCGCAAGAACTGCATAGCTTGCCCAAACACGCCTCGAATTTTATCTCGCTGTCGCTTTTGAAGCTTCGTTTTGGACCGGGTGGTGGGGGACCCTGGCGCATGCTGTTGACTATCACTGTCTTCGGAGAAATGTCCTTCGTAAAAGTGTGCTCCATCAATCAGCATGCTGAGCACAAATTGAGCAGCTCTCAAATTGCGCAATAGCCGTCGAGCTTCCATCGCGATCGTACGGCCATCCTTGGCACCTTTTGTTGTTATCGAGCCATCACCTTTACCAATCGAACTAGCTTTCCAAAAGGGAGGGAGAAGGTCGTGGCTGCACGAAAACTGACTCACATGGCCAATATATGGATTGAGCGCATATCGATCTGTTGGGTAGTTCAACTTCCGGTTTGGAGGCTGCTTCTCGATGGTGAGATCACGTACAGGCTCGCGCATAAGGCCCTCCGGTAGCAGCACCTGCGTTGGGGTGCACTTCGAATTTGTGGAAAGAAGATCCGCAGCAGAATTAGCATTGTCGTCGCTAGATTCGTCGTCACTCATTGGCTTTCCCGGGGATTGTATTCGGAGTTGGCGACGTGGCGCACCTGACCTTGGCTCCACATCCGCAACTCGACTATCTGGTTTGGTATGCTCAATAACTCGGAGTAATGACTGCAGGAGTTGGCAAACCGAGAACGCTTTCTCGAAGTCGGATCGAGATGTCAGATCCATCCACACTTCGGTGGTTTCAGCCAACCGCCGTAGCTCGTCGACGTCCCCCTTCAACTTGCTGTAGATCGAGATTGTCTCTTCAGATACCAGTAACTGCACATTCTGCATCTCCTTCAAGAACTGATCGTGCTGATTATACTGCTGCAGCAACAGCTCCAAGGCCTTGGACACCAGCGGAGGATACTCGTACATGAGCATTTGCATGAAAATTGTCGTCACTGCTCTTCTGCCCAATCTCGTTAGCGACAGCTTACACTCCAAAGACTTCGAGCCGAAAAGATAGACTGCAAGCGGCGACATTTTATCACCATGGTTGTGTCCGTGAGGTAGGATATCCAATCCACGAGAGTGCCCGGTAAACGCGTTCGATACAGTTTCTCGCACTATGGCGTCATCGAAAAGAGCAGTGTGTATAGCATCTAGATCACGAAGACGCGTGGGCGAGCTTGAAGGAGGCCCGCCATGCCGAGCTTGAAAAGAAGCCAGCAAGGTCGAGATGAGAAAATCGACCCGAAGCTGGTCAACCAGAAGAAGAATCGCGCAAATTTCGTCCTTAATCTCCATCACCACGCGGTTCACTTCATTCATCTCGTAGACCTTAACACCGTCGGTAGTGTGCACGCCTGTCTTGTGCAGTAACTTGTTCAGATGGCGATGAGGACTGCTTTCAGTATTAGCCCCGGCCATGCTGTTGATACCACTTGAAGGTCGTGAAACGTTTCTTTCAGCAACTTTGTATTGCTTCGAAGCATCTCGCTCTCGGGTGACGCGAATACTGGACATGGCTCCTGCTCCATCGAACAGCACTGCGTTTTTCAAATGCGGCGACGGCTGCGACGCAGTCCCCCAACCCGGTCGGCGAGCGCTGGCCATGGACATTTTTCGTTGTTGAGTCAATTGGGCATTACTAGCTGTCGACTTTTGCCGCAGATGAAGTGCAGGCGGAAAAAGCAGAGCTGTTGGTGAGTTGTACCCTTTCACATTCTTGATATCTGGGTTGTGCACGTTGTCCATTTCTGGAAGCTGGTGCGCATAATCTGTTCGTTCATCCAGGAGATCAAATAGCAGGATCACAACACGAGAGAGCTCGTCCTCGGAAGAGTACATCCCAAATTCAGCTAGTGTGCGGGACACACGCAGAATAGCCAGAGTCAACTCATTCTCAGGAATCTCGTCGATCACAATGGCTCCTTGTAAGCAATCAAGGTAGGAAAAGCAGAAATCTTTCAGAGACGTAAAAAACGCGAGATCTTCCGGAGAGTACCCCGTGTACGAAAGGCCAGGAAGAGCTTTTGCTGCACTTGCGCTAATATCCGTCCAAATACGAGTATAGTTTGGACAGCACATGGCTTTTTGGGGCTCGCAATCGATATATGCTACCCGCAATAAGTCCATCATCACAGACCGTAAGGAGCGCGATAGAAACGGATCCATAACTGAGGTTAAGATATTCTCTCGGGGAAATGCCGTCTGGATGTACTCGATACTGATGTAATTTCGATCCAGACAGAGCGAAACATATAGACGAAAGAGACCGTAGCAGTATTGTCCAAGCGCCCGATGTTTCGCTTTCACATAATACTCTTCATAGAACTTGGTGAGTGGAATCCACGTCCCCGTGCTGGTATTTGTGTCGTTTGTCTTTGCTGATCGATTGAACATCACCTCAATGTCCTGGTTGATGTCAGAGGAGACGTGGTTAGACGTACAGATGTCAAATCCACTTCTAGACGGTCGAATAGGAATGATAACATCGTCTCGGTATCCATTCGCTGGGTTGAAAAGAAGTTCACAAATCGCCTCCTGAGTTTTCGGAACGCCTTTGCCTCTCGATGTGCACAAAGCAACGAGAAACTGCATATACCGGATCGATTTACCTCGAGTGACAATCAGTTCGAAGAAATTCCTCGTAATGCTCGCACAGCCAGTTATTGATTCCACCAGATTTCGATTTTCACGAAGCAGGTACGACAGCGGTAGCGACGTCTGGAACCCATTCCCAAGTAATTCCATCAGCACAGGCATGGCAACTTTGACCACGTAGAGCTCGTTCGTACGGTTCGCCCACGAAATATGAAGCAGCAAAACGTTTATCGCGGGGATAATGCGATTCAGACTCTGCATCGCTGCTATGTGTATTTCTAGCCGAGATGCTGACACACTAACAGAGCTTTTACGTCTCCAGGAATGGTCTTGAGTCGATATGGAACGTCTCGGAGAAATCAAATCCCTGCTAGTTGGAGATACACCACTAATCCGAAAAGCGGTGGACGAGTCCGTTCGTAGTCGAACAGGCGACCCTTTCATTTCGAGTTCATCGTTGTCATCGCCTGTATCTCTCGAATTCATGTACTCGTCGTTAAAGGAACACAATTCCTCAATCGAAAATGGTCCGCCATAGCACTGGAACGGAGACTTGATCATTCCAACCAGCAGCTCAATGTACTGGTAGGTCCGAAAAAGATTCTGACGAGATCGAAGCTGATCTCCAGAATCGTCGTCAGCTTTGACACAAAACGTAATTAGCTCTCCAAGTACATTTTCGATCCTCCTGAAAGTCCCAACCGTGCTTTCCCTTTCAAAACGAAGACTCGATCGATCACCCGTAAGGACGTCCATACGAAATTGGTCCACGAACTGGTTCAGAGCGTGCTTGTACGATATCAATAAAAGGGTGTCAGTGATTTCAGCTTGCGCTACCCGGATTACCTTAAATGCATCCTCATCTCTAGCTCCATGTAGTGTCACGACAGTGAACGACGTTTCAGTCGAACCAGCAGAACCTTTACCGGTACTTGAATTGTGAGCTAGTGGCTTGGAAGATAGCCGAATATCCGCCATTGTTGAAGCGTGAGTATCAATTGAGTGTATAAAGCTGTTCGTCTTATGATGCTGGATCAACACCACCTCTCCATTCTCAATTTGAGCTCTGAGGGGTAGCACAACATTAGCCTTTGGGATTGTTTAGGTAGCAAATATAACGTACTCTTCGTCTGCAATAGCAGTGGGAACGAAGCGGAAAAGCTGCGGTTGGTCTTGGGCAAAGGCCTGGGCGCATATCTGGGATGATTGTCGCGTGGTTGCACTAGTTCGAGTAGTAGCTCGTGGAGATTGTGAGTGAGTCACCGCGAGATATTTTCCAGTTATCAGGTGACGAAGAGTAATCGCCTCTCTCCATTTAATCTGGCCTCCTTCATAGGCAAAAACATGCTCGATTTCCCATAGGCAATCGGAGGAAAAAGCCTGTTTCGCACCATCCTCTTGAGCACTTTCGTCGCTGAAATGGAGCGTAACTGGACCACCTAGAGAATCAGATCCGTGAAACCCGAGCCATGAGCTGGATTCCAAATGAAGTAGCCGAATGCAGGACCCCGCACGAAGTCCGTCGTCATTTCTGGATGGTAGGCGCACTTCACCACTGGTTGAAAAGCTCTCGCCGTCCAGATTGTCATAGTAAACAGCTCTCCATTGTGACGAATGTACACTTGAGCCAACTACCGCAGTCGACACCCCATCCGTTGTTTTTCGATTCGAAACGAACAAATTAAACGGTTGAGATTCAGTCCCGCCGGTCAATATCATCTACAAAAGAATGGCACAGCTTAGTTTAGCCCCCACGGACATCACATAAATAAATGATACCCCACTACATAAATAAACGGTACATACTTGGTCTGTGAGTTGAACAGGGGCTCCTTTAGATCGAAGCTTAAATCGCGGCAGTACGTTGAAATGTGAGCTGGGCCCTCCGGCATCTAAAAAGACCTGGATACACGGTTAGAGATCAGTAAAGTACACTACAGATACGATGACATGCGTACCGGAGCGTATTCCGACCCGCGAAAAGGAATTGGTGAAGGATCTAACGACACGTACTTGCCAGTCTTCATGTGTCGAAGTTGGATCGTCTGTAAGCGCAATCAGAGATGAATACCATTAGCGCTACAGTGGTATTCCTTCTTCTTCGGCTTCTTCTCTCGCTGTGCTCCTCACCTGTCCGTAAATCACCTGCGTTCCTTTCAATTTCTTGTACATCATTGCATTCAATCGAGTTTCAGCTTCACTTTTAAATCGCAAATTGTCTAGCGTATGCTGATTGCCAGACTGTCTCGTTGTATCATCTATCAATGAACTGAAGGCGATAGTCGCATCATAAGTCATCTTTGGTACTACCTCGAACAAGCAGTCACGAAAAGGGCACGACAACAGCCGAAAGCCTCCTTCAGCAAACAGTCTGCGTTCCTCCTTCCCACCCAGTCCAAGCCTCGCCACCGGCCCACCTACTCCGTAATTCAGCTTCTCCAATCTCACATCACGTGAAGCGAACCCTTCCGCTGCCACAAACCCTCCTCTATCGTCACACACAAGGCTCACAATCATTCCGTACTCCAAGAATGGCGACGTAGTAGATAGCATTCCACTTCCAGTACTACTCTCGGCAGCTGTAAACATCGACACTGGATGATCCTCGTGAGTGTTAGATGGCAGCCTCTTGGACGAGTAATAGCTCAGCGGCGAGCCAATGATCGGAGGCGCTGCCATCTCTGCCGCGTCAACGTCAATCTTTAGCTTCCCCCCAAAAGGCCGTGGTCTCGCAGCTTTTATCGATTCCGAGCGGTCTTTTTGCCTTAACAGCGTCGCGGGACCTGCCGGTGACGAGATAGGAGCAACCTCCTTCTCTTTCTCCTCTTGTGCCTGCCCATTCATTTGACTCTGAACCTGATCCTGCTCTAGTTCCGGTTCTTCCGCGCGAATCTGCAGTATTCCACCCAAAGGACGAGACTTTGGTGCTCTTGCGGAAACTGCGCGCGGCTGCTGTCGTAGTGATACCGAAGCCCTCTTGGTGGCGACGGGGGGCGGTGTACTCGGTATTCTCGCGGGTCTTGGCAGATCATTGTCCTGAATATTGTCCATAGCTGCTGCGTCCCTTATAGCCCTGCCTTACTGCAAGATGTCGCCACTACATGCGATGCGGTTTTTGGCAGCGGTTTCGATGTCTTTACCAGTTTCCATATTGCAATGTACTACGTAGTACTGTATGATGTGGTGCACATCAGAAATTTCAAAGTCTTTGTATTACATGCATGGTAGGTACTGGTACATGTACCACAATAAGTACTACTTATTACTTCGAAGTACAGTATCACTTTAGCATTATCAGAAATCCTGATTTAGGATATCCGTGCACGCGAAGATGTTGCAGCTTGTGCATGACCAAGTTACATGTATGTGGTGGCGTCAAACAATTCTGAGAACGTGCATGGAGAAGCGACGTGATTTGTGAGGAACACCAGAAATTGGGGGGGGGGGCATGCACTAATTTCCTTCTTACCTAGCTTCTTCCTACTGCTCGTTTATTTTGTCAAACTACTCCTACCCTACTTACGCATAATAACTATTAGTACAACGAACTCCATTGGGACGAGGGCTGCAACGGACCCGGTAAACAACGGGTACGCGAGCGACAAGAGGCTGCAGTTCAAAACCCAAAGGCGCTTGCGCCTTGTCCGCCCTTACCAACGTCCTCCAAAAAGCCCAAAATGACCTGCATCAGACCGCTGTTGTCCACAGTGGGGCGGTTCTTGGGCCCCTCGACGTACTGGATAAAGTGGCCCATGCTGTGCTTGGCGTACTCCGAGTCGCTCCGTCGGATTTGCTCAAAAATATCTGAGAACGACGGGAAGACGCTCATGATGAGCAGCATCTCGCCTTCCTCGGGGTCGTCACTTTCCACGATCTCCAGCATCTTGTTCACGAATTCGGACGCACACCGCTCCAATCCTGCAGGCAGCAAATTCGAAGAAGCATCGTCAGTAAAATGTCCATTAATGGTATATCACTGCAGTTGACTCCCCCCACCAAGAGTACCGTCGCGCTTGATTTTCTGTTCTTCAAACTTGTGCTTATTCTTCTTGGCGTCCACGACACTGTTCTCTTTTAGCTCTGCCTTGCTCGCCTGGCAAGAGACCAAGATGATTTTTTTAATCCTCTCCTCATTTGACCAGAGGAGCGCAGGGTGTATGAGATACCTCAACATCGATTCGACGCAAGTCCTCGTCCGAGAACGGGATCCGCGTCTCCGGCTCGGAGAAGTCCCCTGTGGCAAGGATGTACTGCACGAGTGACTCGACGTTGTACACCACCACAGATCCGTTTGTCCGCGTAAACTCAAACTGCACACAAGAGTCCCCCCAGAATGATCGAGTCAGTACGTCTCAGTCTATCGTAATCAGCTCCTCCAATTGAACGCACCGTATGTGGGCCCAGTTCAGTGAGCATGATGGGATCGAGTGTGTTAATGACCATCTTGGTAGTTTTCTTGTCACGCGGGGCCTCGGCCTTGTCGTTCTCACGCGTCTTGCGCTTCTTCTTGCGAGACGATAGCCGCTCGCTGGTCCGCGTAGCCGTTGCCGCAGGTGTTGGTGCGCTCTCGACGCGACGCATGGCGTCCTCCTTGACAACGTCCGCTACGGGTGCGGGCTTGGCGGCCGAACCGCCGCCTTCTTTGCGCTGCAGCAGCGAGAAGAGCTCGGGTTTGGACAGGTGCATGTAGTACTTGAGTCCACGCTCGTGGGCGATGACGCGCAGCTCCTGCATGGACGGAGAGGATCGTGTCTCCATGGTGGAGCGTGTGAGGGGAGGATTAGAGGAGGGGGCTTCTCGCGTGCTCGCTCTGTTGGGGAATTGGATGGTTTCGACCCGACAAACCCATATCAACCGGGCTGCCACCCCACAACGTCAATAGCATCGGTGCTACCGGTATGTGTCTTTTTGAAGTTCGCAGTGTCCGCCCTTAGGGTAAGGTAAAAAGCCGTCGGCGAACCTCCACAAAATGATAAAAACGATTTGAAGAATGTAAGACAAGTGCAACAGAATGTACTGTAATTGAGAGATTCTACATTTATCTCGTATGCTCGTTGGTTTTGTTAGCAAAGATCAGCAGCTCTCTCACCTCCTTGAAGTGCACATGATCTCCCTACATAATTTGAAGCATGTGTTTTCTTCAGCGTGCCATACGATTTACTTTCATTGGCATGAGCTTCTCAATAAGAAGGCGGATGTTCGTTCCACCTTCTTCAAAGTGAAGTACCATGGACATGTTAATACTGTACAGCTTTGATAAATTCCCTTTATTACCCGTGTTTAATTATGTCTAGAAGTTTCGCTTGCATGCACTAATACACAATCTGCATTTACGAGCGTCCTCGACGGTGCCGACCACTGTCAATACCAAAGTGTCTGGAATCGAGTCCATTTTGCATTTCAAAATTTATAAATCCCACCACACTGAAGCTCCAGTCCGACGGCTTTATCGTGATACACAGATCCTTGCTATGTTTATCCAGCTGAAAGGGAGAGAAGCTTGAGAAAGATCATGCTTCTCTCACAAGCACCACGGCAAAAGCATCCCATGGTCTCAGCTGTGCTGGCTTTCATCGCCCTACCCTCTCTAAAGTTGCCTTTTTAGGAGTGATGGTCATTTTGAAGAGACTGCAGATCTTCATGTACTAAACCTTTACCGGTACAAACTGAAAGGATTCAACTCACGATCCTAACCTACAAAATAAAGCGAACCTCAACGGGTGCGAATTGAAGCCCGGAAACAGAAGTAGAATTCTACAGAGAAGAGTTCCTGCCAGTGAAGCCATCTCGACCCCAGGCAATGCGTAGACCAGGAACTGGCCTATGCACTTGCTGCAGCAAGAACGGCGCTATCACGACCCAGTATAGTGCAATGGTGGCCACTCCCCAATTGACATCACTGGCGTCCAAGAACCCTATGAGAGTGAAACTCAGCGCTGTGACGCTAAAGCTGCTGACGATGACGTACGGGATGTCGGCCAATATGGAGCTGCAATAATATCGTCAAGAGTTGTGACTTGGGGCCCAGCCATTCGATGGTTGCCTGGATTGACAGCTGCGTTTTTGTTGGCGAAGTCGTACGCGACCTGCAGAACCGTCAGTGTCGCGAAATGGTCGTCATTCTGACCCTCGTAACCGGTCGAGCTAGGCAAACCACCGCGTAACTTGTCTTGCTGAATGCGATTCCTCCCTCAACCTTCACACAATTACTGCCTTCAAGTGGAAACTGCAGGCTTTGAGCAGAGTGGACAGGTCGGACCAGAGTGACTCACTCTCACTCAGTGAGAGTCCCCGGCTTGATACATTCGCGTGCGTCACGGAGAAGCACACGTTCGACACGGTGCTTCGTTCGGGATCGCATCATCTTCCGCATGGTGGTGATGACCGTCGGTAGTTCGTCCTGTTGGCGTCGCCTTCATCCGTACAATCAACCTCGGCTGAAATGGTGAGGTTTCGGAAACAAATCTCCACTACTGGCACATTAACTACTGCATCCATCGGTAATCTACAGTTTGACGCTGCTGCGGCCGTAGAGATGGCAGGCATTTCAGCTGTAGTTGTTGGTGTTTGAATGGAAGGAAATGTCAAAGTGATCGACAATTGTTCTCGCCGATAGTAAGTCTAGCGTCACTGCTTGCACGTTGTGGATGAGGCGTAAACACCATGTTGACGCTGAGGGTCATTGATTATCCTCAGTCGTCACGCGGAATAAGTGCATGTTTGTGCAGATCTCTCAGCGGATGCATTACATGTATTTGTGGTTATACAGTTCTCTCCTTGTTCTACTCCCGCATGTAGAACTCGACGAGCGTGTCGAAGTGGTAGTGCTCGATGAGCTGGTAAAGTCGTGGTAGATTCTGCTTGGCACTGGTGCCGCGGAACTTGCACAGGTCGACGTAGAGGTCGGTAAGGATGCCGGCGAGGTAGTTGAGCGCCTTCGGACTAAGCTTGAACTCTGCCAGAATTTTCTCCGAGTTCTCGAGAATGTGCTGGTACTCCGGCGCCATCCAGGCCGTGTAATCCTCCTCGTGTAGCTGCAGCTCCTTGAGACCATCAATAAGCTTGACTTGGGAGGCTAATGCGTGCTTAGCATCTAGCAGCGGACGCAAGTAGCCCAGCATAACTGGCACACTCTCCTTCTTAATATCCAGCGAGATGTTGAGCGTTGCTTTCCGCGCCGTGGCTTCCTTGGTAATGATCTCCTTCAATATCGCAATGACCGACACAGAAGGCGTCGAGAAGCTGGCCTCACCCTTACTGTATCGACACACCAGCAAGCTCCCAAGGAAGGTGTTGCGATAACGCAGTGTCACGTCCTCCGTCTGTAGACGACCTGGGACTTCTGGCAGGCACATCGATACCCAATCATGGATCTGCACGAGGGAGAAGTCACCACTTAGTTGAAGCGTATTGCATGGCTTCTGCAGCTCAGCTTCTTCCGCTTCCGTAAGTTCGTTGACGCGGTGATGCAGTGACAGAGGCTTGACGTAAAACTTGATAGTTTGCGCCGACCGAGGCTGCGTGTTGGCCACCACCGTAGCCTCTACGTGACCAAACTGACCTTCGATGGTACGCACTTGGAATTCCAGTCGATGGGTGGGCTCGAGGCAGCGATACGTAGCCAAGAAGTGCGTGCCATTCGCTGGATCGACCGGAGACTTGCTGACGATAGCTAGATTGCTCTCGTTCTCGAGGAGATCCAATGGCACCGCTGAGTGCAGTACGATCATTTGGATGCTCACGGGGATTTCTAGCGACACGTCATAAGCTGCCAACGCCGCGTTCAGTTGGAACTTGCTGTTGACCACCAGGTCTTCCGCCACTGGGAGATGTTCCTTGTCTCTGGCACCTCGCTGTAGACTCAATCGCGCGATCTTGTCCTCAAGAGCGGCGACCTCCTTGCGCAACTTGACGATACGAGTCTCTCGCTGCACGGTTCCACGTGATCTTCCGTACGTGTCATCGTCGTCGGGTTGATCTAGCGGCTCGGTAGTGAAGCTCAGAACGCGACCGGAGAACGTCGTCGCTACGAGCTCTTCGAATCCCGGTGTGGCCACGATTCCACCTTGAACACACCGAATACTGTCGCTGTTGGTGTGCTCAAACAGCTTCACAACGTCGCCCGAGTTGGAATTGAACGAGTAGACTTCGACGCGGCCATCATCTCGACCCACGAGGATCTCTGGATGATCATCGCGATTAATATCGAAGCATGTGATGGAGTTGATGGTAGCCATGGACTGAGGTAAGCTACCATTACCATTAGACCCGGACTCGATGGTGCTGATACTGGAAGCCAATGCAGCCTGGGACGATGTCTTCCACTTGTTCTTGAGCTTGTCTCCGTTGTAGCTGATGAGACCGAGACTTCCTGCAGCTGTACCGTAGAGAATGTGGGCAGGACCCAACGAGGTTGCGCCCTTGCCTGTCGCTGGCGGAACACGACACAGAGCTGTGACTGGAGCATCCATCGCCTTCTTGGACACCGACTTGGAGTCTTTGACGACGCGAATATAGCGGTCTTGGCATCCAAGGACCCCGTAGAAGTCCTGCTCGTGGTTGATAGGCACCACAATGGCGTCGTTTATGCGATCTGGACTAACGTACGAGTGTTTGTCCGCTCCGTTGTCGTACTGGTTGAAGGTGAAGTCTGTCGTCGTCCACAATTGGCTGTCGTAGGCGTGGATCTTCCGCATTGGCTCGGCCAAGTTGCTCTGGAACTTGAAAAACTCTTTGCCTTTCTTGCTCAAACCGTGGACATGTTGTCCCGTGGCGACGAATGCCTTGTCTTCGGTGCCTTTGCTCGTCCCCATTGTCACACACGCCACGGGGCCTGCAAGCGTCACCGACTTGTACACATTCTGCGGCTCTCCTTTCTTCATCTGGTAGGTGGACACGACGCCATACTCATCGCCAATGACGAATTTTTGCTGAATGCACAAACCCACCGTCGTCGTCAGTCAGAACCGTGATCTCAATCAATAGAAACTAAGCGTCACACCTTCTTCTTCTTCTTGCTAACGGGTAGTAGGTGCAGCGAGTGGTGGCTCGCTATAGGCCCCACTTTAAGTAGTTCCGCTTGCGATAACGCCAGCCCCACCATACTTCACTTACGCTGGGAGACCGTCGCTTCGAAATCCGGATATGAAAATGACTGTGAAGAGACGCGGCGATCCAAAAGTGTCGAGATCTATTCGGGCTATGACCACCAGAAACTCACAGAGAAGCTGGTGAAGAGAGACTTAACGTAGTGCCAATACTTGGGAGGGATGTAGAGCATTTCACCCTCGTGCAGGACGCACTCGACGTATCTCGCGTTCCGGAACTTGGGGAATCTCTCGTCGTCTGGATCTTCCACTTGTACCAAGCTCGTGTTGGACAGCAGACCTTCGATTGGGTAGAGCTTGTCACTTTCTTCCGGCGCGTATAGTCGAAGATACTTGGAGCCTACGACCTGGCAGAGAACGTTGTCTTTCGGATCGAAATGCAGAGGTGACACGGTCCCACCTGGCCCGAACCAGCAGTTGATCGTTATGTCTTCTTCATCGCCAGCGTCTTCATCGCGCTGCACAGTGCAATAGTCGGGGGTCATGATGTCGCGTCCTAGTGCTGGGATCTGTTTACGAAGCACGCGCATCAAATCACTGTCGTTAACATATCCAAAGCACATGTTCAATGTCAAGTACCTGGTCAAACAGGCGGTGTTGTGCCAAGTATCCCAGCTTTCTAGGTGAGACAGGGTGGTCGTTCTCTTCTGCTAGTGGTGGGATAATATGTCGGTCCAGGAACTCGTTTAACGTCATGAGTTCTTGCCCCCAATCGTCTCCCAAATAGCTCGAGCCAATCTACTCACAAACCGCCCTTAGTCACAATGCAGGGAAAGCAAGACCAAAGATTCTTTTGCACCTCAACCGGCACTGTTCGGAGTCCAGCAATTCGACGAAGATACTCCACGCTCTTCCACGCTCGCTCCGGTCCTGCTGCACGTCCCAGCGCGGGCCAGAACTCCATCGCTCCCGTGATAACAACAGGCTTGCTGATTAACCACAACAGAACAAGAAAACGCCGATGTTAGACGAAATACTCATCTCCAGCACCCACACAAATCATACTTCTGTAGCATCACAGTGCGTCGGAATTCCTCTAGTGTTGGCATCTTCAGTCGTCGCACTGGGACCGTCAGCGCTGACTCCTTCACTTGGCCACCACTGTGCATCCATCTCTCCTTCTTCAGTCGAGGCCTCTACACGCACGACCACCATGAGCACAGCATTCCCAGTCTACTACACAGGAAACTTGAACCTCCGCACCTTGAAGTGTCGTGACTCCTGTTGCTCGGATAATAGCGTGAGACGCAATGCGTTTAGCAACAAGACCACCGAAAACGCAATGACCGGTATCCGCTTCAACCAGCGTAACTCGAGTCTAAACAATAGCAAAACAACGCACCGATGGTTCATCTTGCTGCGCGTTTTTAGCGAGTTCGCGCTCCACCGTGGCGATGAGTGCATGCGTCTCGAACGGCGCCAGCGGCCCGGCCATCATAAGACACTACGACAGCAGCAACAGAATGGTGGGTGTCACACTCAGTCAGAGATGCAGTCATTATCCTTCCCTCTTTGTCCATTAATACGCACCATGTCGAGCATTTTCAGGCATTCCGCTGGCTGTTTGGAGCGCAGTAAGCAGCGCGCCCGCAACACACTAGCGAGCCCAAACGCCTGACGCCACAGCGGTGACACATCTTTCCAGCTGCCACAGTGCAGTTTCTCCCAGCAGCGCTCGTAGGCCGCGACGGCCAGCGTCTCAACAAGCTCTTCGTCCTTCGAATTAGCAGCGCGCAGTAGTAAATCGGCAATTGAGGCGCCCCCAGCTTTCTGTAGTTCTAGTAGACGGCACATTCAGCTTTAAAAGTGCCCTTAGGTGAATAAAAAGCATGTACGCACCCTGTAGGAAGCGCGATTCGAGCGCCGGAGGCTCTGCGGCGGCATTCATCCTACAGCTCGTCACTCTTTCGGGTATTGGATAGTGACATAGTCTAGCATCCAATCTGCTCGTTTACCTGCCCATCTCCCCGTAGCAGTTTACAGTACATGTAATAATAAATTGAAGTGTTTCGATCTTCACGTCAAAACTGAAGTGCAAGGGCGAGGGTTGCAGCAAGAACTTTTTGGCTGTATGGTACCGGTACCAGCCTCATCCTGACAAGAATCGCCCACCGGTATTGTATTGGTAAATTTGCTGTCAAAGACTCAAGTTCTCAGCGTCAACTTCAGACACGACCATGGCGCTGCGAAGAGCGTCGCAACGCAGCTCTGAGACCGCCCGATGGCAGCTGCTTCGCTCATACACGGCGTTATCCCGTGCACAATTCCGCCATGCGCCGGCGCCCGCGGCTTTCGCGCGCTCCGAGCCGCTATCGCTTAGCAGCTCCGGTGTTCTCACGGCCCCCGCAGGCGCCAACTCGCTGCTACTGGACAGCGCGCGCTTCATATCGCAGCGACCAGCTCGCCGTAACAGCAATGGAGACATCAGCAAGGAAGAGAATATAGCCAAAGCGGCAGCGGAAACCTCCGCCACCTACGAGATGTTGCTACAACGGCTGTACCAGGTGAACCGCTTCTCAGCTGTCAAGCTCGGACTCGAGAACATGCAGAAACTGAACGCAGCCTTTGGAGACCCAGCCTCGCAATTTGAGATCATCCACGTTGCAGGCACCAACGGCAAAGGATCCGTGGCGTTCAAGGTGGCCAAGGCGCTCGAGCGCTCAGGACATAAGACGGGGCTATTCGTGTCGCCGCACGTCGCTTGTTTCCGCGAGCGCGTGCAAGTCAACGGTCAGCTTATCTCCGAGAGCGACGTGTGCGACGCGCTGTCTGAAATCTTCAACATCAGCGCACAACTCCGGATCCCAGCCACGTTCTTCGAGATTACCACTATGCTGGCCTTCATGCACTTCGCCAAACAGGGCGTAGATTGTGTCGTGCTGGAGACAGGCCTCGGTGGTCGATTGGACTCGACAAACATTGTGACACCGGCCTTGTCAGTGATCACATCCATTGGCCTCGACCACACGCGCATTCTGGGCAACACTCGTGAGGCCATTGCACGTGAGAAGGCAGGCATTATCAAGGCAAACGTGCCAGTTGTGGTAGGACCAAATACGCCTGTAAATGTAATGATGGAGTTCGCAGCGCGGAATAACGCCCCGCTTGTACGCGTGCCTCTCCAAGCGGACTTTGATGAAGATTATAACGCCGAAAATACGGCCATCGCACGCGAAGCTTGCGTGCAGCTCAACACACTGCACAGTTTGAAGACCGGCCGTTCCCGTGCAGCCCAGAAACTCTGTGTCGACTTGACGAACAAACGCGTTAATGCTGCGCTCGAGGCACGTCCTCCGTGTCGGTTCCAGGTGCTGCATCTCATGCGCCCCAACTCGAAGGAACGCAAGATGACAGTAGTGCTGGACGTGGCGCACAACCCGCAGGCCATCGACAAGCTGGTAGGACTCTTGCACAAGCAGTTCCCCGACAAGAAATTCCGGTTCGTGTGTGGCTTCTCGGCTGACAAGGCCATCAACAAGGTGCTGGATAAGATTACGGAAGTGGTCCGTGACACCCACCCGGACGAGAGCGACGAGGAGCTGCAGGAGCGAATCCACTTGGTTAAGGCCAACCACCCTCGTGGGGCGTCACTTGAAGAAATTAATGGAGCGTTAGCGAGTGCCACTGCTGAGGGTGAGGAGCCTCGTGTATACGGCACCATTTCCACAATCAAAGACGGCGTGAATGCCGCGCTGGCCGCATCGCGCGCATCGTCCGACGACGAGGTAGTTGTGGTGTGTGGCAGTGTATTCCTTATGGCGGAGGCGCGCCAGGCACTCGGCCTAAAGGAACCAATCGACAGCGCAGCACTCAACGCGGTAGCGGGCTTGCACCTATCGACCCCCGAACACCGCATCGCCGTAGCGGAGCAGGAAGCCGAGGTGGCCGCGGCCACATAAGATTACCCGCGTTTTGCCGCTTAGCTTAGGAACTTATGGATATGAAATGTTAAGCTTATGAAATTAACTCGATGCAGCTCAATGTTGCCGTCGCCGCTGCCGAAGGTAAACAGCACACATACACTGTCTTAGAATAACTTAAAAAGTATTATACTACAGTCGTGCACCTCCAATTCGACACCGGTATCAGTCGATACCCTGCCAGATTTTATGATTACGCGAATCGGATGCGCAATTACCTTTGCCCATCACCACCCTAGCAATTAACCTCACGGTTTTCCCCTCCTCGCCGAGGGATGACTCGCCGCATCGATCTGATTTTAAATTTAGATCGGACCACACCAACGTACTTCTCACCTCGATTTTTACCGCCAAAGACAATGGGACATCGCCCTTCCTCCTACTAGTACTTGTCCCGCAAAAGCAGTCTGAGCGTGTTAAGCACAAGTCAGCCTGCATGCTCTCACTCCGAACTTGCTCGTTCGGCAACGGAGCGCTTTAAGACCCCCCGAGCAGTAAAGCGCACTACCGTCCAGAGTTTTCTTAAGCGGTCCGCGGAAGTTGCCGCCTTGCCGGACGCCTATCGCGACCGGAAGCGCTGTTGCGCGCCCGCGATTCGCGCGTCTGACGCCAAACTTATGCAGAAGATTGGCGTAAATTTTGTACTGAATTAACAAATAAAATATCAGTGCACTGGATTTGCGTTTGTTTTTTGCTTTACGTTGTGCACTTATGCCCTGGCACTGTTGATATTGTCGAATTGGAGGTGCACGACTGTACTGTACATGTAGTATATATGATACTTGTACAGTACTGCACCCCGTTTTCGCGGGGGTGGACCATATGGGATTTGCAAATAAATCAGATTTTAGCTTACAAGCGATAGCTCTTTTTGATTCAGTCCGGAAGTTTATCAAAGTTCCAAGGGCTCGAAAACGGGGTGCAGTACTGTACACGACGTTGGTGAATGTATGTGATTACTGAATCCAACCAGCTTCACTTTCGCCTCCACGTCACAACTGAAAAAGATCTCGAAGGCAACACGACCAACACTCTGCCATGAGCGACTACAAGAAGACCGTGACCGCCGCTGGCGCTGCTCTGCTCTCGGAGCTGCCACAGCGCGTGGCGCAGGTGCAGGCGCTGCTGGAGCAGCACGCGGGCGAACGCACGCCTTCCAAGCTACGCACCAAGTTCGCGCAGGCGGTGCTGGCGGCTCCGGCCGCTGTGAGCTCCAACGGCGAAGTGCAGGCTCTGCTGACGGTTGTGGGGGATGAGGTGGCACAGCTCATCAGTACCATTCAGCAGCTGCAGGTTTGGATCCAAGTGCAGGTGCCTAAGGTCGAGGACGGCAACAATTTCGGCGTGGAGGTGCAAAAGTACGCGTTTGTGCACCTTAAAGAGGCGCTCGAGAGGTGGCAGAAGACGTGGGACTCGATGGCCGACTACAGCTCGGCGCGCGCCACGGCGGTGGAGAAACTCAACGCTAAGGCTAGTTCCGAGACCAGCACGACGACCACTGTCACCTCCTCGAAGGGCGGCAAGGACGGCGATGAGGAGAAGAGCGTCACAGCTAAGGTGGAGAAACAGAGCAATGCTGGCACCAAGGCGCCCGAGGACGCCATCGCCGCCGTCGTGGAAATCGATATCAAGTGGTACTTTAACCTCGCACGCGCCCTCGAGGGCGTACGCGACCAATATGCCGTCACGGAGGACGTAATTTTCAAGAACAAGGAGAAGATCGAGTTGCCGCGCGGAAAGAACGACCGCGCCGGATTCAACATGTTCTAGACGTACCAAGAAGACAAAGATACACTAGACGGTGGCTGGATTTTAGTAGGGCCTGGCCTGTTGTGAGCTGAAAGAAAAATGTTGCGTGAACTGGACGTAGCACTGGATCGCTAGTTGGCAAGCAAAGGAGGACTGAGAAACGCTACCGTTTCGTAATCTAAATGAGGCATAAGAACTTCGTGTGACGCAGTGATGCCCAACTTAAAATCGTCTCGTTTTGCTGTCCTTGCTAACTATTCTTGGTGATGAGGCTGCTTGCTCGTTTCTTTATTTTATGGTCAATAGATTGTCCGCAACTTCATTGCCACTCGTCACGTCGAGTGCACCGGTGAATGAATTATGTCGACAGCACCTTCGCCCAGGAAACCTAATGCTGAGAATTGCGAGTCGATGCTGCGGTTCCATCCTCGTCCGGTGCATTTGAACCACACAACCCCGCAACCTGCGGCATTAGCGGGTTACCCCTTGGTATCAGCTCGGCATCGCCCACGAATGTCACCTCGCCAGGTAAAACTTCAACGCATGGAGCCTTCGCCCTCATACACCATTGCTATTCCGCTACGTGACCAGGTATCGACCAATTTTCGCCACGAGCTCTTCCAATTTCACCAAATTCTTAGAGATGTCATCGAGGCAAAACATCCAGATCAACTACAACACGTCAACCCTCAGCCGTCTACTGGGATTTTTCGGGATCGACGCGTACTCGAACTGCTGACAAGCGATCGCGGTGATGCCGTGCTGAAGGAATTTTTTGTGCGTTGGCGGCGATTTTTGAGTGGAGAAAACACAAGTGATACTTTTTGTCAAGACGATGAAAAAGATGACGGGTCCCTGCTCTGGGAAGTGCTCGAGACTTTCTTTTCCAATCTGCCGCTTGTGGTGTCAGAAGATGAAGCTGCGGGTGTGAGCAATCCGAAGGCATTTGTCCGCTACTTTGACTCGCTCAAATCTCTGCGTGACCTGCTGATTGCCCTTCTATTTAAGCGTCTGAAAGGAGAAACAAGGGATTCTTTTGAAGACAATAGCGACGAAGACAGTGTCGGCGGATTGGAATCGAGTATTGGACTGGGCTTTGACTTGAATTTTAACGCTGGAAAGAAGCGTTTGTCACCACGGTCTCCTCGACAACCACCTAGAACCGACAGATCCCAATACCGCGTTCCGCTCTACCTGTATTGTCAGCAACTGGAAACCCAACTGGAGGAGCTACGACGACGAGTTCCACACAGAAGACCACGCAGTCCAGGAGTTGTGGCCGTGGCTCTGGATGATGTCGGACTCTTACAAGACAACACAGTCATGTTGCTGCTGGACTTTTGGGGATTACCTCACGAGGAACGTTTGGCATTCTTCTGCCAGATTGCAAGCCAGGCTAACGAGCACGAAGCCAGCGCCATCCTACACGTCTTCCTTGACAACTGCACCACTCAGACGTTTATGCAGATCTGGGAGGCTTTACAGCAATCGCCACAATTCCAGAAGATGATCCGAGATGGAAAGATACAGTTGGAACCAGCAACAGTCGACGAAAAGATACTTCCAAGCACAGACACTGAACGCGAGAAGGAGAAAGCAGTCACGATCAAAAACCCCGACGTTGAGAAGCGGCGAGGATCGCAGCGTGGTGTCAGGAAGCGAGGGCGACGTTCCACTCGATTTGTGGATCTCAGCGGCATCACTGAGGCCTTCAATGACAATGATTGTGACGGAGATAGCTCGGGTGACAACGACGATGATTTCAAGGAAAGTCTTGGAGACTCGAAGCCCGATAAACGTCGCTTTCAGAAGTTTACAATACGTGAGAGAGGACGATTGTCTCTCTCGGAGCTTTGTGACCATCCGGCTGAAGAGAAACAAAGTGATCGACGCAGCTCCTTTCGTCGGAGCGATCACAGTCGAAGGCAACTCAAGACACCAGTTGAAAGAGAATCTGTGCCGTTGCTTGAGCTCCTTCATGATGACCTCACGGAGATTATCAAGATGGAGAATGGACCTGATGTGCATGTTATGGATGCAGTTTGGCAACTACTCGAGGCGCTCGACGGTCAAGGAAAGCACGCGTCTAAGAGCGGGTACCATCGCCGTCAGGTACCGTTACCCGCACCCGCACCAATCGTACCAGTGCAACCACCGCAACAAGTTGTCGCCCAAAACCCCCGAGGATCGATCCGTACACCTCTTTCCACGGAGCAACAGCTCTTGATGAAGCTCGATCAACTTCAATCGATGTTAGTGGCGCTGGGCGATGCACGTGTTCACACGATGAGTACCGAGACCATCACAGGCGCCTATCGACGCATGCCAATCCTGGCCAAACTGTTTGCAGCGCTCACTGACACAAGTTTAGGCGCTGCGGGGGTCGATACAACAGCCGGTGGCATCACGAAAGGTGGCAGTAACTACGGGACGACACAACATCTCACTAACTCCTGGCAAGCAGGAACTTCAAGCGAGAAACCTGCTGATTCTTTGCCAGTAAAGGAAGTAGTGCATTCACCCATAGCCGGCGAGAATGTTCGCGAAGATGTCGAGGCGATGGGTGTGTTGCTGGTCAAACTCAGTAAGTTCGTGCGCAGCTTGGCTCCGCTGGTAGATAACGAAGACTCAGCGCATAGCAGCGTGAGTGCAAGCGACGACGTGTTGACCATCATGGATCTGGCAACGAAACTCGAGAACGCTGGTGCATTCACAGACGCCCCTGGAGGCAAACGTCGGATCTCGCTAGCTGCTGACCGTGAAGTGCCCATCATTCTTGCAGTGCAATCGCTTGCGCGCTCCAACAACTTCGACGTCGTATCGCAACTCATTTCATCTGCCGTGAAGACTAAAATGACGCGCGTACGACTTGCCGCAGCCGAAGCAAAAGCAAACGATGAAGACGCAAATGAAAGTGACGACGACGATCCTGATGTCGCTGAAGGTGACGACGTAGAAGCGATGAAAATCGTCTCAAATCTCCGACGTGCGTCAGTGAAAGCAGCTCAAACGCACGAGGCAAAAAATCAATTTCCCGCGCAAGTACAAAGCGTAGAGACCCAAAGCGCTTCGAGCGAAGGTGACGGCACATTCATTGCCGGCATTCGTTCAAACAAGAGCGATATTCCGATGAACATCAAGAATACTGCAGCGTTGCGTGGAGTCAAGCTTTTTAACGTGGATATTCTTCTGCGCATCGTCAATCAGGTGAGTTGTTGACTGTAGTGAGGAAGTGGACACGATGTCTTATTTCATGGCTGGTCAGCTATATCGCGATAACTATGAGGGCATGGTATCGACGCTGCAATACGGAAATCGACGAATGGAGTTCAGCGAGTTCATTTACGATTGGCACATTCGGAAGTACGGACTCAAGACACTTGCACAGCGTCACCTGCTAAAGCTCATTCAGTCTCTGCGTAAGCACGAGAAGAAGGCTTTCCAGTGCCAACTGTACGTTGGTCTTGCACTTGTGATATTCTCACGTACTCCTCTAAAACGTTGCTGTGATAGCTGCCTGCGGTTCATGGGCATTCAGATATCCATTTCACCTCCTATTTGTGCTTACTTTTGCATGACCTCCTGTTTCCTTTGGAGTTTTCCTTAACACTTAATGCTCGTTTGTGTTGCGTTTGCCGTTGTTTCCTGCACAATTCCTTAGGTTTTCACGAACACAAATTTGTTTTGGTAAGATGCCTACAATGATCGTTGTGTGAGTATTTACCCTTGTGGCTTCACTGTGTAGGCATTGCTTAGTCGATGGTCTCTCGGGACGTTTTTGGGTGGGTCTAAGCACCGTATCGAGATCCCGAAGCGACAATTTAAGATCCGCATCACGTTCGCAGTGTCGACTGTGCAAGAAGCGCTACGAGAACGTTTCGGAGTTTATGCTCGTGGGATGGATGCTTTTGCGGAGCGTATCCGAGCAAAGGCGTGTCCACGCGACGATGAATTTATTCGTGAAAGTGATTTGCTAACTCTATGTGTGGAAGAGTTTGAGTCACAGCGAGCATTACTCGAAAAGGTGCTTGGAGCAGTGTATCAGGCGGGCGACATCAATGGCGACGGTAGCCTCGAGTTCGACGAGTTTGCGTCTGTGGTGACTCACTTATCTCCGACAGTGGACGATCGATTCCTGCAGAAGGTATTTGAGGCAGCGCATGACTTTACAAAGCCACACAGGATCTCGTTCGCGCGATTCCTCGACGTAATTCTGCTGGAGAGGGTGCTTAATCCAGCTCCTCTCAGCGCGGCAGCGACGGGCATAGCAAGAGCCAAGAACGCCGCTGCAGCAGCCGCAGCAAGCAGTACTGGTGGCACTATCTCAGTCTTTATGGCCGGCTCTCTGCAACCCAATAGCATTGCAAAAGCAGCCACTCAAGACGACCAAGAAGAAGCGTATCAGTTCGAGTTACTGCGTGAAACGTGGGCACACGATCGTGAGGCAGTCGCTCAAGTGCTTCAAACGAGCATCACGCACGCACCTACGGCGAAGTCACTGACCTTCCGTGTTGCTTTCCTGGACCAACTACTTGATCGACGCGTAGACGCAAAGACGGCGTGGCTGTGTCATCGACAGATCATGCGCGAGATTGCACGGTATCAACATCTCGATGCCGACCAAATAGCCGGGTTACGTCGAAAGGAGCTGCAGTTCAAGAAGACTGTGCGTGCCATTCAGAATGTTCAACGACTCAGCGCACTCTTCGCAGTCAATCCTGCGCTTCGAGAACCCAACGAAGATGAAGCCGCAGTCGACACCTCCGAGGCCCCAAACTACACTGCGGCAGTCCAGCAATCGCTCGATACACAAATGACTGGAACGCCCGACGTCGCAGACGTGGCAGCGCTGGAGAACGAACTACGCGAGACTTTTCTCGAGAGAGCAGATGAAGGCGCGATCGAAGATTACATGGCAGCATTGCAGCACCTGCGTCGCGTGAGCACCAAGCAGCAGTCGCTGCAGCTGGACGAGCTGACACTGCCCAGGATAGAGGAATCCCTACCAGAAGGCAACGAAGACAGCGACACGGACGACGATGGCGAAGACGAGAGCAAAGAAGACGAAGCTGAATATGACCGCGAGGAGGTCGGACCATAAGGTCACAGTAAAGCTGAAGTTGAAGTGGGATCTGTAGCCATGTCTCGTCTCATGGTTGAAGTTGTTTACACACTGTACACATTACTACACTTCTGTAGATTATGTATTTGTTTCTCTACAATGAAAGGTACTACATGTAATAGAAAAAAGAAAAAACAAAATTGCGAGATGGCAGGAGACGTCGTGCCACCTTGGCAAGCTCATGCGCGCTCACCAAATCAGCTGTCGCGTCCTCCACCTAAGCGAAGGAAGGAGAGCGGATCTTCTGGGCGGCACGGCTGAGCACGGGCTTGTCCGTCTGCGCGTAGTTGGCCATGCGGCACATGTAGTCGCCCTCGAACGTGGCCTGTGTGTGTCCACCCTTGCGCTTGTACAGCAGGTCGTCGTCGATCTTGACCATGTCCTCCGCGAACATGTTGTTGCCCTTGGCAGACTCGAGCGCGTTGCGGTCCGTGTACACACTCACCGAGTATTTAGCCGGACGGAAGCAACGCAGCACGTTCTTGAGCAGTGACGCGTACGAGCGGAGACGCGCGTTGGTCTCGAAGCTCACGTAGCTGCAGTGGCTCTCGGGAGTGATGTGGATCGTGTAGTAAGCGTCGAACAGGATGCCGTTCATCGAGTATCCACACGGATCAAAGGCAAAGTCGTCGATCACTGCGCCAGGCACCAGGTCACGGATGCCACTCTCAATCGTCATGCGACGAGAAGTCACGGTACTGTCGTTGTTCTTGAAGAACTGCTTGGCCACACTCGGGTGCATATCCTGCATCAGCACCTGGAGCGTACTCTCATTGGCACGAAGTTCCTTGAAGTCGGGGTTGTGCGTCAATGCACCGGGTTGCTCATGGATGTCGGCGTCCCACGCGTAAATGTACCAGTGGTCGCGGTTCAACGGACCCAGCACGTGAGCCGATCCGTCCGGGAAGTAGGAGCTGAGGAACGCCACCTCAGTCTGGAAACTCGTGTGAGGGTACTTTTGCTCCTCTGGGAAGGTGTAGTTCTTGCGGGAGTAATTGACCCACTCGATCTCAAGACCAAGACGCTCGGAGAAGGTCTTGATGTAAGGCAGACACTTGAGTAGAGTGGTGGTGCCGCAGGTCTTGAGCACAATCTTGTGTGCATAAATGAACATGGAGCTCTCGGACAGCACGTAGGCGTCGATGTGCTCGTTGCTCGTACGGGACAGGATCTGGCATTGTCCAGCTTCCAGCATTTCGTCAAGATCGTGGCGCGGCACCTCACGCAGGCCGCGTTCGTGGCCGACTCCCAGCTTGAAGTCGATCTCGAGGTTCTTCTCGGGGCCTTCGAAGGTGTTCGGTACGGTATCCGAGGCCTCCGACTGGGTGGAGCTGGTCTCGTCATCGTGGAGTTTGATAGGTTCAGGGAAAGGTTGCGCCATTTTGATGACGATGGCGTAGGTCAAATTTGGGGGGGGGGGCTTGGTATCTAGTCGGATCTGGAGTTGGTAGACCTGTTAAGCTGGGTCGTCGCACGCGCCAATGTAGAAGAAGCCCGTGAAGATGGTGGTGGGGTCAACAATGTCGTTGCAGCTGATAAAAAGCGGGTCGACCAACAGCATGAACAATGTGGGCGGTCTGGGCTGGCGAAGAGGGGCCGAGGAAGGAGGAGAGAGAGGAAGAAGGGCGAGCGGAGGGCTTTCTTTCTTTCTTTCCTAGTTTCACTCAAGTCCACGGGGCAGCGGCGACGGAAGGGGCGAAGGCGGCGCGGAGGAGGGAGGCGCGGGGTCTGAGCGGGAGCGAGGGCAACACCGGCACAAATGAACGGAGGGGCACGAAGCAAGTTTTGGAATGACCAAACGAGTGGAGCGCGATGCGGATCCGACGAAAGCACAGTGTTCGGCCAAATGTACAGAAACATTGCGAAACAGAGGTTTTTACAGTCCACAATCCGAGGTTTTTCCACAATCCTTGGGGGTCAAACGAACAAATACATTTAATGAGAGCTTATGCAATGACCATCAGCTCGATCCGAAAAGGGACGTTGACTGCTTGCTGCTTGTTCTTCTAAATACGAAGTGAGAGAGCTCGCCACGTGTGGTCAGCAACAAGCAGGAGCAGAGTATACCGCTACCGTTTCGGTATACCGGTACTAAAAACTGGTGTGGAAAACACAATTCCCTTGCTTCGCTCTGCTTCGCTATGAAATACACCTTTCCACAATCCTTGGGGGTCAAACGAACAAATACATTAATGAGAGCTTATGCAATGACCATCAGCTCGATCCGAAAAGGGACGAGGAGAGCGGTGTCCCCTTAAGTGGTCATGCATAGTGGCTCCACTAATGTAGCGTCGAATCCCCCGGTGGGCCTGCCACCATGTTCGCTGAAAGCGTGGTAACGGACTCCTTGTAGAGCCTGGTGTAGGTCTTGTACGCGTCGGAAACCCAGCGGCCGTGAAACTGGATTGTAAGTGCATCCGTGCCAGATCGGTACATGTGCGTGGCTCCCCCGGCGCGTAGAGAATGAGAGCTGAACCGGCGGGGGTCTTCGCCAGTGCGAGCGGCAGCGCCTTTGATGGCTTCGGACACATCTTTGGTCGATACGCAGGCTGGTTGTCCCGAGCGTGAGATGTACACGGCGGCTGGGATGTTTGCAGGGAGATTCATCCTTGCTTGATGGAGGATGAGTGCTCCGAACACGGGGCACAGAAACTGGTGACCAGAGCGAGATAGCATCCTAGTCGTTGGAGCCCCACCTTGATTGGTCTTGGACCCGATCAGGCGAATTCAAACAGCCTGAGCCTGTGACGGACACTGAGTCGGCTGCCCAGTGGTATCCACAACCACGATGTCTTGCGCGAACCACTTGAAAAATCCACCTTGGATGGCTACGATCTCTGATCGTCTCAGAAGAAAGAAGAATGCCAAGCTCACTACCCCCCCACAGGGCGTGGCCACGGAGATGTTCCATGGCCAGGCCTCGAAAGCATGCTGGCTGCCTTGCGGCGTCGGGACGTGTCGAGACGGCTAATTCCTTTGAGAAGCATGCGGATGTGCGGGTGTTCAATCGGGAGCTCATATCCGGAGGCGGCGAAAAAATGGCGAACGCCATGGAGCACCGCCATGATGGAGGCGCTACGGATGGGACCGCCGGATCCAAAGCCAAACTTAAATCCATGTTAAACGAAATCGATATGTGCTTCACCATGTCAGTGAGAGTCATGCCATGAAGCCAGGGCGAAAGTCCTCGTCGCGAAGTCCACCTTTTCCACTTGTTGAAGGGTTAATTGTATTGATCAAACGTGGAGTCGGCAACGGAGTGCGCGCGGAGATATGCTGCCAGATATTAGCTAGGCCTTGAATGTCCGTCTTCGGGGCCACCTGCGACCACCCATGTGTTAGCGAAGCAAACACAGCTGCAAACGACGGGTTAGCGGGAATACGGGAGCCGGCATCAGCGCGCGTATTATCTGTTCCAGCAACGTGAGACGCTAAAAACCGAAGCCGATATGATGCTTCCCACCAGCTAGGCAGGCGGATCATCACTTGAGCCCTGGGGTTGCGTGAGGCCAGCTTGTTTTGCCATGCGACAGCGGATGAATTGTCGATACGGAAGTGCACGTGCCGCGGTCTGTTGCCGATGGGCTGCTCGCGGACCATCGTTCTCCCCATGCGTGCACTGCGAAGGCACACGAGAGGAGCTCGCGGAAGTTGATGTCAAAGCCGTTAACCGCTCCCATTTTGAATTCCGCTATCAGCGATAGCTCGGATGGAGTAAATGCGTAGGTGAGCTCAGTCTTCGCCAATACGTCGAGCGCACACAGCCCGACATCCGACGCGTCCATTTCGACCACAACATCCGGGGGTGGGAGAGCGTTGACGTATTCCAGAGATACACCGTTTAGCTGAGGGCTGTGCAAAATAAGCCACCACCAGAGCAGGTCTTCTCGCATTGCGTCTGTCATGGAGACGCCCTGAAAACGATGGAGTTGTGCCTCATGGTGGCGGAGACGCTGAAGGAACGGTCGTGCGGCCAGAATGCGAGTCGCCACATGACGTAAGCTGCCCATTAGCGACCGATACGCTTTTCTAGTCAACGTCGCGGAGTGGTAAGCTGAAGCGACAATCCTGCGTGCCTTTTGGATCTTGAAAACCGGTAGTGCGACCACTCCATCGACTGAGTCGAACTCCAATCCGAGAATGCGCTGGCGTGTCTTCCAATCAGTGAACTTTTCGATGTTGATGGCGTCAGCGCCCAGAATGGCCACCATTGCGTAACGGAGGGAGCGGTCTATGTCGGAACAGGTCGTTCCTATATCTGCAGCTACGTTAATGTGGCCATCCACCCAGTGATAATTGAAGAAACCGGCCGGAGAGCTGCGTTGGTATGGCAGCCATGACGTTGGAAATCGCTCCGCCGAAAATCTCGTAGATCCAGAAGAGCCTGTCATCCGAAAGCGCGAAAGCTCGATCACAGAACGTTCTCTTCTCGATCAGCCCGGCAAACAGGTAGACGCTGTTGCTGTGGATGCTAATATTCCGGAAGGCTGTAGCGACGTCGCCCGCCATCACATAGATTGGTACATCGGGGAATTCTTGCTTTGCTTTCAGGATCTCCCGTGCTACCGCGTCGCAGTGGATGTAGTCAGGTTTGGTAATGCTGTCTTGATCGGTGCAATCGTTAATCGATGTTCCTTCAGGATATGACAGATCGTGGATCGTACGTCCGGAAACCGTGCTGTCCTCGCTTCCCTTGTCCACGACGCCGAAGGGACTAATGATTATCTCTGGCCACTGCTTCAGAAGATCCATGTCGAGGACCAGGCACCTCCCAGCATCTTGCTCTTTCCTGATGTTCCTGCGCAAGATATTAATTCTGCCCCGAGCCGAGCCATGATTTACTGGGCGAACTGACTGCCGAGGTGGTGTTTCTTTTAGCGGGACTTCGAAACCTTCTTGAGCAATCTTCTGCATCTGCGCCAAGTGCTTATATTCTCTGCACAGCTCGCCAAGAACCGCTGGAACCAAATTCTTGTTCGGACGGTAGTCCCGCTCCGTTTGTCCCCGAACCAGCTCCACGAACGCCGGTAGTAGTAAAGCTGAACGGCGTGCGAGCTCCGACAGAGAGCGTTGCAATGGCTTTTTAAGCACGTATACAGGTCCATCAGCGCCTTCTTGCGTTGTAGGGAAATCGGGCGCTGGTAGCTTTATGCCGAAGCTGGCCATGGCCTTCCCGAGCGTAGCCGATTGAGCTTCTCGATTCAGGGTTCGTCGCCGACGTGCATTCTCATGCATTTGGTCCGCGGTTGACTTGAGACTACACGGCGACGTGGGGTTCTTTCGATCCGAAGTATGTTTCCTGTGCCATCTCTGTTAGCCGAGTGTAGCTTGTCTGGATTTGCTTGACTTGTACCCGAAGTCGAAGGCATCCTTGTAGATCTATCAGCATTCATCGGAATTTGGACCTTGGTAGACTTCGTATTATCGCGTCGGACGTTTCGTCGTATAAGGTCGCTAGTGTACAGATCGTCTGACCTGGATGGGCTGCACCCCCGGAGGGCGTGTATACGTGGATGGCTGTATAGACGACATGGATTGTACATGTATAGTCAAAGCAGGCCGTATACCCGTGGGTGACTGTATTGTCGACCCGGACTGTATAGTCAAGGGTGGCTGTATACCCGAAGGTGACTGTATAGTCGACCCAGACTGTAAAGTCAAGGGGGGCTGTATAGCCGTGGGTGACTGTATGGTCGACCCGGACTGTATAGTCAAAGGAGGCTGTATAGCCGAAGACGTCACTTGTCTCGATTCACCGCAGGTTAGGGTGAACCTGGAAGGCGAGGAACCCGGTACATCAGCAGGTGAGGAGAGGATTTCATTAGCGAAACGGAGGCCTTCCGGAGAAATTTCTCGCTCGCGCAGCAAAATCCTGTTACATCGACGACGATGTCTCTGCTGGCGGAAGCTACGCTGTCCGTAGGGGTATTATCGGACCTGGACCACGGCGAGTTGGGAGCACTGGTGGCCTCGGTGGTCACTTGAGTGGTCATCGTGCGATAATGTTGTAGGAAGCCCCCTTTATTTTTTGACTGCTTGCTACTTGTTCTTCCAAATACGAAGTGAGAGAGCTCCACGTGTGGTCAGCAACAAGCAGGAGCAGTGTATACCGGTACCGTTTCGGTATACCGGTTCTAAAAACTGGTGTGGAAAACACAATTCCCTTGCTTTGCTCTGATGGAATGGAATCTGCCCGTCGTCCAGTGTACAGTATCAGTAAATAAACCCACCGCCAACTGGGTGATCACCAAGTGAGACTTGTGCATTACGCTTCAAGCAGCAGGCGAGGAAGATTTGGATATATCCATACGGTGGAGTTTGCTTGGTATTGCGATGGAACTTCGTATCTTCAGCCGTTTTATAAAATTAAATGTTACTACCACTCAATAATTGCGCTCGCGAAACGACCGCCGCCATTTTCGGGACGCCTGGGTGACGGAGGCCTCCGTCACCTGGACGTCCTGAAGAAACGTTGCCTAAAAAAAACGCAGCACTCTCCCTGTGCATGGTCTCCGTTGTGTTGTGTGCACCTGGATCACCACAATGAAATCTGTAGCGTCCAACACCGACAAGGTTTCGTAGCTTTGCAACTGGCCTGACGCATCATGATGCTACGCAAACGGTAAGCTTAGCTCTGCTCGGCTGTCATTACTGCAGTCTTATACATTGTAGATAACACAAGTCGTGCTCGTTGCCAACAAGTAATTTATCGCAATATCTACTCGTCGGTTGTTACCGTCTCCTCCACTGGGATGCAGTGCAGAATCTCAGCCTCCTGATCGCTCTTTTGCTCGTCATTGAGGAAGTGCGGGTGGTCGCACAGCACGGGGGACGACACCTTAACTGTGTAGCTGCACGTCTGCGTCTCCTTGACTGTAAGAATATGGTGACTCGTGCCACCCTGACTGCAGTAGTAGAATACCTTGGCCTTTCGTGGCGCGTGGTTTTCAAACTCCTTGCAGAACGTGCCGTGGTCGTACAGCTCCAAGTACGCAGGACGCGACACATCGTGCGTCGCGTCGATATGCTCCGAGACCAAGGCCGAGCCTGAACGCTCCAGTTCGTGGTTACCCGATGCGTCAAACGTGCCCAGCGAGAACTCGGCCGTAGTCCGACCGTCTCCGTCTCGGTGGTACTGTCTCAGTGAGCGTCCGAAGCAAAACTCGTACGTCCACCAGCCTTCGTTCCGCGTGACACACGTGCGAGCGTCTTCCAGTGGCTGCAACAACGAGCGCACCGTAAACAAGTCGTTGTCGTCTGCGTCCGAGTGTTGCGGGTCACAGAACACCCTCGAGCCCACCAAGAAAGCGGCAACTTCGCGTGGTCCACCTTTCGGCGAGTCATCTCTCCATTTCACAGCCGAGATGCCGTCGTCTCGCGACGTGGTGCTGCAGATAAATTGCACTTGAATCAGCTGTTCGTCCTGACCAAATGTCTGCGTAAACAGCGGCATGCGATGGTTCTTGACGCGATCTTGCGTCTCCGGCATGGCGAACTTGTCGTAGCTCAGTGCTGGACGACTGGAGTCGGATACGAACGCACCGAGTTCCTCCACTTCGTGTCCTGCCACTTCTTTTGCAGTTGAAACTTCCCCTGCCGCGTTCACTTGCACCTCCGCTGACATCGAGCTTGCCTCTTGTGAGGTTGAGGATTTGAGACTCACACGACGAACCAACAGACCCGAGCAGACCTCGTAGACCCACTCGGTCTCCTTGTCCACGTACTGAACGCACTTGGGTTTTACCTTCTGAGCCGCTGCCCGACCGAAGCTCAAGAAGGTGGCGATCTGCTCCCTCTCCTCCTTTTCTTTGGCAGTCAGCGGTTCCGACGTGTCAGCAGTGGCGTCTCCCTCGTCTTCAGTATAGGAGGCCAGAGGCGGAAGAAAACACTCGAATTGTTGGCCCGATTCGGTTGTCATGAGCTGTGACCGCATCTTGACGCCGTCTTCGGGCGGAGAGAAGCCGTCGCGCGTCGCATGCAGCTGAACCACGTACGAGGCATCCAGAGAGGATGCGAATGGCGCTGCGGAGGCCACAGAAGTCGCGCTCAGAGCAGCGAGCACCGCCATTAACCGCCGCGTCATTACCATCTCTATCGCCTTATGGGAATCAGATTATTGGGCTCTGAGTCAGATAATCTGATACCATTCCTGGAATGTAGCCATCCGCATTTTAGTTTGGTCGGTGCTGGAGTTCGATGAGGTCGTGTGGCCTTGGAGCTAAATAAACCTGAATGAGACCGGTACGAAACGCCTCGAAGGTCACAACACTCAAGGCACTCGTGAGAAAGCTCAGGAAACCGATCCGCACCTAGAGGAGGGTGGGTCCTGAGAGAGAGAGAGGAGCATGGACCGGTCTTCGTCGAGGACCAACGCCAGCCGCAATGGTGACTACATGCCTCCTAGTCGCGTTGCGAGGATGGCAATTTCCAGCTCTCGATCTCCAGCAGGTAGCACAGCAGAAGCGGTGGCTACGGCTCGACGTGCTGAATATGGTACTGGAGGGAGCATTCTCCCTGTGCTGCCTACAGCCCCCAGCGCTTCCAAGCGGACCAGTTGGACGGCGCCTCGCTCTTTGTCTGACTCCATAGACGACGAGTTGTACCAATCCAGCAATGACGCTCTGTCTCCTTCTCCCCGTCGTGCTGAGATGGTGTCCGTGGCAGCTACAAGGAGAGCGGAACCCGTTCGCCCACGCTCAGTGTCCGATGATCTCTTTACGTCTAATACTGAGCAGGCTCAACTCGCGTACATGGAACAAATTTACGGTACTTTTAACTTACTAAACGCTGAGTTGGAGAGCGAGCGACGTAGCCGACCTGCTTTAGAAGCAGCAACAGCAGCACGGCCATCTACGTACCCAGCAATGTCCGATTTTTCGCTAGAAGGGGACGTACAGATCCTCGTTAATGAGTTCGATGAGCCCTCGACCGGCTTCATCGTGTCCCAATCGCCCGTCGCGCCTTCACATTCACCCAGGAAGCTGCGAACCATGCCGTCACCCCCATCACAGCCACCACAGCGTGTAGCGAGGCCTCCGACCTCGCCTCGAGCTGCCGTTAAAGACCAGGACACCGAGCTGTGTGCGACACTGGGCAAGAATGCGGAACTTCGCATCCGCTCGCGAGGTATGGAGCGCACAGTGGAGAAGACGGAGCTCGAGTTGGAGCTGGCGAGGAAGCAGATTAAGATGGTGGAAAGACGAGTTGAGAACCGCGAGGAGAAACTGCGCGAGTTACTTCGAGAGAAGCTCAGGTGGCAGAAAGAACTGAAATCTACACGTGCGCAGGTCGCGGAGGAGAAGATGCGGCAGGTTGACTTGTTCCGTGAGGTTGAAGCAGCTAAACGTGAGTTTGCAGCTGAATTAGAAGCGGTGGATCAAGAGTTAGGTGCTGTTCAGGAGGAGAACACGCAGCTTCGAACACGCGCAGCTGAGATGAAGGCTCAGATGAACTTCCTGACTCGGAAAATGGAGGACATGGCGCGTCAATCTCAGGACGAAAAGGCTCGCTTTGTGTCGATGATCGAAGATACCAGACACCGATTTCGCGAGTGGAAGGAAGGGGAGGCGGAAGCTCTCGCTGTTGCACACGACCAGGCAGTGCGAGCTCTCAAGACGGAGTACGAATTGAAGATGGAGCGTCACCAGGACGAGAAGAAAAAGCTGCGAGACAAGGTCAACGACTTGGAAGTGTCCATGCGGCTCTTACAGAAAGATCGGACACTGTCTCCGCTTGAGTTGAGCTTGAGAAAGACAGCAATCTTGGGGAGTAAAGGCAACAGTAGCACGGTCGAGGCTGAGCATATCAAGACGCAGTCGCGGATCCTGGAGCTCGAGAATCTGCTGGCACACTCGCAAGCCTATCAAGCACGACAAGAGAGCATCATCAAGCTGTCCGAGACCACAATTTCTCGTCTTATGCAAGCGCGCGAGGTGGCAGCGTTGGAGAATCTGAGTCTACACCCGTTTGGCGTCGAGTCTCCACGAAGTGAAGAGTTGTTGTACGATACTCCGCTTATGGGGTATGTTACGGCGCCCTCGAGTCCTGGAAGACCGATGTCTCCACCTAAGACTCCGGCCCGGAGACCTCTAAGCGCAGCGAAGAGCAACGATCCTTCGATTGCGTCATCACTGAGGTCAAGACCTCACACGCCAAGACGCACAGACCAGGAAACCAGCACCGCTCCGGTAGGAAACTCAGGGCCAAGTTTGAGAGAGAAAACTTTGATGGACGAACTCGTACAATTGCGCAAAGAGTTGGCTGAAGCACAAGCAAAAGCAGCGGAAGTAGCGACTAAAGAAGATGTACAACACGGTGAGAGACACGAAAGCGGTGACTTGGAATCGGTAGATATGCCAGACGCGCAAGCAGCTGAAGATTCGCTTCGGCTCGCTCAGGACGAGAATGGAGATTGGGAGACTGCAACGGATAACATTCAAAATGGAGCAGCAGCACAGTCCATTGTCGAGGAATCTGATGAGGCTGAGGATAAAAACCATGCGGATGTTCCTATGAACACATCGAAGGACAAGGTGCCGTGGGAGTCACTGCAAGCATTGGATAATAACGAGCTCCAAGTACCCAGTGAAGAGAAAGAAATCCGACGTGAACTCAGCGAGTTGGTCGACGAGTCTATCACAAATGATACGATACTTGATGCTATCGATTCTCCACCAGACGACAATAATGTCGAGGATACGCCACCCGCAGAGGGTGTTGCTCAAGAGTGCATCGCTGCGTCTGTCAACTCGACCGAAGAAACCTCTGGTAGTTATCTGGAAACAGAGGCTCCACCCGGCTGTTTGAAACACGAAAAAGCGCCTGACTCTGCCGAAGAGTCTAAGGCTTGTGAGCAAACCGAGTTGCCTTCTACCGACATTGTCCCAAGCATTGCCACGGAGGAAGAAGAAGCTGTTGTGGGCGAGCCTGTTGAGGCCACAGAAATGCCTGGTACCGGTGCTGAGCTGAAGGACGCCGGTCAATTTCTTAATTTAGGGAACGCGGACGTGACCGTCTTGACAAGCGTGCAGGATGGAGATGGATGCAGCTCTGAGCTGGAGACAGAACCACACTCACTTGAGCAGCTGAAAAGTGACAAATCAATCGCTAACGAGTCCGAGGGTATACCTGCAGTCGTTGTCAGAGATGTATTAAATGAAGAACCAAGTCAACGGGAAAAGGATGAGAATATCGGCGTCGAAACGGATAATTGCGCGAACAATATCGACTTTGTTGACAGTGAAATTGTCGACGGTGCAGACCCGGGAATAGCAGACGCAAAAGATTCCTCAGCTACGAATATTAAGCCAGAAGATGAGTCTTCGAACGAAAGTGAGGGTGTTTGCATGCCACCTGCAGAAGTCGCAAGCGAGGTGGAGGTGGTGGAGTCGATGAGATTAGAGAGTGAAGTATCCCGCTTGTTGCAGGAAGAAGACGTAGCTTCCCCGCCTACGATGCTCGGAATGTCGGCCCTCGAGAATGAACACGAGATTTATGTGACTGATTCAGCAGACAGCGTGCCTGAAGCCCTAATTGAGATTGTGGAGTGTGTTTCGTCGCATCAGGACAGCAAAGATGATGTCTCCGATGTTATATCTGATAACGCTGACGCACCTTTGTCATTTGCCGGGACGAACGCTGATGCTAAGGATCCAAATGCTCCAGTAAATTTTCTTCCAGTAGAATCACGACAAGCTTACATGGCGAAAGTGCTTGTCGATCTTGCAGAGTGCACTGCACTCTCAAAGGTTCTCTGTCTTCAGGGAAGGACTGATGGATCAGAGAGAGTGGAGGAAGTGCCAGTTGCTGCGAATGTTATGGAGGGCCTAGTAACTCAGGCAATCGACATCTTAGATGGAGATAGTGGTGCCCCGGAACTGGAGGAATTGGCTTTTCAAGTCGACGCTAGCGGTACTTTTGTTGCTGCTGGTGCGATGTCTGCTGTGAATGATGATGCCTTCGAAATGGGAGATTTGATGGAAGATCAGCCAACTGCGAGCGATGATCAGTCTTGTGCTGCGGAAAATGTAGCTGAAACGAACGAGGACGTCCATGCGGTGGCTGCTGTCGCCAAAACTGTTGCTGCAACGTTTGTAGAAGATTTTATGAAGACGATTGACACTGCTCCTACGAGGAGTGGAAACCAGGAGGTCAATGAAGCAATCGCTAGTGAGAATGCGAGTCTTGTTGAGGAGATGGTGACAGCAGAAAAAGCACCCGCATTAAGTAGTGACATCAATGATTCCGACATTAACGTAGCTGGTGATTCGCCACCAATGGCGGGCGCTCCTTTAAGTAATGACGAAGTCGCTGACCCAGCTACAGTTTCTGAGGATGGATCAACACCGACAGAGATGACTGAACAGAGATCACGTGTTGTCGACCCTACAAGCGAAGATTCGGATGCATTGCCTACAGAACCAACCACAACAGACGATTCTATCCAAAGTTTGGTGAGCGATGTGGCTGATACTCTGACGATTGCAAGGGACTTCGTGGACACAGTTGAGACTGAAGCTCTGACTTCAGTCGTTTCCTTGCTGCAAAATGAAAGCCCTGGAAAGACGAAGTGCGAGGAGTTCGAGAGCATCGATTGGACACCGAATGAGCAGAACGAACCCAGCACAATTGTTAGTGGGCCAGAAGGCCCGCTGGAATCGACAGCTGAGCCTTACGTAGCTAACGTGGTGGAACCAAGCAGCTATGTAGAATCAAATAGCACGAATGAAGAGTTGGAAGACTCGATATGTCCAGCACTGTTGCTGGACGTTGTTGAGGAGCCAAAAGCTCCCATTTGCGATGAGTTTTCAACGCAGGAGATTGTTTCAGGCATGGCTTGCCGTTGTGCTTCCCAGGCTATCGCAGTAGCGCTCTGCAGACTGTCCCAGTCTTGTGATCTTGTCAGCGAAGAAAGCGCAGTCTACGATGCGCTGGACGTGGAGGTGGCAGATGAAAGAAAACATGTAGAGGAGCCATGTTTGGCTGAAGTTGAGCTTGAAGCCAATCCAGATACGAGTGAGTCCACACGTGATGACACCAGTGTGCCGATCTTGAAAGGTGAGGCCAATGAAGCCCAACTCCAACAACCTGCATCCGACCAGCCCCATAACACATCCTCTTGCGACAACGGCGTCATTCAACCAAACGTCACCGCATCGCCTTCCACTTCCGCTGACGACACGAGCATAGTCGACTCGAAGATACGGGATTTAGTTGATGCAGTTGAGAAGTGCGGCCAAGGCGACACAGTGAAGGCACCTGACGAGGTGATTGATCCGACGAATGACGTTCCTGTCGCGGAAGGAGACCTAGCCGAGCAGAACGCTGAGCTAACTACGGCGTCGAACTCCTGTGTACAACAAGTAAGTGAAAAAGCAGCTGACGAAGCTAGCGAGTCTCTAGAAACAGACAGTTTGAAGACGGAGGATGCAGACAAACACGATGAGATTGAGCTGTACGGCGGGACTTTTGGTTCGTCACTTGAGGATGACACACATGTGATTAGTCTTTCTGTGGAGAGGCTTGTGGATGTGGATGCAGTTGTTGCCGCCACCAATACCAGCTCCTTATCCGACCCTATCGCTGACTCAATAGTGCGGAAATGCCCTCCGAAGCATGCCCGGTCAGTTCGCTTTGCGTTTGATACCAAAGAAAAGCTACCGGACCATCCTCGGCGGTCAGTTTTACTGTGGCAAGCCCCTAACGACAAAGCTTGCGCAAAAGAAGCTGTCGAGAATTCAGCCAAACGCAGAGCCAGTAAGAGACGAATATCTCGACGTACGCTTCCTGATCTGCTTGCGTTCCCGACCGAGACGGCCAGAATCACCTCGAGTGACACAACTTTGTTGGCGTACGATGCTCGACATGAACAGGGCCACATCTTTTCACTACTTGACCAGAGCATTCTTAGCATCGATCCAAACGGCCGACACATTGATTTGGACGATTCAGATGAGCGAGTCCAGAGCAAAATAATTGGGAAACGCAAGACTTTGACGCAGGAAATCCATTTGAAGAATCTGGCACTGCGTCAAATCCCGCGCTTCAATTACATGCCCATGCGTATCAAGTTCCAGTGGTCAGATTTCGTTGTTGCAACCCCAGTGAGACCGAGTTCCAGCAACCTCGGCGAAGTGAAGTCGCCCGTTGAACCGATGCGCTTACTGCTGAAGAAAGGGGCCAAGCTTCCGTGTGGAAGCTACGTCATCGTATCTGCCTTTATTCGGCCACTTGAAGACGGGAACGAGAACCTGCGAGTGCAGATATACGACGCTGAGCGTGTGGAGGAGTTCCAGTTCGATTTCTCCGAAGACATGATGAAGAAGTATCATCTAGAGAGAACTGGAATGGGAGCTCAGTCACTCGAATTCCTTGGACATCTCGAGTTCCGTCGTGACGAAGACACGATTATCATCAAACTACCCGACAAGAAGGCGGGAGAAGGAAGTAGAACGGAGATCGATCGAATGCAACGTGAACTCATCATGGTCGGAGGAGATTTACGCAAACGGGACCCACCTACAGGATGAACGATTCGACCTCAAAGCCGAGGTGTCAACTTTATTTTTTTTGTCATTTTCGTATTGGTGGCGGCCACTTTTCAGGCGATAGGTGCAAGGAATGGGAGCGTTCATGGGGGACGCTTCTCGCCGCGATGCCCGTGGCTCTATCTATTACTACGCTGCTCACACTCCCCACTACCTTTCGGTCAGATCACTCTGCGGCCGTCTCTCAATGCAGTCCATTATACAGGAAATACAACTCAATAAGCCGGACCGGATAACTCCACTCGCGTCTGCTTGTGGGATACTTCAGGGGATAGAATTTGCTGACTCGACAATGTTTAGACGGACGCAACAAAGTTCTTTGGTGATCCATCGAGCCATTGCCGCAGCTGAGGGCTCTTAAGCGTCGGCGTGATGGAGTGATCGAAGTCGAACGTCTCCTGCTGAAGCGCGACGTCGATCGTTGGTGGGGCCAAGCGTTTGTGAGGCAACGGCTGACGGCCAATCCCGAAAGTTGAGGCATTTGCGTGAGGGAACGCTACCAATACATCCGTGCGAAGTCGAGGCGAGCGTCGAAGAACGCCGCCGTTTTCACTTGAAATCTCCTGAAATACGTACAAATGTCAGTAAGTGCAGCACGCAGTCATCTCTTCGGGGGCCACTCACGAATTCAAGGGTATTCGGGTCCAGTTCGGCAGGGAAATCGAGGTCGTCGAACGAGAATTTCGTGCCGTCGGCCTTCATGAAGCCTGCTGGTGACATGAATCGCGGAGAGCGACGCAAACTGTGCGGAGGCTGCAGTCCTTGAGGTGTCGGCATGTTGAAGAACTCAGCCACTTGCTGCTGTGATAACGCCACACAAATCAGCACAAGTCACACAGAAAAACACCCTCTTTAGGACCGACTGCGTACCTCGTTAAAGTCAATGTCAAGGTGCTCGAAGGCGTGGAAGGATCCGTCCATCTCGGTAAATGCATGGTCACCGCCAAACTCACCGACGCCAGCTCCATTGACTCCGTTCCTCTTGCCCTGAGCAGTCCGCTTCTTGTTCTTGTTGGTTGTGCTGGCGACCGTGATGAATGTACCGAAATCCTCCTCTCCGTTGTTCAAGAGCTGCAGCAATAGCTGCGTGTGTAGAACACGTCGAGGCGTATCTGGCAAGAACATGCCGCTGTTTTCACTGCCCGTGCAGATGCGCAGATCTTTGCGTTTCCGCTTCGAGTTGAGTTTCTTATTAACATTTCGTTGCCCTTGACGTCCCTTTCCGTCTTCTGCCTGTTTGATCAGGGCGTTGTAGCAGTCCTTATACACTAAGGCCTGTGTGGACGACATACCCTGACGACCAGCGTTCATGGCGTCTCGCGCCAGCTCCACCATTGAGCCGGGCGACGCATTCACACCAAACTTGGCGGCCTTGTTGCTTCCTACTCCGCTTCGTGCCACTTGGCCCAGTGTTTTGTTCTGCTGCTTCGCCATGCGACGCATCGTCCGTCTCATGGACGAGTACCAGTGGTTCTTGATGGCATTATCCGTCCTGGAGTCAAGGATGCACCAGATTAGAACTTCAATGTCTAAATTCTAAAAATCTAGGCTTTAGGATGCTAATTTCTTTATTTGTGTCTTACCTGCCAGGCAGCAGCTTGGAGATCTCCGCCCACTTGTTGCCGAGACGCGTCTGTGCGTCCTCGATGATCTGTTCCTCCTCGGCAGTCCAAGGGTCCTTCTTAATGGTGGGGTCCAGGTGGTTGAGCCATCGCGTGCGACACTGCTTGCCTGTCCGCTCCGTACCGTGATTCTCCCCATTTAAGTGGTCCGATATGACCGACCAGCGCTTAGTGCCGTACTCCTCTACGAGTCGGATGATAGCATCGTCTTCCTTGCGCGTCCAGGCGCGGCGCTCGTACGTGGAGCCCGTGCCGTTGACACGGCCGTCCATCTTGCTCGGCTTGCCCATGTCTTGTTGCGTTGTTGGGCGAATGCGGATCTGGGCAAGAGGCGGATCTTTTCTCTGGGTGAAACTATATTCTGGCCGTTGCTCAAGGCCGTTTTCAGCCGTTTTCAACCGTTTCTGGCGCTTGGAAGAGGCACTCGTAAATCACCCTCTGGAAAGATCGCTCGCACATATATAAGGCCAGTTTTCGCATGAATTGTCGGGAGAAAGTCGAGAGCTTCTGCGATCAACGGCTCGTTGAAGGCGTGTGAAGTGCAGCAGCTTCCGCATTTCTTAGCCCGCAGCGGAGCCCTCAGCCGAAAGGCGAAAGTGTCGAGTGGAATCGGGGGCGAGGACAGGTATTGCGACGGCGCCTTTTACAGGGCTGGCAAGGGAGCCCGTCGCTTCGTAGTCCGTCGCCGGTGAGCCCGTCGCTTCGTAGTCCGTCGCCGGTGAGCCCGTCGCCTGGTGACGAAACAGCGGAAACGTTGGTCCCTGAACATTCGCAGGGATCTCTTGCGCCGGCGACAGCGTCGCAACTAGCGCATGCAGTTCTACCGTGAAGACTACCGCAGCGTGTTGGCCCTTCTCGAAGAAGGAACTAATAGGTCGGACCTGTATGCTGTCCGTCGAGCATGCGCCGAGTTCAGGCGATTGGCTCTTCATCGGGATGCCGCGCGGCACGTTATGGTGGAAGAGGGACGCCTCCTCCCAGCACTCGTGGAAATTGTGACGCTTCATGTGCAAGAGGAAGAAGGCGCGGTGGTGTCGGATTGCTGCCGTTTTCTCCAGCGCCTTATCTCGCACAGGAGTACGGAGCGCAACTACACAGGTGATTGGGCCTTGTTACGTGCTGACCTGCCTTGTTGCTTTCAATGCGACAGGACCCACGGAACTCGATATCCAGTCTAAAATCACGGAGGCTGGCGCTCTCGGTCTCATGGTCAATGGTCTTACGGCGCACCCTCAAGTGGGGAGGCTGTATGTTGAAGTCTGTACTTTAGTATCGCTCCTGTGCTTTGACACGGTAGCCGCTCCCCATGGTATGACGTCTGGAGTAGATAATCTCGCTTCGACCCCACTCGAACTAAAGTTGAATTTAATCATTGTTACTCAGCCGATAACCAGGCAGCGATCACAGACGTGGGGCTATTTGCGGTCATTTGTGAGCGATTGGGCAGTGCTGATGTCACTGAACAGGAGGCAGCAGCAGGCTGCACAGCCATTTCAGCGCTCGTCTATGAGAACTGTATGATCTTGATTGGCAAAGCTTCAACCGAAGTACAAGTTCTGATTTGTAGATTCTTGTCACTTGCCAGCGCAGACGTCAATGGGGTGTCGGCGATCCACACTTTTCGCATCTTGCCCAGATTCTTTACGCTATTGAGCATGTTCGCAGAGTCGCTGCGTATTGTCAACTGTGTCTACCAGACTCTTTTCCAGCTGATGACTATGGAGGGTAAGATGCATTCTGGTCAGCTTGGCAGGCTGGACCCAACGAAGTTAATGACCGTCTGTGCCTCATTTTGTGAACTGAAGCTGGTCTGTCCGATGATGTTGTGGACATTGGGATGCTGCAACAAGTGGTTGAGCTACTTGACAATAGTGCACTCATGCAAGACTATCGCGGCGCCGCGAGCTTCACTGCGCAATGGCACATCGCTAAGTTCTTGGAAATTTGTATTCGCGAAAACGGTATGCACGCTCGCGAGCGTTTCCTCACATAATTGCTGAAATTGCATCCTGAACTCTGCAGATGCTGCAAAGGAGGCCTTTTGCGGTTGTGGGGGGCCTGCGGTTGTCGTGAGTACAATGATCCGCCGCAATCAAGAGCCTCGACACGCTGACAGTGTCGATCCGAGGGCCTTGCAGTATATCACGTGCATGTTACTCTGTCGCATCGTGACTGTCACTGGAGACCTGACAGGTACACTTTATCCTGGTGATAAACTACATGTAGAGAAGGCGGTCTTAAAAAAATCTGCATGCTGTAGAAGTCGACAAGACTCGAGCGAAGCAGCTTGTGCAGTCGAGTGCGCACCAATTGGCGCTGGACATTCTACGGAGCGTTGGAGTCGCTCAAAGCGCACACACTAGCGAAGTCAATCACAAAAACTTCTGGGCAGGCGTCGAACAGGCCGTCAAATTGCTGGAACTTATCGCCGTAGTCGGTATGCAGCCCAAATTCAATTTCCAATTTACAACAAATCTCATTTGTTTGTCCATCTACAGAGTCGAATCGCGTGCCTCTCACGCGTCTCGGTGCATCTCGCCAAGTCAAACTCATCTATAACAATCCTGAAGTGGCTACACAGCCAGGTCTCTTGCTGCTCTGCGAGAGCGCCGTCGCCAACATCGAGGGCACATGAAACATCACAGCAACTTAAACATCAGAATTTTAAATCCGTAAATATCGCAATACTTAATTACACAAATTTGCATTCGCAATAATTAATTCGGCATCCAACCATGCTGCAGTCGAAGCGAGTGCTGGGTCCGCGCTGGTCTCCCAAGGAGCTACGAACGTTCTACATCCTACTCAAGGCGCACGGGCAGCAATGGGACAAGCTCGTGGAGTGCCTGCCGCTGCGCTCTGAGGCTATGGTGCGCGCGTTATTTGAGATGCATCGCGGGTACTTGTCGCTACCTGAAGCATCAGCCGAGGGCTTCTGTGCCATCATGATGGACCGCTACGAGATGCAGGACGAGATGGAGCAGCGTAAGACCAATGCATCAGCCTCTTTGAGTCTTGATGTGGACGGAGACGTCATCATGGACGTCAAGCAGGAGATCGGAGACGGTCAGGAACCTGCGGCTCGGAGCAGAAAGAAACGAAGACTGGAGAAGCTTCTAGCCACGGACCAACTGGCTACACTTCATATTCAGAAAGAAAAGGACGACCATGCTGAGCGAGAGGAGAGAATATCGAAGAAGAGAGGAGGGAGGAAGGGTACGCGCCCCATGAAAGCTCGAGCTTGGCTGCCTCGACAGGACGAGAGAGATGATACTGGACTGGGGAGGATTCACGGAGCGAGGTTCGATCTGCCCTGGTTCCACTGGTTCTACTCGTATATGGACGTGGACTTCTTCAGGCACAACGAGTTCATTGAATGTCTCGGTGGCATGGGACTCGGGAAGGTAGGCTCGATGGTAGAGTGGAGGGAGGCTTTGACCACTGATGGAAAGTGTTGTGGTGGGTAGATTACGGCAGCAGCACGGCCGATCTGGTCGTCTGTACGGGCGTCTATGGGTCGTCCACGACGCCTCAGCCCGTTGTTCTTTTCCCAAGAGAAGGAGAAACTCGAGTCGTATCGTGCGGTGAAACGCCGACTTGATCCTGCACATTTGGTAAGCGTAGAGAAGAGAGAAAAAGCTTCAAGCTGGTACTAGGACTGACTTGTGGCCACTTGTGTGTGGTACTAGCCAACTGGCCGGACGTGGCCGTATCGATGCACAGCTCCACTTCGCCGTGGGGCTCCAGTGATAGGTATCTTTTGTTTTCTGGATCGTCCGGCTGTAGACAACAACTTATACCGCTGTTATTATGCTTTATATGATAGTCTGGAGGGAGACGGAGCGATGTTTTCGACTGGCAACAGTTGGTGCATTTCGCGCGACTGAAGAAACCTGTCAGGTGTTTTTCTGCGACAACATTTCTCGGATTGAGGCTGTGCCTTGCAACTTGGAGAATGTGATGGTATTGGACCTTCCGCCGTGGTCAAGGACAAGTGAAGACAGCAATACAGAGTCTAAGCTAGCAGCAACCACGCTACTTCGACGTGAAAGTGGAGCTCGTGGGGGCATGTCAGCAATTTTTACACAGAAGACTGTCCACCCGATTGGCGATCGGTACCAGGAAGAGAAGATCCGAGTTGTGCTCGCTGTGAAGAGTTTACTGCAACGCAAGGAGAAGATCATTTCCGCGCTTTCGAGCTTGAACGAGCGAGTCACTGAGCAGCAAATGCGGCTGCATGAGAAGAACGCTATGAAGTCCAGTCTGTGGACAACTCCGACGGCTTTCTCATCTGCAGCCGTGAAGAACCTTGTGTGGAGCAACCCAGTCGAGAAAGCTCAGATGCAGAAGCAGCATGCGTGGCTTGCTGCGAACCTGGAGGCCACCAATACACACTTGAAGGCTGCCCTGCTGAGTCTCCAGTCGTTTTCAGCGAACAACAATTCTGAGACAGTAAACGCCGCTACGACTCCTGGTTATTCTGCCGATGCGCTGGCGATGGGCAGTGATTGCAGCACTTTACCGACGGAGACGTTGGCAGAAGATCAAATGCGTTGGGCCATCGATTTCTTGGCTGCGAGTAAGCAAAAAGCGGCATCTGTGGTTGCTGAGTCGGCGCTGCAAGTGGTCAAAGATGACAAGGAGCTGGGGAGCGACACACAGCTTGGACGTGTGCTGCCGGAGACGATGCCACTCGTGGCCAACTGTGTCACGTTGATGAGCGTTCTCCACCGTCACGTCGCGGCGTCACCGGATGTCCCCGCTGCTGTCACGCAGACACTTGTGGAGCGTGTGCTTGAGCTACTCAAACCCACTCATGAGGCGAATATGGATCTCTACGCTGAGCTCCGTTCCGCCGCAGAGGCCACACAGGCACAAATGGCGCTGCTTGCGACCACTACTGATACCGATTAATACTCGTCACAGATTTCAGTACGGGTGTTATTTGTGCACGATTTACAGATTTCAACTTCTACTCCTGGAGCTGCTTCTTGTCGGCAGCAGTCGAGAGCATGGGCGAGCGCAGCGTGGAGTCGCGTGGTAAGTTCAGCAGCGAGCTCCAGCCACTGCGGCCCGCCGAGCGTTTGTAGCCGTAGCTGAAGTAGAAGACCACACTAGCTGCCAACCACGCGACACTGGCGTAAATGCCCGTGTAATTGATCTGGGCAGCCAGATAGAAGTTGGCCAGTACCGAAATGGTGGGGATGAAAGGCACGAATGGAGAGGCGAAGCTGTCGGCGCCTGGGTGATCCTGGGGACGTTTGAAGTACATGGCGAAGCACGCGATGATCGTGACGACGAGGAAGATGATTCCCAAGACGAGACACCACACGTGACCTTCGTTCGAGTAGCCGATCTGATAGAAGAAAGCTGCTAGCCATGCTGAACCCACCATCAGACCAATGAGCTTGGGCGCCAGAAAAGGCGATTGTCGACGCATACGGCTCATGAGTAACGACGAGTTGGTCATGTTGAAAGACAGAAGAATTCCAAAGCTCACGACGTCCCAAAGAGTGTTGAAGGGCACGAGGAAGGCGACAATAGTGAACACGACGCCGGTGATGAGTGTGTTCTGGAACAGGTTGCCGTTTTCGTCCACCTTAGCGAAGATTTGAGGCATCAGGCCGTCGCAGGACAGAGCGTAGTTCAAACGCGGTTGGACTAGGAAGCTCACCAGCACCACCAGAGGCATAGTGCACGTCTCACCGGCGCGGACGATCTGAGCCGCCCAGTTCTGGCCTGCGTAGTCGAAACCTGCGCCAAAACTCGTAGCTTTCTCATACGGGACTAGACCGGACAAGGCAAGCGAAGCGAACGACGACAGGAACATAATCCCGAAGACGGTACCGATGACAGCTAGCGGCATCGTCTTCTTTGGGTTCTTGGCCTCCGCTGCAAGGCAGCACACTTCGTCGAAACCTACGTATCCGAAGAAAGCCGATGAAGCGCCAGTGATGATTCCCTGAGCACCGAAAGCCATGGCGCCGTCGACACTTTGACGTTCGGGCACGAATGGCGACAGGTTGTCGGCGTCAGTATAGGCGAATCCAGCGACGATGATGAAGAGGACGACAAGAACTTTGATCGTTGTGAAGACGTTGATGAACCACTTGCTGAAGCGAATGCCCATTAAAAGTACCATGACGCACAGCGCCATCAACACGGCGCCCAGCAAGTTCGTGTAGTCCTCGTTCATCCATTGGTAAGAGTGTGTCGGGTGCTCCTCTTCCAGCCATTCCTGTACCTTGGTGGCCCAACTACGAGCCACACCAGCTCCCGAGACTCCGTACTCAAGTGAGACCAGCCAAGCCGCGACTACAGCCGGTAGCTCGCCAAGGGCGTAGAACGAGTAAGCGTACGTACTTCCCGACGACGGCACTTGAGTCACCATCTCCATGTAAGCCAGAGCGTTGATACTGCACACGATGCCAGCGACGATCCAGCTCACAAAAGCAGCAGGACCCGCAGTGCTACTGATGATCTCGCCAGTCGTTGAGAAGATACCGCTGCCCACACTGGCGGAAATACCGATGCACAGGAGATCGAACAGGCTCATTTGGCGAGGCAATTCCTCGGCTGCCTCCTCGGCTTTGATCACGTGTAGCGGTTTGGTACGCAGGATGTTCTCCATGAACGTCGGCTTGTGCTCCATGGTGAACAGGCTCTGGAAAGGCTCCTGCGTGTCTTGCTTTGTGGTGGTGAAGAGTCAACACGGCACCTACGCTGCGAATCGAGGAATGACTCGATTGCTGGAGTCTCGGCTGCACCAGTCGCTAAACCAGCCAACGGACCTTCGTCCGGCTTTGAAGATCAAGATACCACTTGTCTTTACCTTGTGGTTTGTATTGCGGCTGGTGAAAACACTACAGAAAGGTGAGACGCTCGTGCTGCTCCGTATTGAAGCATGCGAGTTGCCGTTCAGAATCGGGCCAGTCGCGCGCTCTTGGGATGAAGAGGACGCGTCTTTGATCACCACATGCCTGTCAAGAGAAAAAGCAGGATCGAGTGGATGCCAACACTATGAGAGCACCTAATTTTACATTGTATTATCCATAATACTTTTAGCGGACAACATCAACTCCGATCACGCGACCAGCAAAGCAAGACTTCTGTTTTTGGTCGATGCACATGCACTCAAGTCAAATTCGCTGCGATACGGCACTGCGTTCGTGCTCACTTAATAAAACAACCAAGCTCAGAGACTGTGGATTCCAAATGGAATGAAAGCTTTGCCCATTTCGATAGGAAGTTTTGTAATGGAGACTTTGAGCTGTAGACGAATGGGAGTAGACGAACAGGGGTGTAATGGCAACCTGTCTTTTAATACCTCATTAGTCTAAAGCAAAAAGTTAGTGTCGATTGAATATTTCGTGAATAGAGCCACCGTATTTCTTCAGGTACAAGAAGCGCTGCAAGTAGCGGCGCGCTACCTGTGCAACCTTCTCCGAAACTTGGGTTTTCAGTGAGCGGTCTGTGCAAGTCTCATCTGTTTGGAGGATTGGATGAGTTGTACGTTTACACTACGCCGTGATTTGATCCGGATCTCTTACGCAAACTCGTTTCCGGTATTGTAACTTATCGAAATTCATGGAAAAAGACGCCGAGGCAGCCGCAAGCTATTGACGTTCGCTAAATTCTGTAAGGATCTCTTCCACTTCATGGTAGCGACAGTCCTGCTGCTTCAGCTCTGCGTTCTTGGCCGACATCGTTGCTAGCGCCTTCTCAAGTTCAGTGATCCGCTGCTGCTGCTGAGTTAAGATCTTCATTTTGTCGTCGCCGTGGCCGTCCACAGCTGCAGGGGTTTTGAGTCTTGGGTTCGTTTTTAAGAGAAGATCTTGACGGAGGTGCAAGTTTGCCACCTCTCGCTCCAGGATCCCAACGCGCAGTTGAAGAGATCCGCCATCACGTTTCTCAGAGCTCAAACTGCTCTCAACTTGCTCAGAAAGCCCACTCACGTGTTCACGCTCGTTGAACTCACCATCCAGTTTATTCAGGATCGTTGTCTGCTGTAGCTGACGCTCCATGCGATACACTTGGAGCAGCGCTGCGTCTGGTGCGATGTCGCGGCTGAATGCACGCTCGCGTACGGCACTCAGATGAGCGTCCACAATCTCGCAAAGATCAAACGCCGCCAGCAGCTCAATGAGGTCGTGCACTTGCGCTCGCAACGCAGCGTTCTCTCGTTCGCACAGCGCATCACAAGTCGATACGGTCTGCATAAACTCCATAAAGCGCTGACGCGGTGGCGGCTGAGGTCCAAGTGCTCGCGCGGGGTTCATCGATGCTGTCTCTGGAGCTTTGTTTACCCTTCTGTCAGGTGAAGACAACTGCCGTCTTTCTCGGCAGAGGATACGAAACTCGCAGTTGTTGACACCGCATGGACAACGGCAGGTGGTAGCGTATGCTTCTGGTGCGGGTACTTTTGTGTACTGTAGTAAGCTTTTTTTTAAAGAAACGATCTACTCCTGGAGCTGCTTCTTATTGGGAGAAATCATGGGCGAACGCAGTGAAGATTCGCGCGGCAAACTCATGAGCGCGCTCCATCCAGATCGACCAGCCGAGTGCTTGTAGCCGTAGCAGAAGTAGAAGACCACGCTAGCTGCCAGCCACGCGAAGCTTGTGTAGATGCCTGTGTAGCTGAGCTGAGCTGCCAGGTAAAAGTTTGCCAGCGGGGAGGAACGGCACAAATGGGGCCGTGAAGTTGTCACCGTTCTGCGCCACCTGCGGACATTTGAAGTACATTGCGAAGCACGAGAGGATCGCGACTACGAGGAAGAGAATACTCAAGACGAGACACCACACGTGACCCTCGTTCGAGTAGCCAATCTGGTACAAGAAGGCCGCCAAGCAAGCAGACGCCACCATGACGGTGATGAGTCTGGGCGCCAGTCTGGGTGAGCTCTCGCGCATTCGCACCATAAGAAGCGACGCCATGGACATGTTGAAGGAGAGCAGCATTCCGAAGCTCACGATGTCCCACAGCGTGTCGAACGGCACCACGAAGGCCATCGCAGTGAAGAAAGCGCCAGAGATGAGCGTGTTCTCGAACAGGTTGCCCTTCTCATCCACCTTGGAGAAAATCCGCGGCATCAGACCGTCACACGATAAGGCGTAATTCAGACGTGGCTGAGCAAGGAAGCACACGAGCACCACGACGGGCATGGTGCACGTTTCGCCAGCACGCACAATCTGGGCGGCCCAGTGCTGATCCTGGTATTGAAACCCAGAGCCAAAGCTAGCGGCTTCCGGATACGGGATCATACCCGAGAGTGCCAGCGACGCAAAGGCCGATAGGAACATGGTGCCAGTCACCACGCCAATCACAGCAAGCGGCATGATCTTCTTGGGGTTTCGAGCCTCAGCAGCGAGACAACACACCTCGTCGAAGCCAGCGTATCCGAAGAAGGCCGACGACGCACCAGTGATAATTCCATGAGTGCCGAACGCCATCGTGCCATCGACGTCGTGGCGTGGCGGGACGAAGGGCGAAAGGTTGCTCGAGTCCGTCAAGTAGAAGCCGGCGATGATGATGAAGAGCACGACGGCCACCTTGATGGTGGTGATGGCAGGGATGCCGAAAAATAAATTGGTGCTGCAACTATTGCAAAACGAAAGCACCAATTATTTATTGGAGGCTTTCTAAAGAGGAATTCCAATTATTTATTTTCGCTTCGTTGCAGCACCAATAATCTATTGGGCGGTGTTCAAACAGCCATACTTTCTTTAGTACTTGTGCCCTCGCTGTGTACCAATATTGCTGCACCAATAATCTATTTTCTGAAGGAAGCTCAATAATCTATTTCGGTCTTGCCAGTTCTCTTACCCAATTATTTATTTTCTGCTTTGATTAGCAATAGATAAAAATGCAATATTCGGCATCCCTGGGTGATGGTGTTAACGAACCACTTGCTGGGTGCTCCTCCACCAGCCATTCCTGCACCTTTGCGAGCCACACCCGAACCGGAAATGCCGTACTCGAGTGTCAGCAGCCACGCAGCAATCACCGCCGGCAGCTTACCGAGAGCGTGGAACGAGTAGGCGTAGGTACTTCCTGACGACGGGATGCGAGTCACCAGCTCCATGAAGGCGAGGGCGTTGATACAACACACAACACCGGCGACGATCCAACTAATGAAACCAGCTGTGCTGCTGATGATCTCGCCGGCCGTGGAGAAAATACCGCTGCCCACTGTACTTCCAATGCCAATGCAAAGAAGGTCAAACAGGGACAAGTGACGTGGAAGCTGCTTGGCCGTCTCCTCGGCGTGGATGACACTCAGAGGCTTGAGACGAAGCACATTCTCCACTCGCGCTCCATTTTTTTTACTGGGCTGGGTGGCTGGGCTTCGCTTGGATGCGACTTGATTGAGACCGGTGAGTGTCCCCACGGCGGCTTCGACGGTAAACTTAGAATGACTTGACTGTGAGACGCGTCGCGGAAGGCTCTTTAAGTTTTCATGAAGCGGGTGGTGCTGGGGAAGATAAAGCAGAGGCTGGCCCTTTCATGGCGAGCGTGTCACGCACGCGCATTGGTGGTGAAGCGATTACTGTTTTGTCGTATTTTTTTTACAAGAGACTCGGGTCAATCATTGAATCAAGGGCAGGGCGCAATTTCTTCTGGCGCTGAAGGATTTCTTGGCAACATTCTTACCTGACAGGTTTTAAACTCACTTAAAAACAAAACACTTTTCACATGTAAAAAAGTGGTTCTTAACCTTTTTCAAGGTAAGTTTAAAACTCTTACAGTATTCATTTAAGAGGTAATTTACGATGACTGTTTTCTTTTCTGATTGTTTCCACGCACCCACCTTTAAAAAAGACAAGCGAAGATCACAAAATTTGAGAAAAATATGATAACGATTACACTGTCTTCTACTCTTGTAGCTTCTTGTCCGAGATCATGGGAGAACGCATGGTTGAATCACGTGGAAGACTCATCAGCGCGCTCCAGCCGGTACGACCAGCCGAGTGCTTGTAGCCATAGCAGAAGTAGAAGACGACGCTTGCCGCCAGCCACGCGCAGCTCGTGTAGATGCCCTTGTAGCTGATCTGGGCAGCTAAGTAGAAATTTGCCAGCACGGCGACGGTAGGGAGGAATGGTACGAACGGGGCCGTAAAATTATCGCCGCTCTGGGGCTCCTGTGGGCACTTGAAGTACATGACGAAGCACACTATGACGGTGAGCACGAGGAAGACAATGCCCAAGACTAGACACCACGTGTGGCTTTCGTTCGAGTATCCGATCTGGTAGAAGAACGCAGCGAGCCACGCGAACGCCACCAAGAGACCGATGAGCTTGGGTGCTAGCGACGGGGACTCCTTCCTCATTCGGACCATTAGCAGGGAGGACATGGACATATTGAACGACAACAGGATGCCAAAACTGACGATATCCCAAAGCGTGTCGAATGGCACCACAAAAGCCACAACCGTGAAAAAGGTACCACAGAGGAGAGTGTTGGCGAACAGGTTGCCCCTATCGTCGACCTTGGCGAAAATGCGGGGCATCAGACCGTCGCATGCCAGGGCGTAGTTCAGACGCGGCTGGGCTAGGAAGCTGACCAGCACCACGACGGGCATCGTGCAGGTCTCGCCAGCTCGAACAATCTGAGAGGCCCAGTGTTGGCCTTGGTACTCGAAACCAGCACCAAAGCTTTGAGCCTCTAGGTACGGGATCATACCCGAGAGAGCCAACGATGCGAAGCAGGACAGGAACATCGTGCCGAGTACCACGCAAATCACAGCCAGAGGCATGACCTTCTTGGGGTTCTTGGCCTCTGCGGCCAGACAACAAACCTCATCGAATCCAATGTAGCCGAAGAAGGCCGACGAGGCACCGGTGATGATTCCCTGCGTACCGAACGCCTTTGTGCCGTCCAGGTCTTGGCGAGGCGGAACGAAAGGCGAGAGGTTGTCCGAATCCATGACGGAGAAACCGGCAATGATGATGAACAGCACCACAAGCACCTTGATGGTACTGAAGGTGTTCACAAAGTATTTGCCGAAGCGAACGCCCATCAGCAATACACCTACACAGAGTGCCATCAGCACAGCACCAAGTAAGTTTGTGTAGTCTTCGTTTAACCACTGGTAGGTGTGTTCCGGGTGCTCATCCACGAGCCACTCTTGAACCTTGGACGCCCAACTACGGGCCACACCAGCGCCGGAGATACCGTACTCGAGCGTTAGCAACCACGCCGCGATTACGGCCGGTAGCTCTCCCAGAGCGTAGAACGAGTAGGCGTACGTACTACCCGAAGAAGGCACGCGAGTAACCAGCTCCATGTAGGCCAGAGCGTTGATGCAGCATACCACACCCGCAATGATCCAGCTGACGAAAGCAGCAGGTCCGGCTGTGCCACTGATGATCTCGCCCGTTGTGGAGAAGACACCGCTACCGACTGTTCCACCAATGCCAATGCACACCAGATCGAAGAGGGACAGTTGGCGAGGTAGTTCCTCGGCGGCCTCCTCGGCTTTAATGACCGCGAGCGGCTTTGTGCGCAGGACGTTCTGCATGAAGGTAGGCTTGATATTCATTGTGGACAACGTAGGGCTCTTCGACAGGAGCTGTGCTGAGTTGGTTGAGAGTCCCCACTACGGCCTCCACGGCGAATTGAAGAATGAGCGGAATCAAGCAAACGGATTGAAAGGAGAATAACAGCAAACAGCAGGGTGCAAGATGAGGGTGCGTATGCTAAGCGGCTCCGTTTGACCGTCAAATTGACGCGTCTTTGCCTCAAGGGGATGGACTACAGAGAGCTGATGGAGGGAGAGTAGCATCAAGCGAGCAGCATTGCCACTGGCCTTTCTCGCCAATCGGACTTGACTGGGTTACATGTACAACACAGCCCCCCCCCCCTCAGCCGCCAAAGCGATCACTTTCAGTTTGGCTCGTTACTTGCGTGAGGCAAAGCGAGTCGAGAGCGTATTCGGGCCGAGGTGCATGTAATGCATGATGCATGGCGCCATCGAGCTGTGTCTTGAGCTGATACGGTTCTGAATCAGTGAGGGGGTGCAACTCGCTTCAATGTACCGGTATCTTAAACTGAAGTTGTGTACTGTAAAGTTTACAGTACAGTGTACGATAACTCCATAGAAAGGGTTTCATGATTAAGCGAGATAACGATTTTTGAGTCTCTTTCAGCACCAATTCGATGCCGTTTAGTTGCTGGCAACTTGCAGAGGAGGCTAATGCTTTCACGTACATGTATGCACATTAGGTATCTTGTCCAAATTGCTTTCAGATATTAAATAAGGGTAGTCCTCGAGCCCATCCTCACTCGGAGATGCTCGCTCGTCGACGAAACCAGCTCTTTCTTGCGGAGATCCGCAAGTGCCAAGTCACTTGGCCCAAGTGTACTGTACTGGAAAGTCACCTTGAAAGTGATTTTCCTAGTCTATCCGCCAGTGCCGCGCTGCGCAAATTGCCCCCTTGTCGCCTCGACGACCAGTCTGCATTCCTAGACTGCCGTGGACTGTCCACTGGACACCAACGTTCGTTCGCACAACGGCGAACGCTTCCGTGACAGCAGCGGCATGGGGATGTTTGGACCGTCAAAGCATCCCATGTATCTAATGTATCGGGACCACAATGAGAAGGGCGATTCCCTTGACGTGGTGCTAGCGGTTACTGTATACATGTAGTAATTCATGGACAATGTCAATTTTGAAGCGCCGCCAAAGCTGCTTTGGCAAAGCACCGGCAAGCCGACCGAGCGTCAGTTGCGCAGCGAAGTCCTGGCAGGATTTTTTCCTGCTACAACCAGTGCCGCAAAGCGTTGACGTTGAAGTGCCGCTTCAGCGGCGAAAGTTTTTGAAGCCCGCATTTCGCTAGCTTGTACAGTATTTCGCTATTCTGCGTTTCGCTAGTTTTGAGATAGGCATCTTAGCTACAGCATGGATCCATTGTACTGTAGTTGGAGCCGCTAGGACCTCAGGTTCTGAGGTTCAGGATCTAGTAATGTCCGAGGGATAAAGACAACAGACACAATGCTCGTTAGAAAACATTCCAGTCTCCACCCACATCTCAAAAGCTAGCCTCCATTCCGCTGATAAAGGTCGCCTTCACACCTTCAAGGTGAGACTAACCCCTACATTGCTCCGGCTCTCGAATACATGTACGACGGTCAGCAACCATGACAAGTGTCGACGTGGGCGAATCAGACGCCTTCAAGCGCTGATAAAGATGGTGCAGACACGGCGAAGTCTACATGTACAAATGTCGACGAGTTTTTGATGGAGTCACAAGTCGCGACGGCTGTACATTACCGATTTCAAACCGACGTTTGATCGTTGGTAAGTTGTACTTGTTACCGTACATGATTCCTGCTGTACGAGTAGAATCGTTTCTACTGAAAAGCAACGTTTCTAATTTAGGCCTCGTTTATTTTGCACGACGAATTCCATTTGTCTATACATCTTGTATTTTCCTGATGTGCATGCATTTCCTGTTTCTTATCGATTGCCTTTTTTTGATAGCAAAAGCGTGTTAAAATTATTAAAAACATTGCTTCAGTAATTATTCCAAGCGAGTTTGCATTTCTTTAAAAAAAAACTTTAAAAAAGCTTTTTCTAGGAATACATTGGTTTTGGTCCGGTAAAATTTATAGGTTTTAGGTCCGGACTATAATACGACGCGAGCGGATTTGTGCCCAGCTATTTCATTTGACAACCGGTAATGGAAAAAAAGCTGAAGCTACCATCGGGCGTCTTGGGCGCTCCGGTACTCTCCGGGGCCAGCACTGCGCTTGCAGTTGCCGCTGGTGTCGTGGCCGTCGTGGGGATGGCCACATTTCACAAGCGTGCAGCCGCGCGGGCCGACACTCACAAGAAGAACGGTATTTGTGTCGGGCTGTTGCGCATGCACGTGCCTCAGAATTTTCGAGATCTGGTGAAGAACGACGTGCTACTGGAGAAAGCAACGGAGTTCGTCTCGCAGACTCTGTTGGTATTCGTGTCAGGTAGGAACACGCATGAGGTGGTCAACTACGTCAGCGAGCTCTACGGCATGGCATGGGACGTCGCCTGTGCACTGGACAAGCCCTTCCTGGACATTCGGTATGTGTGTCTCTCTGTCTTTGCTGCATCTACTCCAGTAGCTTGAGCTATTGGCATTACATTGTGCTTGGTCAAACTGCAGGATTGTGGGCGGTGGAGTGTCTTCGAACTGCAAAACGTGGGAAGAGCTGGTGCTGCAGCCGGACTTGAACGCGGTCTTCGGTGAGGACGCTCTGGTGGACGTACAGCGCCTCAATGCGCAGCGATTCGAGCGTGACGGACTGTTTGCAGTCACGTATCATCCATTGGCGATGCATGTGGAGAGGAGGCTGGCAGCCGACGTTAACTACTTTGAGAATGAGCACGCGGACCTGACGCCACACGACCTGGTCATCCTGGGAGGCACGTTCGACCACTTGCACAATGGGCACAAGAAGCTGCTGTCGCTTGCTGTAAGTATCTGTGCGAACCGCGTTCTGGTGGGTGTTACAGCAGATAGTATGCTGAAAAAAAAGTCACACGCAGAGTTGGTTGAGCCCCTGGAAAAGCGAAAGAGTGCGGTGCGAGACTACATTGCATTCCTCAATCCGCAGATCGTTGCGGACATTGTGACAATCGAAGATCCCTTTGGTCCAGCAATTGTCGTCCCAGAGCCAGCAGCGATGGTTGTATCCACCGAGACGCTTACGGGTGCTGCAAAGATCAACGACATTCGCGTGGGTCGTGGACTGCCAAAGCTCCGCATTTTTGCATGTCGCCGTACGGAGAGCAGCACCCTCAGCTCTAGTTGCATCCGTGCAAAGATCGCAGCATCTCGAGAGCACTAACCTCTTGCTGTTATAGGTCGAGTTAAAAAAAAAAGCTTGACAATGTCACTTAAAAGTATTAATACGTCTTAGAAAAGATAAATCGTTCGACGATGTTTTGTTAAAATGAAAGCCACAACTCGCTCGGCAATCTGGTATTACTACAGGTCCACACAACAACTGACTGTAGGGCAAGAAACTCCACTATCGAACTACTGCAACTTTTCGCTTGCCTACATGATTCGTGTCTCCCTTCTCCTTCTCGGTTACCGGTGCTACTGAGTTGCTGCTCCTGCTTCATCTCTCTTTTCCTGTCTGTCATCACTCTTGCTCCACGCTGCGAATCCTATTTATAAGTGTGGGGTGGTGGGATCCAGGCCGCCGACGGGGGCGTCCGAGGGAGGTTGTACCAGCCCCAAACTCCGTTTCAGGGCTGTGATGTCCACCTCCAGCGGTACCACAAACCCATTGATCCGGAACGGGATTGTATGGAACACGGGCTCATCGGCGCTTCCGTCCAAATGCAGCTGGTCTCCGGCAGTCGCAGTTGTCTGTTTACCGCGTGCAACCTTCCTGGGTCGGTCGCTAACTAGAATGGCTTCGTCACGCACTCCGTTCTTGTGACCAGTTCGAATACCCGCAGACTTCGCCGCGCTGCCCCCAGGCGTGAGAGATCCGTCAATGGACATGTCTGCGTAGCTCTGGATAAGTGGGAAACCGGCCGTTGCTGCCTGGCCAAACGGCATAAAGGACGGGTTGGGCGATGCAGTGGCTCCGGTTGGGCCGTTGGCTACGATCGAGTCGACGCCGCCTTCCGCTAATTGTTGCTGCTGCTGCTGCTGGAACATCTTCATGGTCAGCCGCTTCTTCTCCTTCTTTGTCGTCGTATCCACAAAATAGCAGAAAACCTCGTATTTGAGTTCAGCTTTCATGCTACGCGCCACTTTCCAGCGCACACGCAGCAGCGGATCGAAGTTCTCCTTCGTTAGCTGGACGTATTTTGACTGCGTGGCATTGCTGCTCGGCTTCAAGTAGATGGCGCGTCGTTCCTGGACGTAGTTGGGGTCCAGCTTGCTGTAGTGGCGCTCCACCTTGCTCTGGAACACGCCAAAACCCTCGTCCGGAATAAATGAAATGAGGATTTCGTCGTGCAGCTTCTTGCGTACAGCCATAAGCGGTTCGCCGCACTTCATAGTAAGCACAGCCTCACATTCCTCGTGCTCCGGGAAGGCGTCGGGTCCCGATTCATCCGCGCGTTCAGTCACGAACTTAAGTTCGGAGGCGGTGGTCTCGTCGGTCACCGGAGGCTCATCACCGTCTAAGCTAGACGTCGAGTGCATGATAATTAAGACTTTGTAGTAATCTTGTGACGCTGCGCGGTATTGGAGGGCGCGCTGGACTTGGTGCCAATTGGGCTTTTTGAACTTGTCTTTGAGACCGGTTCAAAGTTGCGTGATGTTATGTTGCTCGACTCAATTTCCAGCAGCCCTCGATGGAGAAAATGCCGTATAGTAGTTATTTCGTGTGGCAGATATCGACAGCTCGATTTACCGTAATACCGCTAAAGTACCGGTACTTTCTATAACTGTACTTGGGATTCTAGTCGGAAACAGGAATTTCAAAGTCCACTCGCATTGAACACAAACTTCGTGTATAACAAGTTATTAGCCAGCGAGACATACACCGAGATCACTGACACGCAAGTCGTCCGCGAAAAAAAATGGGTCATGCACATGCATATGCAAGGGAAAAATGCGGCTTGGCGAGCAACACTGTGTTGTCATTGGGATGGTGTGTTGGCAAGTTGCCAAGTTGGCAATGCCAGCACTTCGAGGAAGTCTTTACAGTACAGTAAACACTCGGAACGATACCGTCTTGAATCCTGACGACCGAACAAAAAGCACAAACTTTGTGCGAGCACAAAATCTGACTTCTGGTTTGCTGTTCTCCAGGTCAACACGATTTTTTTAGTTACCGGTACGTAAGTTGCCACTGGAGTCTACCCACTGCCAGTGGGCCACTGGCCAGCAGTGTTTACACAGCGCAACGTTGCCAGCGTGAATGTTTCCTCGGGATAGGCACCAGGTGGCGAGCGCGAAAGCGCCTAACGTTAAACGCCGTGCACGTGTATTTGCATCATCTTGATAATGTACTTGGCGAACACATCTCGCACGGGCATCCAGCTACTAACTGTATAGTGTGGAGGAAGAGCCAGGACTGCGTCCAGCTCAAACCTGAGGCTCAGGTGCCTCCAGGACGCGATGCTCGCGTCCAGAAGCCGGACTTCGACGGACCATTGGCTGGCGAGCCGCCAGCCCCATCCTACTGCTAATCCTACCAATATATGTTACCGGGGTTTTTCCGTGTGCTGCTACACACTCGACAACTTGCGCCGTCAAGAGCAAGCAGCAGCACTCGGTTTTCTCCCCTGCTGGACTTTCAGTCCCTGCAACTTACTGTTGTTACGACTAATTCCTTCACCACAATGGTCACCACTCGGCGTAGCCGAGGAGCGACCATCACTCAGGTTATGAGCCCAAGAAGGAGAGCTGGAAGCCCAGTCCGGAGTACGCAGAGCTCGCGCGCGTCCGACGAGTTGCAGTTGCCTGCAAGAGTAGACGAGACAACGTCAGACGAGGCACGTGCGACGTCACAAGCGTCATCAACCCGAGTTGAGCAACAACTCAAGCTCTTATTGGCCCAATTCGGTACCGTTATGACTACACTGACAAATCAGCAGCAAGTGCAGAACATCCCAGTGGAAGCATCCACCCGACGCCCACAAAGGCAGCTCATTCAAGAATTCTCAGCGGCTCGAGCACAACCGCAGCGAGTGCCGACGCCGTACGGGCCCCGCCGAGGAAACCCAAGCACAGAGGAACTTACCGCCGGCGCCAGCACGCGTCAGAGCGAGCCGCCAAGAAACCCAAGAACGTCCGAGGCTGCAGCGCAGCCAGTCCAGACCGAGGCCGGGACCGACTCCGCTACGGACGAACCCATGGTTGGAGACCACAGATGCACGCGGTGCATGAACCAGAGCGGACACGTGCAGTTGAACGCAAGACTTACCGATAACAGCTACCAGACGTGGCGCGTCGAGATTTGCTCCATTCTCGACGTCGCACACCTCTTGGACCCCATCATGGAGCGCGAAACGATGGCAGACCAACGTAACGAAGGACAGCGCGACTGTTTCAAGCAACGACTGCGTGTTGCTCAACGTGAACTTACGATGGGACTTAGTCAAGAGCTACAGATGCGATTTACAAGTGTTATTCAACGTGCTGATCCTATCCTACTGTGGCGTACACTGGAAGATCATTTTGATAACCATCCTGGCGTAAACAGCGTGTTTCTCAAGCGAGATATGCTGAGGCGTCGCCTGCAACGTGACGAACGACTTGACGATTACATTCGTGACATCGACGACTACCAACAGTGACTTCGACACGCGAACAAGCAGCTGCCTGAGCAGGAAGCCGTCTCTATCCTATTGTCAAATACAGTGGAGGTGTACCCAGCGGTGGTAAACGAGCATGAAGTACGTATTGGACGTGATGAGTCCATTACGTGGGAGCAAGCGATCGAGCGCCTTCGACCACTCACGTCAAGAGATTGAGCTACAGCAAGGACGTGGTGGAGGTGAACGTGCCGTCCAGCGAGATGTTGCATTTGTTGGTGGTCGTGGCGACGGACACAACGACGGAAGAGGACGTCGAAACTCGAGCAGCAGCCAAGCACGAGGCAACAACAATCGCAACACTCGTCGCAGCCGCAGCTCATCGCCGCGTGGGCGGAACAAGCGGCAGAAGAGCAAGAGCTCATCCAGTGCGAGGGATGACATCGCCAAGCGAAAGGCGAAGACGAAGTGCAACACGTGCGGAGAGCAAGGACATTGGAGTGGCGATCCTGAGTGCCGCCAGCGTGGCAACAATAACAACAACAACAACTCGAGCAACCCGCCGCGCAGGATGATCGATGTGGTAACTGTGAAGACAGCCAAGTCGGCTGCACCGACTCAAGCTGAAGGACAAGAGCATGTACTCGCGGTGCGTGACAACTTCAACTACAAGGACAAGGACAAGGACCAGGACATGGTGGAGTGGGTGCTGGATAGCGGCGCGCAGACCAACGTCTCGAGCGACCTTACCTTGTTTACGGAGCTACACGAAGACTCAGTTGCAGAGCTAGTCTTCGGCAACGGCACAACCGAGCGCGCAACTGTAGGCACAGTGCTTATGCAAGTGCTGAACGAGCACACGGGCAAGATCGAGGAGCGCCTCCTTGATGACGTGAGCTACGCCAAGTCGGCTGCCTACAACCTGATCTCGTAGACCTACATGCAATTTAAAGGAAACTTCAAGGTGCGCGTCTCGCATGATCAGAAGACTACGTGGCTGGTCAAGGACACATTGAAGCTGCGCTTCAAGTACATCCGCGGGATGTACCGCATGTGGTCGCCACGTCAGAGCAAGAACGTGATGAGCGTCAAGGCCAGTGAAGCTGAGAACCCCATGACGTTGCTGCACAACCGCATGGGCCACGTAAACATGGAGACTATCAAGACTATGGCAGGAAACTATAACTTTGGCATCAACATGCAGTGGAAGAATTTTGCTCTCTATGAATGCATTCTATGCTTAGAGTCAAAGACGAAGCGCATGAGCTACAAGCGCAAGCCGTCTCGCTCTGCAAAGCCCTTGCACAAGCTTTGTGTCGACCTATGCAGTGTTGGAGTGGAGACAATATCGAAATCAAACCAGTTTCTATTGATTATCGACGAAGCTACGAGATACAAGTGGGGATATCTATTAGCCTACAAAGACGAAGCCACGGAGCTGATTCAGAAGCAGATTCGCTGGATCCAGAACCAGTTCCCGAAGGCGACCATCAAGATGCTGTTCTCCGATGGTGGTGGCGAGTTCGTCAACATGCAGCTCGAGACCTTCTGCAAGGACCTCAGCATCGACACGCGTTCATCCAATCTCTACAGCCCGCAGGAGAACGCTATCGTGGAGCGCACGAACCAGATCGCCATGCGGCAGGTCAGATCTATGTTACAAGCTACGCAAATGCCTGTTTCATTATGGGGAGAAGCCTTCCTACATGCAATTGAGACGCTCAACAAGACGCCGACGCCGGTGTTGAAGGACCAGCAGTCCCCGTACGAGGCCCTGTACGGAGAGCGGCCAGACCTCAGCGTGCTGCGCACGTGGGGGTGCTTGGTGCACGCGCACATCCCTGATGATTCTCGGCAGAGAAAGGAGAAGCTCACTCCAAGGACGCAGATGTGCTTACTACTTGGCTACAGCGAGAAGACCAAGGGCTATAAGCTGCTGAACCTGCGCACAGGATCAGTGACGACGTGCAGAGATGGAAACATGAAGGCACATGAGAAGTACACGGTGAACACTGTGTATATTGAGCAACTTCTTGCAAACACCTACGCTTACGGAGACTACGACTTACCTGCGGAGATCCCGATCGTGCCGATCCGGACGACAATGTCTACGTTCCTGCAGCTTCCTGCAGAGCTTGCAGAAAAGCGAGCAGCGGAAATGGCACTGCTGGTGAGAGCCAGGACCAAGGTGTTGAAGTTGAAGCCGAGTCTGCGACTCGAAGTGATGACCCACAGCTATCAAGCGAGGACGCTAAGAAGCCAGCAGCTTCAGTGGGAGGTTTCAAGCGGAAGAACACAAAGGGCAAGAATAAGGCGAAAGCATGTGCAAATCGAGTGGGAGCCTCGAAGGCCAAGGACAGTCGACGTGATGCTCACGAAGACGAGAACTGGGAGCCATGCACGACGCAGAAGTCGTCGCCAGACGACAGTGCAGCTACGTCGCGACCGAAGCGGAAGCGACAACCATCCGCCCGACTCAAGGACTACGTAGTGACGAATGTGACGAAGCAGAACGTCGAGGATGTGCAGATCCCCATTAGTCACAAGCATGCGGCAAGGTCAAAGAAGTGAAAGGAGTGGAAAGCAGCGATGCAAGTCGAGATGGACTCACAGCAGCAGCATGAAACTTGGGTGCTCGTGCGACGCACGGAGGCCAAGGGCAAGCGTGTTATTTTGTGCAAGTGGGTGTACGCGCTCAAGAAAGACTCTACGGGCCGGATTAAGCGATATAAAGCTCGACTGGTGATCAGAGGCTTTCTACAACGCATGGGCATCGACTACAGTGAAACATACGCACCTGTTATCAGATTTGAGACGATCAGATGCGTGATCGTATACGCACTGCAACGCGGATGGGCCATCTTGCAGTTCGACGTCAAGACCGCGTTCTTGTACGGTGATCTCGACGAGGAGGTCTACATGGAGCAGCCTCCAGGCTTCGGAGAAGACTCTACGCGCTACGTATGCAAGCTACAGAAGAGTTTGTATGGGCTAAAGCAAGCGCCTCGCGTTTGGAACAAGACATTGCACAAGTTCCTGACGAAGATCGGACTCGAGCGCCTCGACTCTGACTACGGACTCTACGCCAGGAAAGTGGGAGGAGAAGTCACCATGTTGCTCACGGTGTACGTCGACGACCTACTGCTCCTCGGCCCTAGTGACCTTTGCGCTAAGGTTGCTAAGCAGCTCAGTGAGGAGTATGAACTCACATCTATCGGACCAGTCAAGTATCTACTAGGCGTGGAGATACTAATCGACAGCGAGCGTCGACATGCGGTATTTTGCCAGCGGCAACATATTACGGAGGTGCTAAAGCGATTTCACATGGAGGGTTGCAACGCGGTTGCAAGACCGGAAGCGCTGCGCGCTGAGGTGGTCACAGATGCGAAAGATGACTCCCCGCCCCCGTACCGAGAGCTCGTTGGTGCACTACAATATCTGGTCTCAGCCTCAAGGCCGGACATTGCGCACGCTGTGCGTAATCTCAGCAAGTACCTGTCCTGCTTCGACCACACACACTACGCTATGGGAAAGAGGGTGCTACGCTACCTCAGTAGTACTCAAGACCACGGCTTAGTGATGGACATTGTTATTGGGAACGACGTCAAGCTGACGTGTTACACCGATACTGACTACGCTAATGACCCTGATGACCGAAAGAGTGCTAGCGGGTTCGTGACGTTCGTCAATGGTAACGTGGTTTCGTACGGATCAAGAAAGCAAGAGATTAACGCACAGAGCACAACGGAAGCAGAGTATATTGCCATGAATGAAGGCACTAGAGATCTACAGTGGCTACGTGGACTCTGTGAAGAACTATGCTGGGAGTTCGCGACTCCGGAGATTTTCGGCGATAACAAGTCGTGTATCTATCTGACTGCCAAGCCTGGCAAGCACAGCAAGAACAAGCACATTATGAACAAGTTCCACTTGGTGCGCCACCTCGTGGAGGACGAGCAGCTACGGAATCGCCATGTTGGCACCGACGACATGATCGCCGACGCGATGACGAAGCCATTGCCGAAGGACAAGTTCGAACATTGCCGTGATGGGATGAAGGTGCTGCGCATCGACCGTCAGCAAGGCTCAGCTCGTTCAGTGGGAGCCAAACATCATCGCCATGCGTGAATGCAAGCTACTACTATCAGTTCATGCATGCGAAGGACAAGAAGGAGAAAGAGCGCTACCAAGGACGAAACGTCGTGCTGCAGCGCTGCTAGAAGATGCCAAGGATATCGTGGTGAGCTCTACAAGGTGATCATGTTGAAGCTGCGCTTCGACTAGATCCAGTGGGAGTGTAAAGTGTGGAGGAAGAGCCAGGACTGCGTCCAGCTCAAACCTGAGGCTCAGGTGCCTCCAGGACGCGATGCTCGCGTCCAGAAGCCGGACTTCGACGGACCATTGGCTGGCGAGCCGCCAGCCCCATCCTACTGCTAATCCTGCCAATATATGTTACCGGTTTTTTTCCGTGTGCTGCTACACACTCGACAACTTGCGCCGTCAAGAGCAAGCAGCAGCACTCGGTTTTCTCCCCTGCTGGACTTTCAGTCCCTGCAACTTACTGTTGTTACGACTAATTCCTTCACCACAATGGTCACCACTCGGCGTAGCCGAGGAGCGACCATCACTCACTAACAAGGCTTCGAGGCCTAGCAAGAGTAGCAACCTGGAAGAACAAGTCTTGCATCGCATGGGGTAATATTACCAGCCGCCCAGCTGCACGTCTGCTATCCCGAGGGTTCACATACAAACCCTAAGTCCGCTAATGTTAAAATTCTTTGGTTCACGAAACAAATCAGAATCATCTATTTCCAAAGTCTATAAGAATGGTTTAGCGTAAAGATTTATGTTTGTAGGATCTTTAATCCTATTATCATTAGCTTTCAAAGTCTCTAAATTATTGAAAGTAAACCGTTTCCTGTCTGAATGGTACTTGCCTGTTGTCCCTTTGAGGTTCAAGCTTTTGATGGTGCACTTCCCAGTTGCTCCGTTCGGCCTCAGATTGCCTTCCATCCACTCGGCGGTATGATGTTCCCATTGCCGCTGGACTTCTTCCCTCCGTTGCGCCTAAGCAAGCAGGAAGCGCAGAGCTTCCTCCAGTGGGGAGACTCGCTGCTGCAACAGACTATCGACGCGTACCACCGCGAACAGTTTGACACGCAGGAATCGCGGGAGCGCAAGTGGAAGCCGATCAAGCAGAAGCACGATCTGACAGTCTATCGGCGACGTAAGATCAAAGACGACAGCGAATTCAAATATTTGTGCACAGGCCGCATCGACGGCACGCTGGACGAGGTCGTTATGGGTCGCTACGCTGACAACACGCCCGACTTCCGGCGCATCTCGGGTGTTTACCGCGAGGACATCGTGGACTGCGCCGTGCTTGGCGTCATCAAGAAACGCACCCCTGAAGATCCGTTCTTCCTCTCGTGTTTCAAGTGGATGACGGTAGAGTCGCCCGGTAAGGGACTCGTCAAGAACCGCGACGTCTGCTGGTACGAACAGGTGGGCATGACGCGCGATCGCAACGGCAAAGAGATTGGCTACACACTCACCGAGTCGGTTGAGCTGCCCACTTGTCCGCTGTTCAATGAGTGCGTACGAGCCAAGTTCTCTATCTGCTACCTGTACAAGCGAAACAAGAGCGGAGGGGTCAAAGTCTACATGCGTGGCAAGAATGACGCAGGCGGAAAAGTCGTGGACTGGGTAGCCGACATGAAATCGGCGGAACTCTGGCTACGTATTGAGCAGGCGAGACCCGTGGCACATGCAGTCATTGCCACGGCACTGGTGGAGGCTGGCAAGCACACGGTGCGTCCGTTCATCACGCATGGAAAGTGCGAGGTGTGCCACGCCAAGGCCTCTGGCTTCTTGAGCTCATCCAAGCAGTGTGCTGTGTGTCACCGAGTCACGTGCTCCAGCTGCGTCCTCAAAGTGCGTGTCCTGAGCTTCCACGACTTCCGTGTGCCACACCACGAACAGTTCTGCAAGAAATGCATCCGATTGATTCACCAAGTAGATCTACGCGCCCCGGAGAGTGTACGGAACCTTGTGGAGTACGCTGCTGCTTCCTTGACGGGGTCCGAGAGCTCGCAGGACAGCTTTGGGAGCTCAACACGAGGCAGAGCAGCCACGGACGACAGCGGCGAGGGGGAGGGCCAACACGCAGCGTCTGCGTCAAGCAGCCACAGCAGTAGTAGTGGATCCTTCCGCACAATCCCACAGCCTATCATTGGTGTAAACCGCCAGAAAGAGGACGAGGGTTATTACGCGGATTCGGGGGCAGCAGCAGCTCCGCTTCCGAAGCATCCTGGACAGCCCACACACAACACTCAAGTGAAACCTGGTTCGTCGTCGATGTCAGCTGTGCCCGTGACCATCTACCAAGAGCAGTCATCACACCCTACCAGTCGTAGTATGGACGCCTATGCGGAGAAGCGCACGGTGGCAAAACGTCGTCACAGCCACTCGCCACCTGGCAGCCCTGAAGACAATTACTACAAGGGACGCGACTCGGAGACGCCAGTGACTCGAGGGTCCATCGCAGTAGCTCGAGTAAACAGCGCGTCCTCAAGGCCTTACAACGGCAGCTTCAACAGCTCCAACGCCTACGAACGCAGTGACTCCGATCCAGACTCGCTGATGGCGCAGATTATCCAGATGAACCTCATCGCTGAGCAATCTCGTCAACAGATCCAGGACAACATCAAGATGGCACGTCAGCTCAGTAGCAGCCGCTCGTAAACGCTTCATACAGTGGAGCTCAACGGTTTGTACATACGGGAAATAATTTGTGTTTATCAAGTAAGAGAGACCAGGTTCTATGCGTCATTTATTTTGCTCTCTACTTCGACTGTATGTGGGTAGAGCAGCCTCACTATTAACCCAATAACACCAGCATTCTTGCAGCAACTTTTTAACTCAAAATGTACGTGGCAGACTGGAGCCATCCAGCAGGACGAACCTGCCGGACTTGGCGTTCTACCAGCAGTTTCTGCAGGTGTTTATCGACGGCTTTCCGTGCAGACAAGCGCAACATGTAGGACAATGGCTTGTAGATTCTATCCACGATCTCCGGCGACGACAGTCCTCCCTGTCTCTTGAGCACTTCCAGGATCTCGAATTCTCGTTGTTGACGATGTGTTATGTACTCCATGATCTTAGCGGGTGCATCGTCCACTACAGGTCCATGTCCCGGGTAGATAGTTGCAGCACCGCAGTCTTTCAGCTTCGCTAGAGACGCCGTGAGGTCGGCCAGCGAGTCAAACATGCAGCTACCGAAGCCCAAGACGCAGTCTCCAGAGAACAACACGGGCGCCTTCAGGTCGTCCACCTTATCCAGCACGAAGCACACGTGATCATTGCAGTGTCCTGGAGAGTACACCGTCATCAACACGCCTTCACCGCCGGGCACTTGGAACTCCTGTCCGTCTTTTAGTGCCGCAATCCCGAGGCGTCGACACTGTTCATTGCTCAATCTCAAGCGTCGATCTCCGTCTCCATCCCCCTCTTTACTTGCATCAGGGAGATACTTCCACACCTTCATAGATGGGAATCTCTGCTTTAATGGCAGAAGGCCCCCTACATGGTCCAGGTGTCCGTGAGTCACCAGTAGATCCGAGATCTCCTCCACCCCATGCAGGTGACACACGTCCAGCAACCTCTTTACAAACACCTCATTGCCGTCGCTCGAGTCGACCAACAATCTTCTCGGTCCGCTGCCCACTACGTAGACGTTTGTTCCTCGCAGTGTCATTCGACTCGGATTGTTGCCCAGCACACGCAGCACTTTTCCGGGCAGTTGATCCACATCCGCGATGCTCGGCAGACTGCGCGAGACTCCAGAGATCCACAATATCAGCGAATGAAGCCGCACATTTAAGCTGAAACGTAGCAGAGTCAACGCAGGGACGTCGGAGAGCCCTTCGCTACTGCGATACAGAGCCAACTGACGCACCAGCAGCCACGCACTGACCGCAACCGTGCTTCCCAACAGCGCAGGAGTCCACATCAGAAGAAGAATTCTGCGACGTGTGACGGAAAAAATTATAGTGACATGTCACTAAGATGAAGCTGATCATTTTTCAGCCAGTCAAAACACACGATTGCTCCGCTCGAGTGGAGCGCTGGTGTACGACGACGCTCTCTCGCTCGCTCGGTGTTCTGCGGCAGTCTGCGATGGGTCGTGGCACTGCTCGTCGTGGAGGAGGCGGACGACGTGGTGGGCGTGGTGGACGAGGCGGTCGGGGTGGACGAGGACGAGGCGGACGCCATGACGGCCCGGACTTCCGTGCTGCTGGCTACAACGACGGCGTACCGTGCAGTGTGGATGAGTCTGTGGTCGGTATCCGGCGCTTCCTGATGCCAGAAGTGGGTGGATTTCACGGAGCCACCAAGCAGCGCTACTCGGACTTTGTGGTGCGCGAGGTGGCGCTGGATGGGCACGTGGTGACGCTGTCGGACGTCAAGCAGGTCGCACCTGCTGCAAAGTCGCAGAAGATCAGTGAAGTCTTCAAGCACAAAGTGTTCGCCTTACTGAACGATGCAGCCAATGAGAAGATGGACATTTCACCACCAGTGCACACTCTGGTGGGCAAACTGGCTGGCACATTGCTGGGCCTGTTTAACGCCAATAACAGAGCGAGACTTGTGAAGGAAGAGAAGGCGAACGTGGAGAAACTCAAAGTGGCGATTGGTGGAGTGTGTGGACAGGAGACAGCGGAGAAACTGGAGGAATTTATGCTGAAACTGGTGGCCGCACAGGTGAAGGAGGAGGAGGCCAAGAGACTGGCGAACAAAATCAACAAGAACAAGAGTGAAGAGAAGAAGAAGGAGAGTGAAGTTTTGAGTGCGGAGGTGAAGAAGGAGGAGACGGAGACAGCCTTCTTCTTTCCTCCAATTGAAGCCAAGGACACTCGAGCGGCAGTGCACGAGACAGTGCGTAGGTTTGGCAGTGGCACTGTGGTGTCCGACACGACAACGAACAGTAACGGGGTGTCAGTGATTCGAGTGCGGCGAGTGATGGTGGGCGGCAAGAAGCGGAAGGATATGGATGGACGCGAAAGAAACAACGGCCGTGCACAGTGGCCGAAGAACCGTCCTGATTATCTCCAGTTTGTGCTCTACAAACGCAACATGGAGACCAACAGCGTCATGATGCAGCTCGCCAAGGCCATGAACTCGAACGTATCAGCCTTCACGTATGCTGGAACGAAGGACAAACGTGGCATTACGACACAGCTCTGCACCGTCTACCGCGGATCAAAGGAGCGACTGGAGACACTTAACCGTGCTGGCCGTGAGCTCGACTCTTTCAACTTCCTCGTGGGCAACGCCGAGTACGTCCCTGAACGCCTGAACCTTGGCGACTTACGCGGCAATCGCTTCTCGCTGGCTATTCGCGATCTCCCTGATGACGAGACTATCTCAGACCAGCAGATCCACGACGCAGTTCGAAGCTGGAGGGAGCACGGCTTCATCAACTACTTTGGGCTGCAGCGCTTCGGCACCAAAGCCATCGCCACCCACGAGATCGGACGAGCTATCTTGCAGCGCGACCACAAACGCGTTGTGGACTTGCTGCTGTGTCCGCAAGAGGGCGACGCGACAAAGATTCGCGAGGCTCGTCAGGCATTCCAAGACTACCAGGACGTGGGAGCTGCACTCAAGGCGCTTCCTCCGTATCTGATCGCTGAGCGCGCTGTGCTGCAAGGACTTGGTGCTCACGGGTTGACGGCGTACGCTACTGCGATCCAGAGTATCCCGCGTCATCTGCGTATGATGTACACGCACTCGTACCAGAGTTACGTGTGGAATACCGTGGCTAGTGAACGCCTGACTCAGTTCTCTAGAGAATTACCTGTGGTGGGAGATCTAGTCATTCCTCAAGATACAATTACGGAAGATTCCGTGGACGAGAGCGAGGATGCCGGTGAGGAAGACGACGATGGCCCTGCGAACAAGAAGCCACGGACGTCGACTGAAGCTTCGCGTCCGGAGGCAAATGTCACCGTTGTTACGGATGAGAACTTGAGCCAGTTTAGCATCTACGACGTGGTGCTTCCGTTGCCTGGCTACAGCATCAAGTACCCCGAGAACGCATTGAAGCAGCGTTACGAGGAGATTATGAAGACGGACGACGTGAATTTCCAAGCTCTGGAGCGTGCGACCAACTCGGAGTACCATCTTCCAGGCTCCTACCGCCATGTGATCAGGAAACCTATCGATGTGGAACACGAACTCAAGCGGTTTAATGACCCCACCATCCCGCTTCTGGAAACGGACGTTGACCGTCTCGCCGGTCGCTCTGCACAGTCCTCCATCCCTGATGGCAAGTTCCGTGCTCTCTGTCTTGAGTTCCAGTTGGGTCCTTCCTCGTATGCGACTATGGCGGTTCGTGAGCTGCTCAAGCAGAGCAGTAATCTCGGCGTGCAGCTGCAGTTGAAGCAGACACTGGAAGCTAAGAAGACACAACTATAGAGCACGCACGGGGGGGAGGGGCGTTGCTAGATAAAATTCCTGTTAGATAAGAGTACGAATGGTTCACCGCTTTCGACTTAGATGCCGTCTTCCCACTCGTGTCGCTCGATCTTGCTCACAAATCGGTTGCCGCCACTGCACATGGACAGAGTTAAGTAAACGTTAGTACAGGGCACCACACAGAACACGAGGAAAAAGATACAGTAAGCTCGTACATGTCTTCTCTCAAAATGCGCCAGTAGAACTCCGGACGAGTTCCCTCCATGGCTTGTGTCCGACTGAGCATCTGCACGAACTCTTCGTCGTGGGTAATGCACACCAGCTGGAAGTTTTGCTGCTGCGAGCGCGCGTTCAGAATGCTGCGATACGTCGACAAACAAGAGCAATAACAAGTGAGCGAACAGCTTAACCTAACAGTTCAGAGTGGCCGAACATACTCTGTGATCGCCTGCGCGAGTCCGAACTTGTTTTCCGTGTCGAGATTGGTCGTGGGTTCATCCAGCGCCAGGATGCCACAGTTCAGACAGAAGGTCTCAGCTAGCGCCAAGCGGATCACCAGAGCCGCGAGGACTTTCTGTCCCGCACTGCAGCGACCTCGCATGTCGATTGCAGCCCCAGCCTTCTTCATCACGACACGGTAGTCGTACGAGCGAGCAGCTTTCGACACTGCGCCATCCTGCTGTCCGCTCACCAACTCAATAGTGTCGATATCCTGCCCCTTGTACGTGATCTGCCACAGCGAGCGAATGATCGTGTTGATCTCCTCCACCTTCTTCGAGTGATACTGCAGCAACGACTCGTCCAGCGCCTTAAAGTAGCGATCCAGGTCTGTCACGGCCATCTGCGTCGTCTCGAACTGGATCAACTTGTGTCGGTACTTCTCTTCGACGTCCTTCAAAGTCGGGACACGGAGCTTGACCTTCTGCTCGCGAAGTTCCTCCAGCAACTGCTGTCTCTTTCCCACCATCACGGAAGCCGAGTGTTTCGCAGAGCTCAACGCCGCATCCGCTGATTCAACTCGATCGTTCACGTCGTCCAGCGACGGTAAATTGCCGATATGATTCTGGAGATCCGCGACCTCAGTGCGCATCTTCTCCAGCTGCTTTTGGAGCTCACGGTAGTCGATATTGTCTTGGATTTGGCGCTTTCCGACCTCGTTCTGACTCAGATTCGTCTGCGCACTCTGCATCTGCGGTGCCAGATCTGCCAACGCCTGGACTGCTGTGTCCTCTCGCTGCTTCGTTTGGGCGATTGTATCACTCAGCGCTTGGACTTGACGCTCCAGTTTGTCAAGCTCTCCATGCTGGACTTGCTTGCATTTATCACTGAACACGCGGAAGTCTCCCTGGCGTTGCTGGAGCTCAGATCGTTGGACATGTAGCTGTTCGCTCGCCTCTTTTCGTCTCGTCTGGCGTTGCGTAGCTTTCGCTCGAACTACGCGCCCCACCTCGGGCTCCGACTTCTTCAACTTCGCACAGGCTTCTTTCAACGCCTTCTCTTGCTCCCGCAACCTGTTCTGCTCCTTGACAGCCTCGTCGTACTCTTTACGCTGCGTCTCAAGTCGGAGTTTTTCCTCCTTCCGACTGTGCACGTCATTCTGCAATTGTTGCAGCATTTCGTTGATGCGATCCAGCTCTTTCTGCTTGCGTTGGAGCTGGTGGTTCAGCTCCTGCACTTTTGCCTGCTTGGCATCTTTCTCCGCTTCCACGTCCGCCAACGACCGCCCACTTGCTCCCTGACTTCCTCTCATACGCGCCTCCTTTTTCGTAATTTCCACGTCGGAATACTCCAGCTCGTCCGCAGATTTGCGCAGGATCTCCATGTCGGACTTTGCCACTCTGGCAGCGTCGAAGTGCTCCTGTGCCAGCTCAAACGCGGCTTTCTTGTCTTGCACATCGATCTCCAGAGCCTTCTGAGCAGCGTAAATCTCCTCCAACTCGCTTACTTTTTCCGGGATCGCAGTCTCCAGCTCGATCCACTTGCGCCAACTCGGCATCTTCTCCTTGAGCTCAGTCAGCGTCTGCAGTGACGATTTCTCGAGGTCTTCGGCCTTTTTGATCTTGTCGGCCACCTTTCCGTCGTCCGTTTTATCGCTCAAGACGCTCTCGAACGCCTGCTCTTCCTCAGGACTCATGTCTCGCTCACAGAGAGGACAGCAGTGGTCTTTCAGCCCCTTCTTCTTGTAAATGTTGAGGAACAGGACCATATTCTTGCGACGAACGACTTTGTCTTTGGCGTCAGCGTACGCGCGCTCCGCCTCCCTCACTCCGAGCTCCGCACTCTTCAAGTCGTGGCCAGGAATCACTCTGTCCAGCAGCTCCTTCAGCCCACTCACGTGCTGTCTCTCCAGCTGGTTCTTCTTCAAGCGCAAGGCGTTCAGCTCCTTCTCTGCGAGCTTAGACGACGTCGTGTTCTCTATCAAACGCTGCTCAGCTGACGCCTGCTCCTTCCTCTTGGTATCGAGCGATCGCTTGCGCTCGCCAATCAGATCGTCGACATATCGGATTCCCGACACCAACGAGGCTCTGTCTGTTGGCTTCTCGCCGCCTTCAAAGATCTCTTCAATGTCCGCCACCTTTTCCTGTAGATTGGCCTGGAAACTTTCCAGTTTCTTGCGGTATTCGCTGCGTTGGAACTCGGTCTCAGCGTTTCGAGTGGCGTAAATACGTAACTGGCTGATCTCTTGTCCCAGGTCTTCGACCACGCCGTTGATGCCGCTCATTTGTCTGTTGAACCCTTGGATCTCGTCTTTCAGAGCCGCCACGTTGTGCTTGGCCCTGTAATCCGCCAACGTCTTCTCCGCTTCCGACACCTGAGAGCTCATTTCCTCTGCGTCGCGTTGCGAGTGAAGCCCAGCGCCTCCCAGCGCCCTCAACCGGTCCGCAACAACCTGTTTGTCTCTATTCAGCGCCTCCAGACTCTGCGTCTTGCTCTTCAAGTCGTCTTGTAGTCGCTTGGCCTGCGACGTCAGCTCGGACAGCTCCGTCATCAACGCGTCATCCTCCTGTCGCTGCTTGGCGTCCAGCTTGTTCACCTCTTCTTGCTTGTCCTTTACGACGCTCCTAAACTCCGCTAGAAAGCTCCAGATATCTTCCTGTTGCGACGTCAGCGGCTGCAAGTGGAAGCGATACTTGGTGCTGAGCTTCGAGGCCGTGTCAATGAGGTCCGCCACCATCTTCTGGTACATGCCGATGTTCGTTTCCACGCGTGTCTTCTCATTACGTAGCGCCACGTATTCTTCATTGGTCTTATGTTGCTCACGCTGCAGCTTTTCCTTCTGCTCTTGCAGTCTGGCAAACGCGCTCCGATGGTTCTCAATCGTAGCGTCGTAGTTGTTCAAGCAGCTTTGCAGCTCCTCGTCAGTGTCGCTCATAATCTTCTCAATCTTGTTGTATGCACTGCGCGCACTCTGCTCCTTCGTCGCCACGTCTTCTTGTCGTCTCTCCAGCTGTAGGTGGAAACTCTTCACTTCTTCCTGCAATTGCTGCAGCTCCCTCAACGTTTCGTCTGCTCTAGCGATCTTCCCATCCGCTTCTTCTCCTTCTTCCGCGACTTCTTGGAGTCGCTCTTGCATTCGCTCAATTTTATCGCGAATCTCCTCCGCCGTCTTCATGTGAGCCGTCAGCACGTCCAAGTCCCGTTTATAGTCCTTCGCATTGTCCAGTCGCGCCTTCTTCAGCTTCCGGATCGCTTCAAGAGCTTTCGTGTATCTCGCCGACTCGAAGATGTTATCAAACCTTTTCTTTAACTCGGCACCTTCTCTTAACGGCCAGTTGGAATCTTCTTGATGACAAAAGATGACACTTTCCAGAATGGCTTTAGACACCCCCAACATGTCTGGAATGTGCTGGTCTAGCTCGCCGCATTTGTGATTCAGAGAAACCTTCTCGCCCAGCTCGTTCGCCACTTGGATGACGCCGTCCAGAGCTTTAAAGCTGATCGTCTTCTTCGTCTGTCGCACTTGGTACGTACGATGCACCAGCATGACCTTACCCGCTTGGTTACGGAAGCGCAGACGAATACTCGCCTTCACTTCGTTGGTTCCTGCGATCTTGGGGTCGTGGATGAGGCTTTGGCCACTACGAGCACCTGGAGGAAGGCCGCCTGTGCACGCGAGCTTGAGACACTCGATCACTGTGGTCTTGCCGCAGCCATTGTCGCCCAGGAGGATGGTCAGAGGGTGGTAGAACTCGATGATCTCCTCACGGTTCGGACTGAAGCTGCGGATACCGCGGATCGACAACTTCTCAATGCTCGACATCGTTGGCCGATGGTGAAGTGAAGTTTCTGCCGGAAAAAAAAGTAGACGGACTTAAGTGGAAATGTGTGACGTGTGAGAGCGAAGGTACAGCTGATTGATCGTGATCTGTTTTTCTTACATACTGATTAAGTGCATGTTTCTTTCTGCTTTTTGTACTTTGACACGCGCTCAGGTTTCGATTCGATCTGTGCGGCCACACTTCAGGCTGTCACTTTGTGTCTTTCGAAATCTTTTGGGTCCTTATTGTGAATTATTCTTGTTGCATCCTGTGTAAATTGCTGTGGCTTTGCGTACCTCGTGACAAGACACGCACATGAAGGTACGGTAGTTCGCGGCAAAAAAACTGGCACCAAACTACTCTGGAGACAAACATGTATTAACATAAAGTGTTGAGCAAAGTGACTTTTTAATTTTGAGAATTAAATGCTTTTCTAAGCAAATGAAAAAACTTTGTTTACAAAGCTTTTTGTATTTTTTTTTAAAAAGAAGAAAAGATATTGACTTGGAGTGGTATCCCCAAATAGTGATACCCATTGTACATGTAGGCTGGAGTCTCGTTACCTTGTGATGGTACTGTACAGCTCTAGATAGTGATTCCCCCGAATAGTAATAACAATGGTTACCGACGATATTCTGTATGTGGCACTTTAGTTTAGTACAGACAGAAGTGTTTGTAGCTGCAAAGTATGATACATGTAATCCACGAAAATAGCTTTTCGGTGAGCTTCAAGCGAGGTTGTTTTCTATTGCTCAATAACCTGTAGCATTAGGTATCAGAAAACCGGATCGTCTGGTGCATCAAAACAAAACTCAAGCTAAAATATCGATCCCGGTGTGCTGCTACCGGTAAGCGCTTAGCAGCGCACCATGACGACAAGCATTGTCGACGCTTGCGGTAGTTTTCGTTGCGTCTATGTCTTGGCGGTAAAAATGAATCGTCCGGATACAGTCTTTTTATTAATAATACTACGAAGTAATACGGTAAGAAACCTGATATTGAGGTAACCCTACCCTTTTGCCTAATATCTGTGTACGATACATCAACAGCCAGCGAGGGGGAGAGAATCGAGCGAGTAGCTCCGTTGTCTCTGGCATTCCCCTCGTCACTCGTCGCTCGCTCGGTCCGGACGATGCAAGCCCCCACGCCGCCCGGTACGCCCTGCGACCATCGATACAGCCTAAAGGATTCGTACCGACCCGTCTTTATTCCCTGTAGGCTCGGCGGATGCCTCGCCCGTCCGCTCGAATAGCAAGAAGCCGTCGCCGGCGGACTTCATGTTCGGCGCTACACTAGGCGAAGGTGCCTACGCTCGAGTGCGTACTGTAGCTGTTTGTGATGGTAAATAGTGCGAGGTTTGCTGACGTTGTGGGCTGGCTGTGGCGGCTTTCACAGGTGGTGCACGCGCGCATGAAGGACACAGGCGTCGAGTACGCGGTGAAGATCATGGAGAAGCGCTTCATCCGCAAGGAGAAGAAGGTCAAGTTCGTCATGATGGAGCGCAAAGTTTTCTCCAAGATCTCGCACGACCGTGTGGTCAAGCTCTTCTTCACGTTCCAGGTAAAAAAAAAAATGATGCGGCGACCCAAACTGCACCATTGCAACTCCAACATGATTAACTCAATTGTACTGATTTTATCTATTGCATCAATGGTGTACGTAGGATAACAGCTATCTGTACATGGTGATGGAGCTCTGTCGTGGTGGCGAGCTGCTTGACGTGATCACGTACGTATATTCGTCGAGCTGCACCGTGAAAGCTGACAGGGACAAGAAAACTGACTCTTTGGCTGGACCAATTTCTTTATTACTACAGTAAGCACCACAAGGAACAGGCTGCTGCAGGCTACACGGACCGCGCATGCTCGCTGGAGCTGACTCGCTTCTATATCGCGGAGGTGGTGTTAGCGTTGGAATATCTGCACAAGAATGGTGTAATCCACCGCGATCTCAAGCCAGAGAATATCCTTCTTAGCGATGACGGCCATATCAAGGTGACCGACTTTGGTACAGCCAAGGACGAGACGGAGGAGAGTCGTCACAACACGTTTTGCGGTACAGCAGAGTACGTGTCGCCCGAAGTGTTGCGCGACCAGGAGGCGTCTCGGGGCTGTGATCTGTGGGCAGTGGCCTGTATGATCTTCCAGATGCTCGTGGGTCGACCCATGTTCCGCGCAGAGAACGAGTATCTCACGTTCCAGCAGATTTTGAACCATCCTGCCGAGGATTTTGCCTACCCGCCAGGATTCCCGTCGGTGGCGAAGGATTTGATTGATCGAATTCTTCTGCAGGAGCCGAGCGAGCGTCTTGGCGCTGGCTCCGACGACGACGGCAATGGATACGCAGCGTTGAAGGCTCATCCGTTCTTTGAGGGTGTTGAATGGGACTCGGTCGGATATGCGCAACCGTCCTACATGCCTGAAATCGGCCGACTGCCGCCCACCGAATATGTAAGAAGACCCTTTGGAGTATTCGAGTCGACCGTCAGTATTTTAATATTTATGCTTATGTGACTGTAGGATGGCGCGACCGAGGACTGGCTGTTTGCTGGTGTAGCTACCGAGCTGCAGGTCTCATCGGGTCTCGCGCTGGATCCTCCGCCGTCTCCGTACGTTTGCTGCTGTGTCGTAGCGTGATAAATAATCTGTCTAAACTTACATTTGGGTTTTGTATTTCTATTCATTTGTAGGGCTGAACATGTTAACGTAGTGGAAGTGGCTCGCCAGAAGGCAGCAATACCGTCTGCAATGCGACGTACGAGCTCGCTCTGGAACCGATTCCTGCTGGATGACGAGCTGATTAAGATGGGCGGACTCATTAGCAAGCGCAAGGGGCTCTTCTCCAAGAAGCGACAGCTGATCTTGACTTCGAAGCCTCGTTTGATCTACATTGACCCCATTAGAATGAAGCAAAAGGGAGAGATCCCGTGGTCGGACAACCTCTACGTCAATTCCAAGAGCGCGACTGCTTTCGACGTCGTGACGGTACGTTAGTAGCGTGGCTATGATGGAAGATTAAAGTATCAGTTTCTGACATTTATTCGCTCGTCGACAGCCGAACCGGGTGTACCATCTGAATGACCTCGTCAACGGGTCGAAGAAGTGGATCGAGGCCATCAACGCGGCGCTTGTGCGTGGAATGTAACGAAGCGACCGGCCGACTGATCGATCCTGCTCGAACCCGTTAATGCTTTGCGAAAATGGATTGCGTGTTGAGTAGTAGACACTGTTTGTGCAGTTAGTGGGGAGTGTCCATCAGCAACAAGAGTCTGCCTCAAAAGACCTTCAAATGCAAACCTTTCCTCGGGTCCATCTATTTATTTGTACTTGGAAGAACTACTACGTTTTGTTTCGACTTCATAAAGTAGAGCAAACAATTCATCATAGGGATTCTCCGTGCCGAAGCAAATCTGCATTAATCGGTCAATTCTGTTGAGCTACACAGCAAAAACACTATTGACTGATTTACTCGTCGTCCTCGTCGGCGTCGTTACCAGCATCGTGGATGTTAAAGTAACGGAGCTCGTACGTGTTCTTGTCCGAGGCAATGACGTGCAGGTAGTCACGCAGCTGCTGCTTCTTCAGGTACTTCTTGGTCAGGTACTTGAGGTAACGCTTGCTGAACGGGGGCACGGCAACCACCTGGAGCTTGGTCTTCTCACGGGTGATCTTGACGGCGTCGCCGAGCACGCCAGTCTTGCCGCCGACCTTGATGCGGTCGTGCAGGAACTTTTCGAACGAAGCAGGGTCAAGGACGTGGTCGTCCACGGGGATGGTGCAGTCGATCGTGAACTTGAGCAGCTGCTTCTTGCTGACCTTCTTTCCCTTGTGCTGTAGTGGCGACAATAATTGGAAATTAGACACTTTGGCACGGGACAATAATTGTCTGTGGCGAGTGTCTGAAGTGCCAATTGCATTTGAGCCCTCGGCCCCGGGGATTTTATAACAGTTTTTTTGTTCCAATAAAAATGCGTGGCGACCAACTCGGAAGTTGACCGCCCACAGAGAAGGGAACTCTGTTTGCCCGAGCAGAGAAGGAGGCTCTGCAGCTTAGCAACTCATTCACTCGCCCCAGAAGGGGACAGAGCAACAGGAACTTACAGCAGGAGCCATGACGTCGGACTGAATGAACTTCTGAAGTACTGCGGAGTCGTTCGGAGAATGACCTGCAATGGCGTCTGGAAAAGGAGACGCATCATGATTGGCTGAAATATAGTCCAGCAAACCATTGGAGGAGAGCCGTTCGATAATGAAGACATCATGCTAATTGGTGGAAAAGCACCGTTTATCTTGTAAAGAGAGGAAAGCGTTCTTGTAAAGGGAGAAGCAAGCGGTTGGTTCCAACGCCAATCGTGCCTTCCGACGAGCGCCATCTTGTATCTGGTAGACTCCAAGAAAACCTTAAAGTGATTCAAGGTGAGCTCTTGCCCGATGACCATGCGCGATAACGAGTCTACGTGACTAATGATGGTTTTATGACACCAGATGCGTTACATTGCTGCTTACCTGCTCGCTGTCCTTGGTGGCCACACCACCCCCACTGAGAACGACGTTGAGAAGATCCTCAAATCGAGCGATGTGGAGGTCGACAAGGCTCGCGTGGCTGCTGTGATCAAGGCCATGGAGGGCAAGACGGCCGAGGAGGTGATCGCTGCTGGTAGCGAGAAGCTCGCCAAGTTTGGCTCGGCTGGCGCGGCCCCTGCTGCTGCTGGCGGTGCTGCTGCCGGCGCCGAGGCCGACAAGGTCGAGGAGAAGGCCGTTGAGGAGGAAGAGGAGGTCGACATGGGCGGCGGCATGGACATGTTCGGCGGAGACGAGGACTACTAAGTGTCTTTCGTGTCAACTTTTGTCAACAGCGGCATTGGAGCCATTAATCTCCAATCTACCAGAGTAACACATCTAGTCAATGGAACAGGATCATTACTGAAAAGTGTCATAAGCTGGTGCTCAGGATGTCAAAAGTTGGTAGTTTCATCACTGGATGCTGCACTTGGAGTTCTGCGCGCTGCGGATGTCAGGCGTCTTGACGTCCGGGTCGTGTTGATCGTGGTTGACGATCTGCGCCTTGAGCACGGGCGCTTCCACGTCCAACTCGGCCTTAGTAAGAGAAATACCCGCCAAGTCTGCTGCCACTTGACGGAACGCCGTATTCACCTGGTCTCCTGTCTTGGCCGACACGAAGAAGCTGTTGAGGTCATTCTCTTCGGTGAACTGCTTGTGCTTGGCTACTTTGACAGCGCGGAGGTGGTTCAGATCGGCTGATAGATGGGAAAGTAGGACAAGTTAAGAGTCAAGGAGTTCTCCTGGTTATAGGGGCTGGAAAACGCACTCTTGTTGCCGACGAGAGCTACGTATGGCATGCGCTCATCGTCAAAGGTGCGACGAACAAGACGATACCAGTCCTCTAAGTTTTGAAAGCTCTCGTAGTTAGTGATGTCGTACACCAGCAGCACAGCCTGTGAAAACCTTCCATTACTAAATGTATCCATTCCAATACCTTCTTGCTCCGTATTTACCTGCGCCCCATAAATATAATTCTTGAGCATCTTGCCGCCGATGCTTTGGCCGCCAATGTCCCAAATCTGCAGAGTCACTTGGGTGTCACCTGTGTCGTGGTTGGCAAGTAATTAGTTGCACCCTTTGAAGCAAAAATCTTGATTCTACGAGTAGTAGATAAGTAGTACCTGGTAACGCCATGCGCTTAAGGAAAAAGTCCAAGCCGATTGTTTGTTTGTATGTCGTGGAGAAGTTGTCCTCCGTATGCCGCATTGCGATGGAAGTTTTGCCCACGGCACCATCTCCCAGGATGATCACCTGCAGCCAAGCAAAGCCCACAATTTCTCAAGTGATTATCGCGCTCAGTACAACGGTACAGCACTTACCTTGTACTGGAGCTGCTGTGGCTCCGAATCGCTGTCCGTCTCCTTCGACATGGCCGAGCTTGATTTAGGCTTGCTCGAAAAATACGTTTATAAGCCTCACGGTGACCTTTTAAGATCGCGTCGTTTCGTGATCAAAATCTGAAGGTATAAGTTTTTGTCACTCGGACGCTATTGCTTTTCGAGGCAGCAAAATTCTAACACGGATCAAACTGAAGAATGCGATTTATGGACCAGCTAAGGTGATTGAGTTTTGCTGTTGACGCTTACTCTTTGATATTCGCTCTCTTTTCGGAGAGATTACAACGAATTCAAGAATGACAGGCACTTGCGAATGCCATCAATCTTGTTGAATATCCTGCTTTTGCCTCCTTATTTCCCTTTTCTTTTGTAAGCGGTCAAGCTAAACGCCATGCCCTCACTAACGCCCGAAGAAAAACACGAATTAGAGAACTTACATCCCTCGGAATGGCACGACAGAAGACATGGCTCCGGTGACTTTTGCTCAAGAGCGAAGGACTTCTACGGCGGCGGCTTTATTTTGCATAGATTCGGATGGATGAATGCAAACTGCGACGCGCCAGTATCCACCGAAGCAATGGATCTTGCAGCGACCAATGGACATAATGATAGGCTCTTATGGCTCCATGAAAATCGGTTTGAAGGCTGTACTACAGCGGCGATGGACGGGGCCGCGAGCAACGGCCACCTCAGTGTTGTCGAGTGGCTTCACCTCAATCGTGATGAGGGATGCACCACTGTCGCGATGGACGGTGCTTCCATTAAAAGCCACCTCAAAGTTGTCCAGTGGCTTCACAAAAATCGCTCTGAAGGCTGCACAACTGCAGCGATGGATGGTGCCGCAAGTAATGGTCACCTGGACGTTGTCAAGTGGTTGCACGAGAATCGTACGGAAGGTTGCACCACTGCTGCGATGGAAAATGCAGTGATTAACAGTCGTGCAAAAGTGGCCCGCTGGCTAAATGAAAATCGCACTGAGGGCTGTACCACGGCCACTATGGACAAGGCGGCAGGACTGGGATACCTCGGCGCTGTCAAGTGGCTACATAAAAATCGATCGGAAGGATGCAGTTTTGCAGCAATGGTCAATGCCGCGTCGAATGGATACGTGGATGTAGTCAAGTATTTGCTCACCAACATCGATCAAGAAGCTTCAAATGCTGCAATTGCCGCTGCTGCTGAGAACGGTCACGCTCTGGTCGTGAAGTATCTGCTTGAGAATCGTTCCGGACCCTGCAAACCTGATGCCATTATACGTGCGAAGGCAAAAGGACATTCTGCGATTGTCGAGTTTCTGCTAGAGCATGAAGATTACCGGCTTGCATACGAGGAGGAGACGGCTAAGGCCGTCACTGAGAAAAGAGCTGCCTTTACTCAGAAGGTGTATCAGCTTTTTTGGCTGGGATTTATAGTGCTTTGGTTCCTTCCGCGGAAGCTGATCGAGATTTTCCTTCCTCGAGATGCTCAAGGTCCAGCTGAAATGGAGACTCGAATTCGAGCGGAAGAAGAAGCCAGTATTCGCATGAAGGAAGAGCCGAGGCTTCGAGCTGAAGTTGCAGCAAGTATTCGTGAAGATCGAAATACGAAGGCGGCAATTCAGGCTGAGGAGGAGGGAGAGATTCGTGCGCGTATTCGTGCAGAGATGCAAAAGGGTATCGAAGACAAGATGCGTGCTGAAATTCGAGCCGAGTTGCTTGGTGACGACCTGATACAAACTTGAGCAAAGGGCAAGGTTATTCCGCTCGTCTGTGTCTGCCAATTTAAAGAGCTGGAAGTTTTTTTTTACTATTTTGCATCAACGTCTCCAATAAAGAAAAATGTTTGGCACAACAAACGCTGAAATAATTTGTCCTTTTTTCATAATTCAGTACATGTGTAAGTGGAGTCTTCCCTGAAACTAAAAAAGTGAACTGGGCTTGGATATAAAATAATTTCAAAGGACTTCGAAGCATTTTCTTAGCGTGAGCTAGCATAATACGTGAACTTTTCACTTGATTCTTAGGATAGTGTGAAAACTAAGGTGACTTTCATGGCTGTTTCCTGTCGAACCCGGGTACTTTTCAAGATTGATTGATACATCCCAAAAAAATTATTTCAGTCACAGCCAAAATTAAAACAAAGCTTCACTTTCAATTTTGACCATGTCGTTGTCACTGTCACTGTCAGAGTCAGAGGAGCTGGACTTTGCATCCGAAAATCCTGTCACCTGGCACCAGCACAAACATGATCCCTTCGGCTTCTGCACATTTATGAAGAACCACTTCGCCAATCACGGAGACCTCGAGCACTTAAAGTGGATGCATGAAAACTGCAGTGCGGCTCTATCAACGGAGGGGATGGACGGTGCGGCGACCAATGGCCACCTCAGCGTTGTACAGTGGCTTCATGAAGCTCCTTCTAGAGGCCGGATGTCGCCGCGAAGTTCTACCAGCAGCTTTACGAACGTGATGCAAAGCACGAGTGGGAAATGTACAACTGCAGCGATGGATGGTGCGGCTATGAATGGCCATCTCAATGTGGTGAAATGGCTACACAAGAACCGAGAGGAAGGCTGCACCACGTCGGCAATCGATCTTGCTGCTCAGAATGGCCATTTCAACGTGGTTTTGTGGCTGCACTGTAATCGTGATGAAGGTTGTACTTCTGCAGCAATCGATGGAGCTGCAAGTAATGGATTTTTATTGGTTGTATCCTGGTTGGAAAAGCATCGAACCGAAGGATGTACATCTGCAGCGATGATTAATGCAGCGTCCAAGGGATTTCTGGAAGTTGTAAAGTATCTGCACACAAGTTTAAACGAACAAGCAACCAACGCTGCAATCACAGTTGCAGCGAGTAATGGTCACCTCTCAGTTGTGAAATATCTACACGACAACCACTCCGAGCACTGTACGGCGGACGCTATCGCTCGAGCGAATGTTAATGGACATGACACCGTTGTTGAGCTCTTGCTTAAGCACGAAGGATGTCGTCGTGCCTATGAAGAAAATCGGTTCATGGTGAGAGGAGATGACGAAGAGATTCCAATACTTGAAGCATCTGCCCACGATCCAGACGAATATGCAAACCAGAACTCTCTTAATACTAAGGTGGAGTCTCGTGAAGCTACAGCCGACGATGGAGCTGAACTTGAAGCGCGACTTCGTGTCGAAGAGGAAGCAAAAATTCGGCTTGAGGAAGAGCCGAGGATTCGAGCCGAAGTTGAGGCTACCATTCGAGCTGAGCAAGAGGAGACTTTAATGCGTGTGAGGATCCGAGCTGAGATTCAGGTTGAAGTGGAGGAGAAGATGCGCGCTGAAATCCGAGCTGAGCTCCTGGCCAAGAAGAAGGTGGAACCGTGCCCGATCTGTTTCATACAGACCGACAACTCGATCACGACTGCATGTGGCCACACGTTTTGTTCGGCTTGCGTGGCGAAGTTACGCAGTAGAGGACACGAATTGTGTCCCATGTGCAGATCTTCTCTAATTGAATAGGGGGTACGCCCGATCTGAAGTTTGAATTTTGAAGGGTTACAGTTCTCGTTTCGTATCTTTATCTTGGTAGTGCTTTTCAATTTTTTCCAGATAGATTTTTCTCTTTCCTTTTTGAACAACAACCGTTCTGTTCGTGCCGCCTCGTACGAGTATATACCCAGTGTAATCGCTTTCGATCTTCTAAGTCGTGCTACTTAAAAAAAATGATCAATAGCAATCCTGTATTCATAATGACGGTCAATGGAAATCCTGTCAAGCCCATTCTCTCAACAGGTTTGCCGTCCATGTACTCAACCCTTCGGGCGTAGATGTTGACGGTATCGTCGTGTGTGAAGATGCGAACACTTCCCGTCGAGATTGGCTCACGACCGACTCGAAATTTCTATCCTAAAGTCAGCACTCTCTCAGTACTCGTGAGCTCTTTCGCGCGTTCGTCACGATCGTATCACTCGTTATCCTCTGCAGTCACCTCCGCACACTTCACTCCAGTCCGTTTCCTGGCCAAGGAGCGATGCCGGTGGTCACAGCTATCGCTCACCTATATATGCAATCCTATTCACGCAATATGCACGCGATTGACAGCTTCCTTTCGGGTGCGGTGCAGTAGCTAAGCACTACGTCCAGGAGGATCAGACTCTCGAGGCAGTCGAGGCGGGGCGCTCTGGACTCGAACCGGGGACTTGAACCCTCGTTAGCTACTCACCGCTCGATAAACGGACTCGAACCACGTCTGCTCGTGGGACTTGAACCCACTCTCCCACACCTCGGGCACGGGCGCACAAGAATTTCATTCTGCTTACTCTAACCTCAAAATTTACAGCTGAAACATTAAAGCTGTATGTGGTTAAAGAACGCTCGTGAGGGACGGTGTCAAGATCCTTTACGGTACTGCGTACCGTAATGCTAATACGAATCAATGCTAACGGGTTTTGCAATTGTGAAATTGTGCTCATGGAAAATAGCAATGCCACAAAGTATTTTCACGTGCCAAAACTGCAAAATTTCAAGAATTGATGGGTAGTGATAATACTACCCATTAATTCTTGAAATCGTAAAGAAATTCGATGGACCTTTCTTTACATTTCAACATGAATTTGTATGTGGCCATGACCCGAAATATGCCCACAACGGAAACTGTAATGCGGAGAATAAGCCTACTTCCGGCAGCAGCTTGATCCCAGGTCACTCACTACATACAGTGGTGTACCGGTGCTAAGTCTTTGTTTGAGGTACCATAAAGTGTGGACGTCTCATGTCATCGCCTGTCAATAGTTCTTTTATTTACGCCGACGATAATTGACTGAATCCTTCCCAGGGGGGCCGAATATGGCATTTTTATTTAGTAGCTACCACGATGAGCAATAAATTATCTGATGTCGATCGTGCGCAGCAACAAATAAATAATGTGCATGTGCAGAACGAGGAAATAAATAACTCAATTATGGCTCCATGATGGTTGTCATCCAGTCTATTAGCATGGTGTGCTGGGAGCTAGTTCAGGCTATCTTAAGTGCTGGCATCCCAGTACGAACGGTTTTCTCTCAGGAACAGAATCGTTTCTAGAGAAAGAGGGAGCAATCCGTGCCTCTGCTGCCCAAACGTGACTCGAGCAACGCTAAAGAAGCGTTCCACGACATTCGATGTCGGAGGAATGCTCTTCAGCTGGTCGTACTTGCCACCGTCTTCAGCAATACGACGGCGCTTCCTCAGACGCTCTACAAACGAAGCCTTTTCTTCCTCCGAATCGTCCTCCGAGTCTTCACTCACGGCTTGGAAAGGTACGAGAGCTGCTTTTTCCGCACGGGTTAGACGGTGTTGGCTGCCTTTAAGCACACGAACACACCCAGACTCAAAGTCTGGGCTGTGAACAATGTTTGCTCGAGGTCCTATGGAGCGAAATGTTACCATGGCGTTAGTTAAGTTCAAACCCTTGTTAAATACTCGTGCCTTACCGATAAATCGTGCATACTACGGCTTCGCAGCAATGAGTGCGTCGAACCACTCGCGCACGTCCAGCAAATCGGCATCTCGTCCTTGGAGCGCTTTGGCGACCGATTCGACTCTTGATAGAGTGCTCGCAGCCGCCTGTTCGCCGCTGGCGCCGGCAGCAACTCCATGATATCGTCGTCCTCGACGTCGAGGAACTCGAGGAGCTTTAGGTAGCGCTTGAGCATCTGGAACGTAGAGCTCCAACGCGTGTCCTGCCGAATTACGGGGCGGAGTGGAGTCTTCAGCCAAAAAATATGAGGATACAGTTTTGGTCAGACATATTTTAGCTCTACACAACCGGTACATAATTAAGCTTACCTCAGCTTTGCGGATTGTTTAAGCGACCGTAGCTTCACCATCAGCGTTTGTACAACAGCCAGGTCGTCTTCATGCACCGCCAGACCATCTTGAACTGCGAGGTTCAATCTATGACTAGCGCAGCCCACAAGGGGCACCCCCATCAATGTTGCAATACGACGGTTGACCGAGCAGTTGTCACCGACAACGAAGCGACACTAGTCCAGCTGGACTCCATAGTCGCGTGGAAGCATTGTAGCTAGAAATTCGACATGACCCTGCGCCGACAGGTCTTCGTCGAGAGCATCGAGCAGCGGTGCCATGCTTAACAGCGGCGTCTTAGCGCAACCGTTGACTTCATAGCACGCGAAGACGGCGATGTAATGGTCGGAAGCATGCGTCCAGCCTTCAAGCATGATGCCAAATTACGCGGGCATTTCCGTCGCAATTGAGCGCTCGATGGCGACCAAACCCCGTACATGCCCGCCCGTAACGTCTCCTGCGAGATTGGGTCGAGGCTTGAGTAGCAAAATAGCAGACAGTACCACATTGTATATCAGTTTGAAAGGCATAGTCACATAGAATAGCAGAGTTAAACGTACCGCCAAGCTTCTCGGTTCTCGCAGAACGCAAGCGGGAGATTGCACATGACGATCCACGACATCCAGCCGTACAGGTTTTGCGCATAATGCCGCACAAAGTTTATGAGAGAACCTGTCTCGGCTGATGTCGCGTCGAGCATTACCGCCTCGTAGTCAGGGTGCTCACGTAGCACATGCTGCATCAGATTGGAGTAACCATTTCGATGCGTTTGCTTCCGCACCGTGCCGCAACGGCAACGAAAATACTCGAGAATCACCTCGTCGCTCTCGTCGCGGCACGGGCGGAAGAAAAAGCCAGAAATTTGGCTGTTGTTGTAGGCTGGTCGGGAGGGTCGAGTAGGGCCCTACTCAGGAGACGTGGGTAGTCAAGCTTGTTGTAGTAGTAAAAATTGAGTAGTGAAAACAAAATAGAGCTCGCCGAAAGCTATTCAGACGTACGACAGCCAACAAGTATAGAATCGCTTAGTAAGAAGTCGATGGATGGCTGGCGTAAAGAATGATGCTAAACAGGCACTTTTATAAATTATGATCTTGTACATTGCATCGAAATAAATAATGACATTTTTCCTGCCTTCTCCAGAAATATATAACTTATTGTTATTTTTGTAAATAATGTTATTGACAATTTCATTTTCGGAGGCCCTGATCCTTCCCATGTCGCTATCCATCGTCGAGGCCCATTGTATCCCCGCTTTTGTTTTTCGACGTAATAATGGCGTGAGTCCAAGTAGCTTACTTAGTGGTGGAAGCGTCTTACTTGAGGTGTGAGCTATAAAACTTACCTGCGTGTCGAGCGCCAGTGCATTGCAGTCTGCCAGTGTCCGGTGCCCCCATCTACGAGCCACCGTCCACTGCCAGTGTCTGCAAAGACACATCCCAAGGACACTCATGCGCCTGGCAGTGCAGCTTGCGGCTGCACTACAACCGGCTACACTGAGTACACATGCGTGCAATGGCGAAGGACTATACCAAGGACTGTATGCACAAGGACATCGTTGGCTGTGCGCTGCCAAGATGGTGTATTCAAACGAGAGTGCATTTATCTAGAGTTTAGTATTGACTTATTTGCTATTTGTATACTAATCTACTTTTGCGGTACAGCGGTGTTCTGGCGGAGGCTGCTCAACACTTTGCGTTTTGACGCCTGCCGCTCATCAGAGAGCAGCAGAGAAGAGCAGCCTCGCCAGACACCGCAGTCCTGTCGCGGCCTTTTGCCCGGCACTTACGTGTTTACGTTACTTCCTGATTAGTTTCCTAAAGTTGACATTTAAGTGTATTTACATTTAAATGGCTCCTACTCTTAGAAGCGATCGACACATGGAGAACAATCCCCCCGTGACGAACCCTACGTCACCACTGGTTATGAGCCCAATCAGGGCGCAGTCTGCGACTGACGTGGCTGCTGGCGTTCCAGACACAAGTTCTGGAATTTCGACCAATCAAGATCAAGCTTCAACCCCATTGGCAGGAAATTCAAGCTTGCACAATGACGCAACACTGTCGCACAGTGATGCAGAACGACTAATTCGTTCATTGGCTGGAATCCCGGGTGGCCGCCCGTTATTCCAAATGTTACTCGAAAGTATGCATAAACTTTCGTCGACGAACACGGAAGAATCCGTGCCAGTTGACAATCCCTCCCCAGTCGCCGCTAAAACCAACAAAACGGCGACCGAGACCCTGACCGATCCCGTGGGCGCCCTCTAGACAAACATGAAACCCTTACTGGTCCGCTACAACGACCGGCGAAGCTGGCCTGAGTACACCAAGGTCCCTTATCAAACTCGCCCTCCGATCAAGCCTGCCCAAAGCTACATCTGGAAGGCGACTACAAAGGCCTGTGACAGCGAAGGTGCCTGTTTGCACTTTTGAGCGCAAAGAGGCTGGGAGACAATCCACCTTATGGACCTCTAACCTTACCGATGCAATTATAAAAGCCATCCGTCCGTGA